GCCCCGTGATTTGCCGCTTAGGACAGTAGGATGTGTGTGCGAAGCCGCGAACAATTTCTAGGGGGGGCCTTTGTAGGTATTGATTCGTTTCGCGTTCCTATAATTGTACAAAGTTGCTGCGGGAGCTACAATAGTAAACGTCATTCTCTCGGCACGATGCCGTGATTGAGCGCTTGCGACTCGTAGGAAATCACCAAGATCACACAGAGAAGAATAGTCATTCGCCTTAAATTGTAGATGTTGATGTATAATTGGTCTGCGTTTCTATTATCGAACGCGAAGTTTGCGGTATACGCCGGGAACAATGGGGATAACGCGAAAAAAGAATAAATCTGTCTCGAAATCCCTCGAAATGGAATTTTAAAGTCGTGTAACCGAACAGTATCTTAAGCTTATCCTTAAACCGGTTTACGACAGAAATTATACCAAACACCAGTGTTTGCTGTTATCTATAAAGAAAATTATATAGATGATCCTACCTAGATGAAATTTTGACGTCATCTTATCTTTATGCAGATAATCAAAATATGTATATTATCTGTATCTGCATCTTAGATGAAAAAATATTATCTTTACTAAATTATCTAGAATAAAAATACTTAGATAGTAGAATTTGAGCAGCAAGCAGTAAAAATTTATAAATAAAAATATGAATACATATATTTTTATATCCCTTTTATAATTTACTTTTTTTTTAATAACTGTGTTTACATAAGCAGTCTTAAAAATTATTATCTAGAAAATTATCTAAATGAATCGCGATATAATTTTATATCTTTTATCTCTAGATATGTTTAAAACAAAATCATCTTCATCTTACCTAAGATAAATTTACATATTTTTATTTCATCTTTATCTCTAGCTAATTTTTAAATCATCTGAACACAACACTGCAAAGTACTTTTGTTAACTTGATTAAACCTTTCAATTAAATTGCTATTTTGTTAATTGAACATATATTAGTATTTAAGTCAAATAAAATTTTATAATACGTTTTGTTAGATTTAAAATGTTACATTTCACTTAACTATTTTTATATTAATTAACAAAATAATATTTAGTTGAAAGGTTTAGTCAAGTCAACACAATTTTTTTCAGAATACACATGTGCGCTTACTGCGACGATTAAATTTTTCGGGGAAAAAAATACAAAAAAATAATAAAAAATATGCATAATAAAGAGGGATTCGCGGCTCTCGTAATATCGAAACTTGACCGCGGAAACCCTCTTGAACCAGCCTCGACTTGATGTACGATCCGCTCGGAAATGGCTGTCGTCGGGTGGCCGCGTCCCGATAAATCTTCCGGCTTTTTAACCGCGGATGGACTTGTCGTTCGCGGTATAAACGCATCGTTTTCATCAATATTTATGCCGGAGGGGCCAATTGGGCCAGAGAGATCTCCTGCGGGACGTCGTCGACTTCGCCGGAGTCTCTCGCGAAGTCTCTCGGCGACTCGCGGCTCCGATAATAAAGATATCCATTATGCTCGCCGTCGCTTTTTCTCCGCACGGAACGTGCGTTCTTCTCTGTGTTTTGCCGGATCCCCCGTGTCTCTTCCCCGGGATATTTCTAACGTATATATGTACGTGCGTATATGTGCCCGCCACCGTCATTCGTTCCAGCTTCCGTTGCGCGTCGACGATCTCGCCCGGGAAGACGATTAAAATGCAATCGGCGGAAGCATCTTGGAAAAGGATTTCACTTTTTGACATTTTTATCAATTAAAAGTTCAAACACGTATTGTCATGTTAGAAACCATTTTTTTATTTGACATAGCACGACTCCAGATTTTCTATATAAGGTTCGAAAATTTGTTTGTATATAATGCTACAAAATCTGCAGATACATAAATATATCTATCTAAATATATCTCGGATCTATCTACATATCTCTCTAAATAAATATCTTTTTTTAAAAATTATATCCTATAATTATATCCTGTGTAGCCGTATATGAACATGCTAAATGCTAAGAAAATCAAACGTAAACTGGGTAAATGATTATTTGAACATCGCGATGTAAAAATCTGGCATAATGTGTCTGTTCCTTGTATTTTATCTACATTTTAGAAAATTATCTTTCGCGGCTAGTCGCACATTTGATGTTTCCACGTGCTTAATCCGTCAGGTACAATCGCTACCATATGGTTACAATGAGCGTTACAACCGATACATAATTTTCATCCTGGTGGTCCTAATCGTAGAAAAAAGTATACATTATAAATTACTTTTTAATGAAAATCTCGTTTGTAATGCGTAATAAAAAAACGTTTTGCCAGACAGTTTCGACGTGGATTAAAATCGGATTTTCATCTCGATCGAAATGATGGGCCTCATTCGGATGACTATATACAATACATTGTTCATCATTTAGAAAAATATACACGCGATCATAAATCATGAAAAAAACTTTTACGATAATTAAGCGTATCGTTGTAACACATAATATCCCGACATTCAATCCAGTTACTACCAACAAAAGACGACCTGAATTAATCATGCATATATAATGTTCTATTATCCAAATAAAATAATTTACACTACAATTCCTGACTAAATGACATAATGTTAAACAAATAAACTAATAATATCCCGTGAGACGAAATTCAATTATCGAACAGGTGTTTGACATTGCTGAATATTATCAATGTTAATTATTTTTAATATTGTATAATCCAATAATAATCTATAATAAATATATAACAATAATAATAATTTTTAATATTATAATAATCTATAATTTATAATACAAAATCAATAATTTATACTTGCACGAAATTCTAATTTAAGTAATTTTATTTCTATCTTTAGTTCAATTTATATTTACTCGTTTTATTTCTTAGTGTCGTTTAATATAATAATAAATTTTCAATGTTTGATATATTTCATAAAGATTTGAAAATTTTTGAGATTAGCCTCAAATGTTTATCATTTCGAATGCATGTACGGATAATTGTATCACGAATCTTAGAGTTGATTTCAATTTTGAAACTATGCAAAACTAAAAGGTCTAATTTTATTTAATGCATCAATTACTTTAATGCACCACGTCATTTACTTGTTATTTCGATATCAAAAAGGACCGGTTTCGACGCGTGGCACATCAAAGCTCGTCGTCGCCTCGCGCTCGAGAATTATTTAGGGTTTTAATCCTCTTAATTTAATAGCGCGACGAGAGCAAGAAGAATATTTCGGCGGGAAACGAAGCGGCGTGAGCTGAATGACGAACATTAAAGAAGAAGTATCATTGATGTCGATTACGATGTTGCCGAGATCGCCTCGACGAGAATGTTTTCTTCTGACGGAACCCGAAGCGAAGACCTGCATTCAGGCTCCTTTATTGGATTTAGTCCTCTAATGATTTTGTTAAACGGTCATCGGAAAAAAACCGGATCGTGCTATTTCATAATTTGTTGATCGGACTCTGCGTTTCATAAATAATTATTTAAATTATCATTCAATTGCCAAAACGAAGAAGATAAATATATATATATATATATAAATTATACTTGCGCTGTCTTTTGAAAATCACGTAAAAATGAATTTAATTTATTATTATGTTGAACGACACTAAGAAATAAAATGAGCCAATTTTAACTAAAGAGAGAAACGAAATTACTTAGAATATTTTGTGCAATAAAAATTATGGATTTCTTCATTAAATTGAAGCTTATTATTATATATATTTAAGATAAGATTTTATCATCCAAGCACTGTAACTTTTAAGAAAGGCATCTGGTTTCTTACATCTATTAACTTATTTGATTAATTAATACTTATATTACTTATTACTCTTATAATCTTGCATCGCACAAAAGGTGTGATCTTGAAGATCATCCTGGTCTCACCGATAGTCTTTCGATCAGGATCTACAGAGGATCTATATCTTTCCGCGATTTATCGGCGTATCTCATCTCCGTGGGACGTTTCTTTGCGTCGCGACGAAAGATAAACGTCTTCGCTCTTTTAGTGACGGGACGAGAAACGATTCAATATACTTATATAGCGTACGCGAATGTTCCCGTTCACTGTATAAGTATGTCTTTCCTTATTGTCTCTCGAGTCATTGGTTTGCGGGTCGGTTGACAGTTTTTGCTCCTTCCTTCTCCTGGACGTGCCTCTGTCCACGTTACTACGTGCTCCGATAATTAAGACGTTTCCATTTGAAGTTTGACGTGCGTAATCTGGATATGCGTGTTTCGGCGACGACGAGCGGAAAAAAGCTAATCGTTATGCATCACGCCGGCAATTAATGGTGTATGATCGAGGGTTCATGTTCCTGGAAGGAGCGCAGATTGAACGGGCAAAAAATACGAATACACATATACATACACACACGCACGTGCGTGAGATTTATCGATATCGAAGATGAATCGGAGAATCGATGACCATTTTTAGACGTCCTCCGCGTATTTATTAAGCACCCGCGTAATTGGACACAAGGGATGCTGATGCAAGTTTCTGTTAAGAAGCTCGGCATAAATCTTTCGGTATATAATTTGGAATTATTCAAAAACGAATTTTTTGGCCACACATATTTGGTCTCTGATGTTTCATTATATTTAAAATTTTGCCAGGCGCGTTATAAATATTTTGTCTTCTTTTTACGTGGTATTAGCATTAATATTAATATTTATAAAACTGTCAATTATATCAAAATTGTCAGCATGTTGGATGAAAACTATATAAAAATGTTTTTAGCAAATATTTTCACACCAACGATAAGATATCCAATTCTAAATAAATTAAACGATATTTCAACATTCGACATATGTAGAATAAGCATGATCAAACATTCAGAACAAAGTAACGATATAATTATATATATCAAAATATAACTTATAATAATAATCACAATAATAGAATGTAAGAATGTACATATTTGTGTGAGATGCTGGTATTTCATTATAGATCAATATTACAATTTATGCAAATTCATAATGTATGTAATAATTTTTTAAAAATTTATTTGCATATAAAAAAAAATAGATATGTAATATCCATATGGTATAACATAATTTATTATTCATTATACAAAGGAACTGTAGAAAGAAGTACATAGTAATCTAACTGTACAAATAGCACAAGAGACAGTCAAACTTTCACCAGAATCATTCACTCATGTTCAAGTGCCATATATCAATGAATTCAGTCTGAGCGTTCATTTTGTTGAACATTGAATAAAAGGCACTGGCAAGAATTGCTTCTCTTGTTTTTCCTAATATACAACTTCTATTCTTTCATACCAACGTGTCAGCACACAAAGTTCATTTACACAGTTACTACAATATCAAAGAGTAACATTGTTATACTTCGAGATGCATTTCTCTTACGACCAGAATAATTTTAGATTATTCAAATAATTATCACATAATTAAACATCATGCAAACACTGAGAAAAGATTTTTTTCTCTGATTTATATCTGTTTCTTTAATGTAACATGATACTTAACATAATATAAAATAAATTATAGTTTTTTTCGTATCGAAAACAGCATAACTCTATTCGCGCTTGATATTTGTATAAACATTATAAAATAGCTTTTCTAAAACGCAAATGTAATTTGCTATTGCTAATATAAGTCTTGTGTCGTAAATACTACACATTGACATTAGTGGTAATTCTGCCGTGGCAATTTTGTCGTTTCACATCTGGAAATTGTATAGGAAGCGTAAGTAAAGCACATTCAAATTGGTCGCTGTTATCAATACCGTTTCAATGTATGAAAGTCCAGAAAGTACATCCATAGCGAAAAAAAACACAAGTTCTATCTATTATGCTGCGCTTGCGGCTCTACTATCTGTTCCCCATTGTGAACTGGTTGTGTCAATGTATTTTGAAACCACATCATCCAGTTGCTCAGGTAATGGCCGTCCAATTGATTTTCGGGATTGTCCCTTATCTGCACATCGTTCAATTCTTGAAAATTGCGAACGGTTCGGAGTTCCGTAAAATTATTGTTCACCGAATGGCCCCCATGCATCCTTACCTCCCTTTTTCTAAGGGCATCTTTTACTAACCTTTGCCTACGCTCCTCTTCCGTCTCAATAGCGGATCTCGTGAATCTCATTTCTCTGGCTCTCAGGGCATCCCTTCGCAATCTCTCCTTCCTCTCCTCCTCAGTCTCTTTAGAGTATTGATTCAATCGGGCCTCTCGTCTCTTTGCCGATTCTTTATTAAGCCTCTCCCTTCTCTGCTCCGGTGTCTCACTCGCGTACAATGACAATCTCTTGATTCTTCTTCTCTCAGCCTCGCGGTCCAATCTCTTTCTCCTGTCTTCCGGTGTTTCGTTATACATTCTGTACTCCCTTTTTCGCGCTGCTTCAGCATCGAGTCTTTTCCTTCGTTGCTCCGGGGTCTCGTAATACATTCTCATCTCTCGTCTTTTCGCCGCTTCCTTCGCCAACCTTTGCAAACGCTGCTCCTCGCTCTCTTGTTCATACAGCTTCTTCCGTTTCTCTCTCATACACTCGGCCTTTTTCCTCAATCTTTCTCTGTAATCTTGATGTACGCTTGATTTGATTCTAATGTGTTTTTTCGATCTTCTAGATATTTTAGTTCTTTCCAAGGTATCTTTGCCGTTCGTCAATTGATTCTTACGTTTCGCTACCGCGATCACGCCGGTCAAGAGATCAACGTCAACGGGGACTTGTATATTCTGCTTTGTGTCCTTTAAGACTCTTAATCGTATGCCGGCATCGTTATTGTCGTCGCATAACCATTCCGCTGTATACAGAGTGCCATGATCCTCGTCGTCCTCTTTCTTTATGTTGATGTTAAGCCCGTCCAGGAATTCGTTTGGTATCGTCACTGTCGATATATTATAATTCGTCGTTTGTTCATCGTTCCGAATAAATACTTCTGTCGCGTTTGATTGTTTCTGGAAATCGATATTTATGGAATCAGAGTCCAAGGTGTCTAGGTAAATCGACTCTGTTAGGACATTAGTAATGGCACTGCTCTCGCTATTTTGTACATTCTCTAAGGTAGAGTCCGAAGTGTGCGATTCGTTCAATTCATTTTGGTCTTTGTCAATCGCTTTCTCGCCGGTTACATGATAATTCTTGGTCTCTTTGATCTCAATAGCACAAAAATGCTGCGCTGCCGTAATTATCTCGACTTCATTAAGGTCTGTATCGGGGTCATCGTTCTTACGCTTGTTACTGTACACTGAGATCAAGTCTGCTGGCTGATTTCTTACTTGTACATTACCTTCAGATATTTCCATGTCCCTTTAGAGATAAGATGATGATCTGAATGCTGAAATTATATAACAATATTTAAAATCATATTATAAACTATTCTTACAGTTATAATTATGACAACTTACATACATTTTACATGCATATCTTTTAGAAAATATTTCGGAAAATATATAAAAGAACATCAAAAAGTAGTTGTAAAACAAGAAAATAAAGAAGCTGAGTTTAATTAATCATCTTGATTTCATATTATCACAATAGAATTATGATAATTAGATATTAGAACCACCAGTTATAAAATAATTAAATATCTGCTCCGTACCTGCGTATCGTCTGCTTGACAGCTGATTCAAGATGGCAACGTAGATAATACTTTGGAATCATGCATTTTTGCAATATCCTTAACCAGCAACACGCTCGATGCGCTCATCATTTTTATTCTCATGTCACATGATAATATAAATTATACGTAAATGTCACACTCGTCGAATTAATTAGGCAACTCTATTCGAAATTCAGCCTTATGTCGAGCACTGCTCTTCCATCCACATTTTTCGTCATTGCTAAGGCAATGGAACTAGAGAGTGGACTCAACATCAGAATTTTAAACTACGTTTAAACTCGAAAGCTTGGCGCTATTTAGAACAATTTCATATTGTAGATTGTAGAGTATATCGATAGTTTAAGGTTGGCTGTACTGAAAAAAAGTACTCCAAATTATATTTATTGTAGATGTAGGTCTATTTTAATATCAATTTAATTTTAATTTAATTTTAACATTATTTAACAAATTTATATACTGTATTTTATACTATATAAAAAACTATACAAAATAATTATTACAAATTATTTTGTACAAGATATTTTATATATTATCAAAATATAAATATAATATTATTAATATTATCAACAATTTTTTTTAATTTACATCCGTTTATTTTGTCGTTTGATATTTTGTATTTTTCAAATATACACTCTTTAAAAAAATTAATTTCAAGTAAAAAAAACTTCTATAGAACAATGCTTATCTTTATTTAAAAAAAGATTATTAATTAATATAATAAAACAAAAATTCTGATATAGGATTTAAATACAAATTCAGAAATAGGCTACAGATAGAAAATAGGCTAATAAGAATCGACAAAGAAATAAAAGCGACATCAAACTTGTTTAAAATTTTTAATTTTAAAAAAATTTTTTTCATTTTTTGAGTGAATTACTATACTAAATTTGAATCTATAAAATTAAATTTTCTAGTAAATTCGCTCAACGTTGTTGGTAATCTTAAAACCGAAGTTCATATTATTACCGTCAGGGTGTCCAGTAAATTAGTTTACACTAGTTTACACATTACTTCTGAACATGTGAACATGTGGATATTAGTAAATCTAAAGAGAAAAAAGATATATATTTTTAATTTAATTTAAAAATTGATCTGATAGCGAAATATATAATATTTCGATGATTTATCTTTTTTTACAATATACAACATAGTTTCATTCATAAGTTCTTAAATGTGAAATATCTGCACATGTGTTTTACGTCAACATATTTATTTTATTCAACTGATTAGGACAATTACGAGTAAAATGGGTTTAACAAAACAATATCTGAGATATGTGCCAGCAGGTAATGCAAATATAATTGCAAGCCCACGTTGCAATGTTGTATTTGTGACCTTGGAAGATCAAGAAGGTAGATTTGTTGCCGCTGCTGCATGTGAACATGTATACATTTGGGATTTACGGCTTGGAGAGAAAGTAAGAAAAAAATTTAAAAACAATATAAAAATAATTATATCTATTTAATTATAATATAATACCATTGATTTTTTTTAGGCACAAGTGCTATCTGGAGATAAGATATGTGTAACACGTCTAGCTGCATCACCCAATAAAAGGAATATTGCTGTTGGTTATGCAGATGGCACAGTAAAGATCTTTGATTTAATTTCTGGCGAAAATGTTAGCGTATTTGTAGGACATAAATCTGAAATAACAGCACTAGCATATGATGCTTTAGGACATAGATTAGCGACTGGTTCTAAGGTAAAATTGTTTTACATATACAGTTGTAGCATGCAGTTCTAAGTACTTATATATATATTTTTTTTTTTTTAAATATAACAGGATACCGATATCATTATCTGGGATGTTGTAGCTGAAACAGGAATATGTCGGTTAACTGGGCACAAAGGTGTCATAACTAAATTAGTATTCATGAAGAGCATAACATTATTATCAGCAGCAGCAAAGATACATTTGTAAAATTTTGGGATTTAGACACGAACATAACTTCAAAACTCTTATTGGACATAGATCAGAAGTGAGCTATTTAATTATGTTTTATGTTGTCATTATATTAGGTCTATTTTTAATTGCATTGATGTGATACTTGTTAAAGGTTTGGAGCATGGTTCTAATGAAGGATGATCAATATTTAATAACAGGATGCAATGATAAAGAATTACATATCTGGAAAATAACTTTTCTTGATAACAAAAGTATTGAACTTGATGCTGCTGTAAATGATTGGATCTCAATGAAGAGAATGAGGAAAGCATGGATGTGGATATGGTATGTACTTTTATCTCTATACATTTTATATATATATATAAAGTTTATATTATTATTTATGCATACATAGAAATAAAATAACATAAAGGTATATTTTATATTTTAGAAATATCCTATAAAATGCAAGAAAATTGGAGGTATACTAAGAAATAGTAATAGTCGAGTTATTTCGTTAGAAGTTGACTCCACCTGCAAAGTTCTTGGATGTCATGGAGTAGGAAATTCTATAGAATTGTTTTATCTATTACCTGATGACAAAATAAAGGATAAAATTGCAAAAAGATTGAAAAAAAAGAAACGACAAGCTCAGCAGTGAGTTAAAATTTATATTAAAGTTGGAAATTTATTTCTAGTTGTGAGAAGATTCAATTACATTGCATATTTTTTCATCAATTAGAGAAGGGAAAGATATAGAAGAAGAGCTATCAAATGCACCATTACTCAAGGATGAGCTAAAGCGATTACTTGCCATTCAAGCATCTGGTAAAGCAAAAGGACTTGATTTAATTATGGGGAAAGGAATGAACTTAGAGTTAGTATATAATGCATAAATATTAAATACTAAATTAAGTTATCAAAAAATTGGATGTTATATTTTATTTCTTGTGTGCAGGTATGCATTGGAGTGAATAACAATTCAATCGAATTACATTCTTTATATGTAGAAGAGAAAAATCCTGAAGTAAAGCTTTTACGTTCAATAATGACACATGGGCATCGTACAGATGTCCGAGCTATTTGTTTTAGCTCTGATAATTTGGCATTTGCTACTGCTAGTGGAGATTCTGTTAAATTATGGAACAGGTAGTATATACTCTTAAATATATTCTTAATAAAGAATAAATGTTAAAATTTTTTCTTAACTTGCACAACATTTTTAGGCCTACATTGGCATGTTTACGTACAGTGGAATGTGGGTATGCTTTGACAATAACATTTGTGCCAGGTGATAGACATCTGATTGTTGGTTTAAAAAATGGTAAAATGCTTATTATTGATATCGCATCTGGCGATATTTTAGAAGAAGTAGATGCGCATTCCAAGGAGCTTTGGAGCGTAACATTATTTCCTGATTTGGTAATACTTTTTAAAGAAAAATATTTTAATAGTAATTTATTTATTTTAAAACTAACTGATATATTTTGCATATTTGTGATATTGTACAAATAGAAAGGGGTTGCTAGCGGTAGTAGTGATCGAACGGTAAAGTTTTGGAACTTTGAACTTATTCAAGATTCCGATAATCAGATAAAAGCAAAGGTTCTTTCTGTTTTACATTCAAGAACGCTCAAGCTTGAAGAAAGCGTATTATGCGTAAGAATAAGTCCGAACAGCAGATTTGTTGCTGTTTCTCTATTGAACTCTACCATTAAAATCTTCTTCTAGACACATTTAAGTACATAATTATCTTACAATACTATATTTTCTTATTACATATGTATTTTAAATTTTATTGTATTTCTCTTGTGTAATATTTCATATTTGTATTCTAGTTTTTTATATAATTATCTTACAATACTATACTTTCTTATTACATATGTATTTTAAATTTTATTGTATTTCTCTTGTGTAATATTTCATATTTTTATTCTAGTTCTTTATATCACTTTACGGACACAAGTTACCAGCTTTGTGCATGGATATATCTAGCGACTCTACGCTCATAGCAACTGGTTCCGCCGATCGCAACGTTAAGATTTGGGGTCTGGATTATGGAGATTGCCACAAATCCATATTTGCGCACGACGATTCTATACGGGCCTTTCGTTCGTACCTAAAACACATTATTTCTTTACATCTGGAAAAGATGGAAAAATAAAACAGTGGGATGCCGATATATTTCGAAAGATCGTCACGTTACAAGTAATATATTTCATACTTTATACTTTATCAAATTGCATATCGATAAATCAATTATAATACAGCTCAATATTTCTGTAGGGTCATGTTGGAGAAAGTTGGAGTTGTTGTGTTTCACCCAACGGGATTTTGTCGGTTCGTGTGGTTCTGATAAAGTAGTTCGATTATACGAAAGGTCTGAAGAACCATTAGTATTAGAAGATGAAGCGGAAGAAGAAAGAGAACAACAGGAAAACGAGCTAGTCACTGGTGAAACCACTACAGTGTTAGGGCAGAAACAACAAGTGTTGCCTTCTAGAAAGACTGTTAACAGTGAAAAGGCTGTAAGTTACATCACTTTAAAACGCATAATTTTTGTAAAAAAGATATTTGTTTTATGATATATATTGTTTTATGATATATATTGTTTTATGATTGTATTAGGCTGAATTGATACTGGAATGTTTGGAAGTGTCCAAACAATACGAAATAGAATTGAAAGGAGCTGTTTCTGCTGATAAAACACCACCTCTTCCTCTGCTAATGCAAGCTTACAATTGTACAAACACAGAAGACTTCTTACTGGAAACTTTTAAGCGCGTTAGGGCTAGGTAAAATGCAATAAACGTAATAATCTTGTTGCATAAAGAAAATATAATTGAAAATATTGCATATTTCAGTGAATTGGAAGAAACATTACTGTTATTACCGTATTCTGCAGCTTGTGATATTCTACAGAAACTTCCTAACTTGTTGAATAGAGATTATCATGCTGAATTATTAGCCAGATTAGCTTTGTGTTTATACAAGCACATTACGGACCAATAGTAACCAATAAAAATCTTTTGCCCACATTAGAGAGTGTGAAGAAGCTCGCTGTAGAAAGGATATCCATTTTGAGAGTAATAAAAATTTATTTATTACATATATATATATACTTATAAGAATGCACTTAGTTATTACATAAAATAATTATGATATTTCTCAGGATACTATTGGATTTAATTTGCATGGTATGATGCACACGCAACGCATTCTCGAGGAACAAGAAGGAATCAAATTCTTTAGAGATGCCAGTAAGAATAGTGAACACAAGAAGAAAATTAAAAGAAACAAAGAAAAAGCTTTGAAGAGGGCGATTATGAACCTGTAAATGTGAAAAACTTTGTTACATATATACATAAATAAAATAAAAACTTTCATACATGATGCATAAATACATTTTATTTATATTTTAATATACATCATATATATATATATATATATATATATATATATATAAATTATAGCAATTAAGTTTATATTAGAAATTGTTAAAAAGTAATAATTGTTTATTACAATAATTAAAAATTAAACAATTACTACAACAATTATTACAATAATTAATAATTAAAAATTTGTACTTTCCATCCTATATATTTCTATCTATGCATCTATATTTGCATTCTCGCTCTCTCGCTTACACAAATAACAGATCCACCTGTGTAGACACAAAACAGATCCAGCTGTGTAGTAGCGATATGCATAATCGGCGATCATTTGCAATAAAAATATTATTAGATAAATCTGTATGAATATAAATCTATATAATAAAAATTGGTAAATATTATTAGCAAGTGAGAATTAAAACTATAAATATATATCTATATATATCCATAAAATGACACAATATACCTCCTAAGATGATTGTTTACTCTCATTTATCGTAAATAAAGATTGAAAATGGATCACGAAGACGAATTTCTTAATGCCTTCTTCACCCAAGTTGCTCAGTTGTGTTCTGAGAAAGCTAAAGAAACAGTTGTGAGTAAAGATAATAAAATAAATAAAATTTTTGATAAAAAATTCTCATTATATGCACTAATGTAATGTATTATAATTTAATTCAGGAAAAAGAAAGGGAATCATGTAAACAGATGCAGATGGGTCCTTGGGGGATGCTTCTGATGCATTTACCACAGATAGCTATAGTGGAGCGTTCATATGCAGATTTGGGTTTTCTTCACACTAAAAATAAGGGTTTCCTTAGAAAGGATGTATGTATCCAGCAATTATTTAAATTGACAATTGTTTGATTATTAAATTTTATAAGTTAATATTGCTTACACAGAACTCTTTAAAAACTGTATACGAAGCATTAAAGTCTGATTTAAAGAGATTAGAGGAAATGACAAGAGGAACAAATTCTATCGGTACAACAGTCGCTAATGTTTCCAATCAACTCTGTCAATTCATCATGGCAAGAATCCAGCTGATAGATTTGTCAGTATGTTAGTATTTTAATTATCTGTCTTTGATCTATATTTGAAATTATTATATTACAGTTATGAGAAAATGTACAATATGAGTACAAATAGCAAAATTATGAAGCATCAAGAATTGCTGCAGTGTATAGAAGGAATAGTAGAGTGCCATTTATTATCCTGTTCTCATTTAGCATTAACTGCTATTAAGACAAGTTTAACGTAAGTGTCATTCTTGCATTTTGTAGAAATATAAATTTTTATTTAGTATGTGGAAAGAACTAATAATTCTCATCATTCAGATTGGAATGTGAAATACTAGTACAATTAATGAAGGCACAAGTAGAAGTTCAAAACTGGAGGTTTCTACCGACTCTAATGGCTCTTTATGGAGCACAAGCACGAATGACAGCTTGGGAAAGAACTTTGCAAAGCAAGGAGGTAATATATCCTAAATAAAAGAACATTATGAAATATCAATTTTCCCAGTATTCTAATCTCAAATGTTTCAGTCCTGGAAATTGGGCTTTGGTGCAACATTTCTCAAGACGAATCAACAGCCGGCGTTGTATCAATGGCTAGTGAAACTACGCAGTGCCATATTAGCTAAATGTTCTTTATATTTTCACACTACATTAAGTCAACAAGCTAGTTCAGGGGAAATGAGAAGTATCATGAGCAAACAGAGTGTGGACTATTATCATAAGTAAGATATTATTTCATTGCTTGCATGATATGTATTTAATAACTGTTTAATAGTTTTAAATATAATCTAAACTTTTTTTTAGGATACAAAGTTTTCAACGAAAACATGATGTACTAGCAGTACTGATTATTTTCGATTCCAGAGGAACTGAAAATTCAGGTTCAGGATATAGACATCCAGGAAGAGAAACTGACGTATCTCCGAGTTTTCCTGTTGTTATTTGTTGTCCTAATGTGAGTAATAAATTTACATTAATCGTTTAATTTCTATTTGCATCAAAGATACAATATTCTGTTTTTTTTGTACAATAATTAACAAATGATATTTGTTTTTTTCAGCCATTTATGCAGAAATTATTAGTACATTTAGACAACATTCAAACTAAAATAAAGGAACGTCATACAGAACTTCTTGCTATGGATAAAGTTGTATATCATAAATGCACAAAGGTAGGTATGTCAATTACAAAATAATTTTTAAAATAAATCATAAATTGCGAGTTTGTATGTATTCATAGGAGTTATGCACATATGCTTTCTACAACACTGATCCTAAAATGACTCTTGTTATTATATCTGAAAATGGGAAACAAGGGACAAAGAAGCTCATATTACATCATTCCTGACTGATCTCTCTATGCATATCAGATGTAATAAGGTTTATGAGTGTCTAAAATTATCAAAGTGAGTAATTGTATAAGAATAAATTATACCAAAGACCTGATTGTTATAATTATAATAATCAAAAATTAATCAATCTATATATAACTGTACAAAATGCGAATAAAATTTATATTTTACTGTTTATATTTTAATTATCTTAGGAAATCGCTCTTTCTCTGCCTTTCATTCTTTGATGAAACCTATATTTTTTATTTAGATCTTTTATATAGATATTTCTTGAATGAAATTAATTGTAACTTCGTATAAGGAATAATTTATTAGAGATGAGTTACAAATGTAAACAACAAAAGAAAAAAATTTATTTTTATACAATGCTGTAATGAGAAAAAAATGTCAAATTTCGTTTAATACTGCCATCTACATCTACGTCCGTTTGACAGGTTAGAATTTTCCGAGTTCAAAGCGTACAGACGTAAATTCAACACGTAGCGTTTCAAATTTGTCATTTGTCAAGAAATTTGCAAAGATGACAGATAACAAAAACGATAAGGCGAAAGTCGATCTTGGATTACTCGAAGAAGACGACGAATTCGAGGAATTTCCCGCGGAAGGTACACAAATTAGTTAGATTTGATTTGTCATATATATAATGTAACCTCGAAATTGCTGATTCATTAACTAGATTGGACCGCGAAGGATGAAGACAGCGAGGATATTAGCGTTTGGGAGGATAATTGGGACGACGATGACGTTGAGGACGATTTCAATCAACAGCTAAGGTATTGCTTTGACAAAATGTTTGATTAAAAATATGACAAACAAGTGGAACGGAACATTTAACCTTGCTCTAAGAATTATTTAATATTAAATACATAAAATTTATAGAGCGCTGCAATTATTTTCAGAGCACAACTAGAGAAACAGAAAGCAGGTGAAACAACTAAGGAAAGTTAATTATATAATAATAATAATACCTTTATATTTATTGTATCTTACATAATAAACATATAATTAAGTATTAAGTCTGGGTATGTCTAAATTTCATATTCTCACAATCTTTGGAATGTAATGATAGAGCTGTAACTTTTGTATACTTTATATAATATGCACCATATGTTTTGTAGAAACATTTTCTGTAAAATGCAGAAAATGCAACTTCTTTGTGTGTGTACAAAACTTAATTATTAAATATAAATGCTTAGTATAAGTCCAGAAATGCATATAGTAGCTTTCCAAAAATGACTCACTCGTTTCATCTTATTTCATTGATAATGAGTCATTGTTCTCTAATGGAACAAATACTTGGCATATCTTATTGTAAATGTATAATCAGGTACAGTCTTTATTTTAAAAAATTGTCGGTTTTCGCAAAATCTAAACAGTCAACATATACTGTACATATATATAGATATATGGCACACATTAATTTTCTTTACATAAATATTTTGATATATCTTAATGACTTCAATATATCATTAAGAAAGTAATACAATATATGAATCTTGTAAATAGCTAAGTATTTTTATCTAAATGATTGAATAAAAATTAATTTGTGGTATCATGATTTGTTTTACAGGAAACTAATAGTTCTGATACTATTGCATCTAACATCTGCATGTTTAAATCTATATTAATCTTTTTGATTTCGTACGATCTTAATAAATAGTTCAGAGCTTTGTGTATATTGTCCTCACCAAATATCAATTTTACACCGTATGAGATCTTTTCCTGTAATGTGCGCACCAACTTATCTTTCAATTGTGCATTGGTTTGACTTGTGATATTGTTGTGTGATGCATTGCAAATTAGTGAAGAATTACTCAAGGAGTCAAATAACCAAAGAATCATTTTCTGTAAATAAACTTAAAGTTATGAAAAGCTTAAAAAATATAATACTTTTTTTCAGACTTGACTCACCTGCAAAATTGGCTCTGAGATATTTCCTAATAGCAATTTAGTCCATCTAACGACTGCTTCTTGTTGTAATGTATTATTACTAGCAATCCCTGTTAGAAGTTCACAAATTAGATCTACAGTCGTACATGTCAATGCTAAGTTAGAATCCAACTCGTCAACTTCATCTAAAAAACATAATATACACTTTTTATTATTACAAAATATAAATTTTATAAATATTTTTAAAAAACACTTATTACTGTAGCTACCATCGTATGAAGTGTTAATAGTTTCCCACCAACAATCCAGTAATTCTGAATTGCCACTAGTTTCCATTGAGTCAACAGCCTCGTAAGCTGTGTCTACCACACAATATTCTGTTTTTTCTGCAATCAATTGTTGTAATTCACAAGCCAGACTTTTCTACAACAATAAATAGATATTTCAAGTGATATTATATTTATACCTATTATTAATCTATAATTAGTAATTATATTATTAAAAAATAGAATTGTGTATGCATACATAAATTATATTGTTATATATTTAAATAATTAGCATGTTTATGTTGTAATTTTAGATTTCATTACCGATTTTATATCCTCAACGAATCTCCAGGGTATGTCAGATAATGGCATTAATGTAGGTAGAGGAGGAGCTTCTTCTTCTTGATCCATTTCAAAGCCTGGCACAACAGTCTTCAACGTATTGAAGACACCAGTTACAGTCTTAGCTAAAAATCGATCCAAACGAGGCGCTATCGCATCCGCTTTTTTGCCCGCGCTACTACTTGGCCGAAGAAAGTGACGCAATTGCGGTGGACACTCATTCGCCAATCGTGTACACAGCGTTTTTAAATACGTCTCCAGTTCTATCCGACCACCTTCGGGCAACACTAGCTCGGACATAACATTATTTAATGATGAAATCTAAAATTTGTAAAATGCAATTATTAAGTTTAAATTATTTTTTTTATGAATTTATATTTAATATTTGTGTATCGCTTATAAATCTTACTTCTTCCAGACTAAGATGCAACTGAACAAAATCGCAATATTGCCTCCTGACAGTAGCGGTAGTTGTCTCGAATAAATCTACCCACGTTGCTCGACATCATCGAATTGTATACAATAGAATAATTGTTGTGAACCATCTGTTGCAGTATGAAATTCGGTCCATGGAATTGACAAATTCATAAACTGGCTTCCTTCATATATTACATAAGATTTTTCTTCAACATGTCTGAAATTTAATTCATATAATAATAAGAGTTACAGATACATATAATAATATATATGTATATAATTAAAATGTTTTTACTGACAGTGGTGTTGTTGCTGTGGACTTCTGTTGTAACAGATTTCTAAGCCTAGCAATGGTTGTGGCAAAATCCGTTGGTTCTTCATATACAGGTGAAATCTTATCCTCTTCTAATTCCAGATCTGCATCCGTTATGCTATCTCCCCAGAGACCTCTGTATTCCGTTGTGGAGAGACCCTCTAAACATAAAGTCGATCTTTCCGGAGCTGCCATTGAAGCTGCGCTTTTGTCTTCATTCGTAGAAGTTGCAGATGGACTAGATTTAGGTACAGATTTTGGCAATTGCTGCGGGATCACGGCTGCTGTCGCGGATACGATGCCATCACTCAGAGCAACAGTTATGGTACCCTGAAGGAATGATTAAAGTGTATTTTTTAACTTTCGTAACGCGATATATTGACATTATCATAATTACATTTTCTTTAGCTGGAGTAGCAGCAACTGTATTTGGCGGAGTTTCCAGTAATTTTAACAAGTTCCCGAGCAACCATTCTGGGCAGCTTATTGTGTCTATTGTTATTAACAGTTTTTTCGCTAAAATAGATAACAGAAGTTTGCACGGTAATGAACTGGTTAATTCCCATTGTAGAAATTCTTGTGCTAGAACAGTGACCAAATGATGTAACATATGTTCTAATGTTGATGCACTGCGAGAACCAGGATGTAAATATTTGTATGCTTCTTCCACATTGGATACAGCGCCCTTTTCGACTCGACGTAGAGCCCTGCAGAACATAACTAATAAGCGACGAACTTAAACAATATTTTGCAAAGATAATAAAAATGGATGATAAATTCATACCTACGATATTCCTTTAAGTGTAGCAGTAATACATTTGCCAACTTATTGGCGACTTTTATTTTATCTATGAGACTGACTTTCAAAACAAGTCTTGTTAAAAACTTGCTCAACAAGTCCTGCGCCTCATTGGGAAATGACTTGTCATTACTTATATTTTTGTACCAAATTTCTATACACTTTGCATCAATTTCTCGTACTGTATCTGTTAAATTCAACTTTTTTTTTTTGTTAAAGGAATGTCATTTTTACAGGAATCTCGTAAGATTGCATTATTATTGCATTTAACAGTATCTTTTTGTGAAGAACTCAAGTCCTTTTGGTTTTCATTATCACTTTCATAAATGATTTCTGTATTCTTGTCTATCAAAGAATCCAAACTTAGATAACTAATTAGCCTCTCGTATATCCATTTATTCATAAATTTTAAAGAAATTGGACTATTGGCTTTAAGTGTCAGACGTAATAAGCAACAACTCAACCATACAGATATAATCGTAATAAATATAGCCCAGGAGATGGAAACATATATCGGCAGAGGTGTAAGACCTGTCCATCCTTGTACAATTAAAGACAATACTGCAGCTACTATACTAAAAACTAATAATATTTGGTTTAACCAACTCATTGGTATAACTTTTTCCATTTTGCATTTGCTGGTACTTCTAATTATCTATAATTAAGTCTCACATTTTCGTGTTACAGTAACCAAAACCTGTTGCAAAAAAAACGACATTCTTAATCTTATATCATCTATCATATGTTCAGAAAATTAAAAAATAGAACACTATCGATTGGAAAACCGATAATGTACTTTAAACAAAGGAAGATAAATGTTTGTGTGCGCGTTTAACTAAAAAAACAATTTAATGAGCAAAATAAATGAAATAATAAGTGCATCTTGGAACGACGTACAAATACAGTAAATAGAAGTAAAATACAGAACGAAATTTACTTTATACAATGTAAAAGTGTACTATAGACTCGAACATTTATTGACAGCTCCGGAAACCTACCGGGCATCCAGTCTTTCTTTCGCACAGCTGTTTGCCATTCCTGGGGTTTTCTCGTGGGGAGGTTCACCCCGCCACGTTAACGAGTTGAAGGATCGCGAAAGAATCGACCGCACTCTCATCTGTTATGACAAATCCATATCGCGCGGCTCCGCGATCTCTTTTTCACGTTGATTCGTTCGCGTGTCGGAGCGAATCTTCCGTCAACATTCCCGTTCCGACGCGGCCATAGATCACGCGTTTTCGCAAGATAACCAACAATCAATTGTGATTCGTCTTTGCGGATCGAATCGCGTCTCGTGACGTCACATTTTTTTTCAACCTATCGCGACCAATTTGTATATCTACGCGTCAATATTTCGATAAAAATTGCCAGCCCTGATAGCGCTGAAAAAGAAATCACGCACACATTCACGTATCTTCTTTTCTTTTATGACATCGGACATCTATATATTATATATCTATAGCTTCAGATTGCATGAACAGGTCTGCGCGCGCCCGGAAGTTGATTTCTTGGAAACTTGTATAATTTAATAGTACGTAATATATATATCTATATATACATAATTAAAGAAATCAGCTCTTAATGTAACATATTTTCTATTATATATGTATTCGGAGAATTTTTTATTATTCGGAGTACAGTATTTCGGCATCCAAAACTCCATTGTTCTTTTCGTTTTTCCGCTCGCGTAATTCAGGCAACTCGAATATGTTATGAGATTCCCAATAATTAGTATATTTCTCGAATTAAAAGGTCCGAAGCTCATCCAACGCTGATTGAATGCAAGTGTCCAAGGAACGACGACGTACCTGCATCGTATACCTGCATATATATACATCCTAATTTTAGTATTCGAGAAGAAGGGGATCTTCAGATAAGGAAAGAGAGAGAGAGAGATGTTCGGCGCGGGTCGATTTCTAGTAGGGACTCTATTTTTGCTATTTCTTCATTTGCATAGGTATCGTACGCTCATATTATTTTGCCTCGTTGCTATTGAGTTACGCGCATCCCCGGTGATCCCCGGCATGTGGCCGACACATGGCGCGCCAAATATAACGAGGCTGTCGCTCGAAATACGACCCTTGCTCATGTATGGTCTAAAGTCTAAAGCGAATCCGAAAGCGATATAGATACATTTACGTTTTTGTCTTTCCTCTTTCTTGGATCCCACACAATGTGTATATTCAAAGAAAGATATGTCTTCTCACCTTCAGATATATCTTCAGGATATCTTCTCAATGTCTTTTGAATATACATTCTGTGTGAGATAATATGTTACATCCTATTTAAAAGAGAAAAACGAATGAATAGTCTATGTCGTGAATTCTTGTCTTAGAAAAATTTCTCTCGTAACATATGAATTATACATCTTTTTTTAATTTGAAAATGTAGAAGAATTTGGAAATCACATATCAACTTCATATATTGATTCTCTTCTTTAATATCTCGACAATAAATATTAATGTCTACGCCTATTTAATATATCTAGAATTCTTTTATATTTTTATATTCTGGAATTTTTCTTATACTTGTATATTTAATAACTTTTATTTTTTATTTTAACAGGTTCGAGATGGCACGTAATATTATGTCAAACTATATATTCTGCTTGCTGTATGCAAAAGTCAACTGAATATTCTATAACAATTGCACGAGGATGGTAAAAATTTCTCCCTTAAAGCTGCAGTTCATATTAGAGAGTTGTCATATGAGGACAACGTCCTCAATTAATGGAAGATCATATTCTACCGTGGAGTTATTACATAACATATGATTTTATTGTCAATTAATCGTAAAATACAATAAGAACGCGATTTGCCGGACAACAATGTGAGCCGACGTGGCCGGATGTGCCTGATCATGAACCCTCGTCATTGATGTCGATGATTATGTTACGAGTGTCGCAAAAGCCAAACTTGCGCGATTGTCAGCGAACAAGCGTATATATTTATGTGCACAATGTATAGGTACATATATGTATGCATACGTTTACACGTGTGGGCGGAGAAGAACTCAAATTGCTCAAGTTGTCGAAAAGATAATCAATAAATTAATTAACATTCATAAACAAATAGTCGTGTTGTATAAACTACAAATTATAGTAAAGTCTGGTAAATGTGTAGCATAAAGGCACTTGAGTAATTGGTTTTTTCTGCGATCTCGTCTCGTATCTCGTCTTCCTCTTTTTCTCTTTTTCTTTTCCTTCCCTTTTCTCGTCTCTTTGTATTTCACAATGAATACTATGTAATTTGTAATTGCAAATCATGTGTGAAGAGTGTGTGTAGAAAAGGAGATAAATAAGGGAAAGAAAAGAGTCATGATGATGATGATTGAATGAACGTTTGAGTGATTCTCGATATGTCTTTTAGAAGCATTTGCGGTGAACGATACCGGGGCCGGACTCGTCGTACTCTTGCTTGGAGATCCACATTTGCTGGAAGGTGGACAGAGAGGCCAGGATGGAACCGCCGATCCATACGGAGTATTTTCTCTCGGGTGGAGCAATGATCTTGATCTTGATGGTTGACGGCGCCAGAGCGGTAATTTCCTTTTGCATACGATCAGCGATACCGGGATACATGGTGGTACCACCAGAAAGAACAGTATTAGCGTACAAATCTTTGCGGATGTCGACGTCGCACTTCATGATGGAATTGTAGACGGTTTCATGGATACCGCAAGATTCCATACCCAAGAAGGAAGGCTGGAACAGAGCCTCGGGGCAACGGAACCTCTCGTTACCGATGGTGATGACCTGACCATCAGGCAACTCATAGCTCTTCTCGAGAGAAGTGCTAGCGGCAGCGGTGGCCATTTCCTGTTCAAAGTCCAGGGCGACATAGCAGAGCTTCTCCTTGATGTCGCGGACGATTTCTCGCTCGGCCGTGGTGGTGAAGCTGTAGCCTCTTTCGGTAAGGATCTTCATGAGGTAATCGGTAAGATCGCGTCCGGCCAAGTCCAAACGGAGGATGGCATGAGGAAGAGCGTAACCTTCGTAGATGGGTACGGTGTGGGAGACACCATCACCGGAGTCCAGGACAATACCAGTGGTACGACCAGAGGCATACAGGGAAAGGACGGCCTGGATGGCGACGTACATGGCCGGACTGTTGAAGGTTTCAAACATAATCTGCGTCATCTTCTCTCGATTAGCTTTCGGATTCAAGGGGGCTTCCGTAAGGAGAACCGGATGTTCTTCGGGAGCGACACGCAGTTCGTTGTAGAAGGTATGATGCCAGATCTTTTCCATGTCATCCCAGTTGGTGATGATACCATGTTCTATGGGATACTTTAGTGTTAATATACCTCTCTTGCTTTGCGCCTCGTCGCCAACGTAGCTGTCTTTTTGACCCATACCGACCATCACACCCTGAAGAACGATATTATTTGATTGTTATGTAAGCGTGTTTAAGTTAGATAATATGTTAAGTCACTCTCTTTAATGAATCTAATAGCATTTTTGATTGAAATGGATTTGGAAACTGTTTAATTGCTCCAAAAACGAGAAATATTTTATGAAATTTTGAAAAATGGATATATAAATAAAAGTTAAAAACCTGAGGCAAAATTATGATATCTTTAATTGCTTTCAAAATGATTCTTCTTTAGACCACAACGCTTTATATATGTGTGTACTAATTAAAAGAGATTTTAACAATACTAATTAACAATAATAATGTCTGTTGATAGATATATAATGCAGATCAGATGAGTTTACAAATATCTCTCTGACCAACCTGATGACGAGGGCGGCCGACTATGCTAGGGAACACGGCGCGAGGTGCATCATCCCCTGCAAATCCGGCCTTGCACATACCGGATCCATTGTCCACAACTAATGCCGCAACATCATCGTCACACATCTTGATTGATTGTTGATGTTACTTTCTGAGAACACATGGAAAGAGAGACATTTTATAGTGTAAGTTATTGTATTAATATAATTATGAAAATACTATGATCAAGTATTTCTTGATCAATAAATTAATTCGATTAAATCTACAATTAGATTGCATTCGAGTTAATACAATAAAAAAGTTAATTATCTTTTTCACAGTTTTTAAAAGATATAAAAGATGTTGAAAATTAATATCAAAAAATCAAGATAGACTGCTAAAATAAATTTTATAATTAATATACTACATATTAATATATTACAATTCACTTGTGCACCTTCACCAGATATCACTTCACGCTTTATTCGATTATGCAAACCTCTTCCGATTTACGCTTTGCACCATTTCTTCAGAATTTCCTCGAAAATATACGATCAGCGAGACTTATAAATTTCGAAAATCAGTTCCCGATTCTGAAGAACTTCAACGTAACACCGTTTATTCGAATCACTGTCGATCCTGTCGATCGAGCATGAAGAATCCTCGCGATCGTTAGGAAAATAAAACCGATCAGAGGAGATTCTCGAAGATGGTGCGCGCAAAGCGAAGGGGTTGCTGCGATTCGCGGTTGCAACTAAGCACGGCGATTTATTACCGTTTACTGATGTGTTTCGCAGAGCCGAGAAAGAGATCGGCGGACGATCGCTCAGGATCGCGTGTTGTACGTCGTACAAGAGACCGGCGAGAGCGGCGAGTGGCGCAGTGCCGGCTCCGTGGGGTCCCTTTATCCATATCGGTCAGCGGCCGAAAATAGCGATCCGCCCCTTACATGGAAATCTGCTGCCCGCATTAACGTTGGGCCGGGAGCCCGCGTTGCCCGTTAGAGTCGGCCTAGTCCTTAGTTCGCCCTAAACAGAGGAGCTGCGGTAGAGGGAAGAAGAGGGAGAGGAAGACGTCGACGCGGTAACTACGACGACAACTCGGTGGTGGCCGACGGTCCCTGGGTCCAAATAAGGACTCGTCACGAGCCAGGGCTGTCGGCAGCTGCTGCGGGCCTCGACGAAGGGATGAGACTCTAAAGGAAATAGAACTTGGAAGAATCGAGAGTCAAAGGATGAAAGAAAAATCATAACAGTTTAGAGAAGTAAATTTAGAATTCAACAAAGTTCTGAATAAGGTACGAACGAAGTAGATTTCAAGAAATGAATTTTTTCGCGAGATTAACTCTTCGAAGATCAAAGCTTGAAAGATTGAATCTCTCAAAAGATTATAACTAGAAATATTTAATTTCGAAATAAAACAAATTTCAAGGGACTAATCTTTAAAAACATAAATGAATTGAGTCTTCAAGATATCAAATATTTAAAAAGAACTTCAAAGGGTTAATTCTCGCTATGGCAAACATATCTTGAAGTAATCAGTGTCTCATTCTGCGTTCTCTAACCATCACAATCACCGATATAGTTTTCTTTTGAAATCAAGTAACATTCAAAATTCAAGCAGCCTATTTGAAAAAAATACTTTCCTTTTTTAAATAATTATTTTCTGACAATGTGAGAACATATATCCATTAGATCGCCAAGTCATATTATGTCATATTCTTCGTACTTTTGGCACGTATCGTTAGCGGATTGCGTTTACGAGTGATTCGGATCATATAACACGATATGACATCTAATCATATTCACTCACGAGAAGTGAAAGAATTGCGAGCGCAACTATCGAGCAAAACAATCTTATTTGGTAATTGCAGCTTTCGCTAATTTGCTATAATTGGCAGGTGCACAGGGCGACTCGCTCACTCGAGCCATCGCAAAGATCCCCTCCACGTTTTTGCACTGCCGGCAAAGCCGATGCTGGTACCGATTCACATTGCCGAGTTTCAACCCCGAAAGGGCGCATCCTTTGTCGTCGAGCACCTCTCGTTAATCGCTATATACGGCCACAGAAAATCGCGAAAATAGCTTCAGTGCGAATGCGGAGGAGTGGCCGGATGTTTGCCGAAGAGTATTTCGAAGGTAAATGTCTTCATGTTTTTTATCCCGAAAGACCCGAAAGATTTCGAAAAAAATTATAATTATATCATTTAGCAAAATTAGAATGTATAATCATATTTACTTGCAAACTTGATTTCATGTTAGTGACGTTAATTTGTGCTGAGAGCTAAAAACAGGAATTTATAATTAATATAATTAAAAGAGTAATGTTTGGCAGCTATTATCATGATTACAGAAATAACCGGCTATGTAATTTTCGTTCAAAAGTCTTGTATGAATATATGATACTGTTTAGCATGATACAGCCACTCCTTTCCCTTTGTTGTATTTCTGACAATAAAATACAATTTTACTATATAAACCACTTCTACCAACAAAATATGTATAATACTGCAAAATGTACTTTGGTTTGGAAAATTGCCAGATACTCGAGACATTCTCGTCCATGTTTTATGTAATATCAGCTGTTTTACGTGTTTATGTAATATCGTCGCACTTGTTAATTTAAGTAATGCTTATCTATTTACATGCATATACGTCTTGTTACAGAATTTGCTGAAAAAGCTTGCTGAGAAGTTGAATAAACGTATGCCTGAATTATGCTTGTACAACTGAAAGGTAATCATATTCATAATCTCGAATATGCAATATATAGAATTTTTTCTAATCATGCATGGTTCCTCATTAATTCATATCAATTATGCACGAATCCAATGTCTTACCAAGCTATCATATAATTTTATCTGATTATGCAATAACTTTAGAAACCCTGTAATTTTGAACATCTTTCTGTAGAATTAATTAAATTCTAGATCTTACAATTACTTATGCAATATTTGTGCATTTCCACAAATGTATCATAATTTATATCTATCAAGTCAATGAATTTTATAATCACAAAAAAGTTCATATCTCTAAATCATTTATCTATTTAAAAAACCGATTAAAAATTATTAAATTATTTTTTGACACAGATTACATGATTAGTTGAACTAATTAATAGACAGATGCATAACGTGCTATTTATTATAGTGACAATTTTAAACAATAAAAAATAAAACATATTCCGTGAAAAAATCAATTAAGAAAAACTATTAAAATGCCGCTAATTATAGTACTTGTGCACTTATAAGGGTATTGAAGAATGAAAAATTACGAATTAAACGGCTGTAAGAATGTAAGATTGATTTATTCCATAGACGTAAACTTATATACAAAAGATGACGTATATGCTCGTATGATGGTCGTTGATAAAAGACTCGCTGCCACGGACCAATAGTAACGATAATAGTATTCGACTAACAGAGATCCAACTAGAAGCGATGCGGCAGTGAATAGTACATCTTAGGGAAAGGTGTAGCAATAATAACAATAATAATAATGAATAGCATCGAGCGTAATTGTTTAGAAGCACTTGCGGTGAACGATGCCAGGGCCAGACTCGTCGTACTCTTGCTTGGAAATCCACATCTGTTGGAAGGTAGATAGGGAAGCCAGGATGGAACCGCCGATCCATACGGAGTATTTCCTCTCGGGTGGAGCAATGATTTTGATCTTGATGGTCGAAGGTGCGAGAGCGGTGATTTCCTTCTGCATACGGTCAGCAATACCAGGGTACATGGTGGTACCACCAGAAAGAACATTGTTGGCATAGAGATCCTTACGGATATCGACGTCGCATTTCATGATGGAGTTGTAGACGGTCTCGTGAATACCGCAAGATTCCATACCCAGGAAGGAAGGCTGGAAGAGAGCCTCAGGAGTACGGAACCTCTCGTTACCAATGGTGATGACTTGACCATCAGGCAATTCGTAGCTCTTCTCGAGAGAAGTACTGGCGGCAGCGGTGGCCATTTCCTGTTCAAAGTCCAGGGCGACATAGCAGAGCTTCTCCTTGATGTCGCGAACGATTTCTCGCTCAGCCGTGGTGGTGAAGCTGTAACCTCTCTCAGTGAGGATCTTCATGAGGTAGTCGGTAAGATCTCGTCCGGCCAAGTCCAAACGGAGGATGGCATGAGGAAGAGCGTAACCTTCATAGATGGGTACGGTGTGAGAGACACCGTCACCGGAGTCCAAGACAATACCGGTGGTACGACCAGAGGCGTACAGGGAAAGGACGGCCTGGATGGCGACGTACATGGCCGGGCTGTTGAAGGTTTCAAACATAATCTGCGTCATCTTTTCACGGTTAGCTTTCGGGTTCAGAGGTGCTTCGGTAAGGAGGACCGGGTGTTCCTCGGGAGCGACACGCAATTCGTTATAGAAGGTATGATGCCAGATCTTCTCCATGTCATCCCAATTGGTGATGATACCGTGCTCAATCGGATATTTCAAAGTGAGGATACCTCTTTTGCTCTGGGCCTCGTCGCCCACGTAGCTGTCTTTTTGACCCATACCGACCATCACACCCTGATGACGGGGTCGACCAACAATCGAAGGGAAGACGGCGCGAGGAGCGTCGTCTCCAGCGAAACCGGCCTTGCACATACCGGAGCCATTGTCTACGACCAGGGCAGCTACTTCGTCGTCACACATGGTGGCTTTCTTTCGATTTCAACTCTCTGCAACAGAAATGATGGGATGTCTTTCAATCTGTTATTATTATCGATGTTTCATGAGTATATGTGATAATCGCTTATGGTTGGCTCATACCTATCTGTGGTCTTGTTTTTGTTTCATTATTGACATGTTATCACAATAGATTAATTGTTGCTATTTTTAGAAAAAAATTCACGTTATGCATCACTAGCACTTTCGTATGTAAGAAAGAATTTTGCTAGAATTAATTGTGTAAATTTAAAGGTACACAATAATTATATAAAAAGTGTTAATGTTAATATTTTGTTACATAAGGAATAACAAACTAAAATCATATTGAAAATTTTATAGTCTATGCGAAAAATAAATATTAGTATTTTTATTTTTTAAAAATTGCACCAAGGATAAAACTGATTGCGTGTAATTAAAAATATCGAATGAATAATTCTTTGATAAATACAATTTGTTTCGCTTTCTGTTCTTGTAAATTATATTTAATATTTTCTGCAAAATTTTATTTTAAATTAATTTAAAAAATTGTAATATATGATTATAATTATAAAAAAGTTATTTTATAATTAATAATGATAAATTGTGTGCAGGTTTCAGGATTTCTCGAATGGATAAACAATTGGATCGAATAGATCGCACAATTCTTTACAAACAAAAATTCTAAATTATTTCGGAAGAGAACATTTAATTAAAAAGAAGAATAACTAGCTGTTTAAAAAAAACTTCCTGTTCGATAATAGCAACAAATTTAGAGGGTTCTTCATAAAATTGCTCCACGGTTGCTTGAAGCCAGAATTGACCTAGTTGCCTATAAAGCGATAGGCAAGGTGGCCCCAGCGTCGCGGCGCTATTTTTGTTCGACGCGTCGCTAACTTTAGACGTACGGCCGACGGACGCTCCCTAATAAGTTCAAGCGACGATTATGGTGGTCGACGCCGCCACCGCCACAGCCAACGACGACGGATAAAACATAACGCTTCGCCGCGAGGTAGCAGCGAGCGTGCCAAAATTATGCCTGCCCGCGCGGGAAAAAGGAAACAACATGATTGCAGTGCCGAAGACCTCGCCTATATGATTATGAACACGACGAAGAGGCAGCAATAATGTTAGTTTAACATTACCGCTGCTCGCAAGTCGTTTCTTGTATCTCGCTAATTGTAATTAAAAAGAAGCGAATGTGAGCGAAGTTCACCGACGTTGAGGAAACGAAGGAATGAGTAATTTTAGAAATTAACAGTGGAAAACATGAGGGTGCGATTCGCAGAGGATAGACTCTTTAATGGACATGGAAGCAAGCACGAACAGTATCGCAAATATAAAACTATTTTATAACTTGTTGAACATTTGCCAGCACAAGTAAGTGAAAAAAATTGTGAGATATTAAAATATTTCGAAGATTTTTAAAAACATAAAATATTTATAGAATTTTTATATTCATAATTTCAATCGTACTTTTGATTCTTTTCCAATATTGAACATTTATGTATTGTATAATAAGTTTTATTGTAATATGTGATATTGAGTTACAAATCTAAATCTTATATAGCAAATCTATAATTTTTTTAATCACTTTATTAGACAATTAATTTTAATATGATAGGCAAATAGTTATAGTGCCTTCTGGCACTCTGTGCACGTATTAGAAAGTATTTATAGTATTAACTATATAATAATTCTTTTTAAGTATTTTATAATGAATTTAATCTAATCTTTACTTAGAGTTTCCACAGTTAACTATGGGCAATCAACATTAGCTAAAGAAGACTTTAGTAAGAGGATTATGTTATGAATACTTTCTAGCATGTACACAAAAACTGATATTTGCTTGTTATATTATTTTTATTTAAATAGATTTTAAGAAAACGAGTCGAAAATATTACACAGACAAACACTATATCGAAATTTAATATTATTCATATTTAAATTTTTTAATATTTATAAAATTTTGCAAAGAAATTATCTATCGAATCTATTACATTAATTAGATAATTTATCTTAAAAATATTTTCCTAACTGTTATAGCAATTATTAATAATTATTGTTTAACATTGCTTGAATGGCGATATTAATATAATAATTAAAAAGTTAGTCGAAATCAATGTTTTTGACTTTGTTATTTCTATATAATGTTTGCAAATTATATAAATATTATTAGCACTGCTGTTAAAATTGATACGTGAAATATTATACATTTAAAAATTAAAATCAGTTTAATCGAAACAGGTTTTGCTCCCTGCACGTTATCGAGATGACAGATGTGCCATACAACACAACAATTATACAAGTGTTTTGACAATGCGCCAAGATTCGATCTCAATGGGTACAGTAATGTGGCGATCTCAATGAATCCAGTGATATGCTACGAACTTGAACTTCTTTTTGAGAAGTCGGCAACGAATTGAAGATACTTTCTTAGGTAAATAATTATATTATATCAAGTATAGTTAGATAAGATCTATAATATTTCGATTGCGAAATCTTGAAATTTTTCAGCAACCATTAAATACTTCTAGATTTGATTCATATCCAATCTACTGATCAAAATTAAAGAGAAATAATGAGGAATAGATTTTAAAAATATGATTAATCTGTAGATTTAATTTTAAATAACAGATATAAGTACAAAGTAATCTTCTTATTAAACTTATTCAGAGTAAATTTAATTCCAGAATCTTGATTAAACATAAATGAGAATAATAATAAAGCTGTTACTTTGAGAATTGTCGGTTATCACGAATAATCCTTATGGGTACAGCAGCTTATCACTCTTGTTTACTAATCACTACAGCACGCGAATGTCTCGATAAGGCGTCTTCGATAGAGCAGGCAAGAAGCAATCGTATTCCCCAGAGAAGAGGAGGAGATGTAATGTATCGCGGTAAAGCGGAAATTTCGTGCGGAAATTTACTACGTGTCTACATACCGTGCACGGGACAGAGGTGGAGCGGCGTCTGTGCCTCGGCGGCGTCGCGACGTCGATTATATGCTCTCGTCTGGACGCCCCCGCATTTTCGTGGGATGGTGCTTGCTCGACAGGCACGAAAAAGGCATCGCCTCGCGGGGCGTCGCGATGCTCGCCGAACTTAGGCGGCCGCAGCCCCTAAGCGGATCGACGAATATGCTTTACCGCTTTGGAAATACTCTATAGCGCGTTCCTGCCTTATGATTTGGAATGCTGCGCCGTTTCGTCGTTTCGACAAAAATTAATTCAACTTGCTTCATTTTTCTCCTCTCTTCTCTGGAGATTAGTTCGATAAATGTCAATTAAACTGATAGAATTAACTCGCAGCTAATAACATATCTTCATTTATTTTCACGAAGAATCTCATACTTACATATAATAAGATAATTTTTTTTGTAACAAAGATATGTTATAATATATAAAATCAGTATATTTTACATTGAGTAATAATGTCTATTTATCGCGAGAGTACAATAAACAAAACTTTATTTTTGGCTCAACATCAATGTTGACTCGAAATCGTTGTACGTCATATTATTATATAAAAATTATCTCATTATTTCTGTTGTATATGTCTATAATCTCGCGTTTAAATAATACTCGCATATCTGCATAATATAAAAATATTCTGTAAAATCTTCTATTTTGTCTATTTTTGACAGATCACTTTTTATTTTGCGAAAGCAAACATCACAAAATCTTCGACATGATCATATAATATATATGTATACGTAAGCTTTCTTTATCTTTTTTTTCTAAAAATATAACTTTGGAAAGAAATATCTTGCAAGAATCTGATACATATATAAAATCTTATTCCAAGTGCACACAATTCTATCTTACATTTTTTATTTATAAGTTTAGTTTGAAAAACTGTAATTATAACTATAATTATATGTAAAACTTTTTTGTGGGAAATAATTGTCGGAATAAAATACATCGTTTATACATCAATGAACAGGAAACGGAAAGGGAGAAAGTTTTGGTAAAAGTAAGGACCATATGCTCTGACGAATATCAGGGAGGTAACAAAAATACTTTGAGATTACGCGATGCGACCGAAATAAATTGTATCTTCTTCGCAAGAGCTTTTATCGCAGACATTCTCGCCCCTAAATATCAATGGAGCGTTTAAACACGTCTAAAGATTTCTAGAAACGCGATAAATACGAAAAATTCTGATAATTCGTAACGATCGGAAACAAATTTGTACATTCCTTTGCATTAGTTAGAACGAATAATATATATTTGATCGGGGAATTAAATAAAAAAATTTAACAATATGTGAAAATTCTTGTCATGTTTAGTAATTAATAGAAAAAATGTACAGTGTATGAAAAATTATTATAATTTAAAATAGGATGAATTGTATCAAAGTTATTCGTCGCAATTATATTTCATACGATATAAGTTATTTTAAAATTCGTGAACCTTTATTTTGCCGTGATCAAAGACAAATTTGGATGCGAGAGGACCAACATAATCGTGAAAGGGGAAAATGTTCAGTTATAAAATTGAATTTTAGCGATATTAACAATAAGTAATACTTGAGACAAATATTTGTGTGTATAAGCAAGTGTCCTCTCTCTCTCTTTTTAATTGATTGAAAGGATAAAGAAAATAGAATAACAATAGACTATTTCACACTATTTATATACAGTCTTAGAAGCTCTAAAACATTTTAAATTTTATAAATAATAAAATAAAAAATATTTTTGGGAGTAATTTATTTAAAAATTCGTGTGATTTTTTATAGAGACATGTGGAAAGCAACTTGATGAGAAGATGAATGGAAGTTTGGAAGGATGGTTTACAGACAAGGAGTTTGAGAGACAAAGATGCTACATAAATATCAAAAATGTTACGAGGTACGTGAGGAAATGTAAAAGATTATATAATAGTACGATAGTGTGTAGTGACATAATGTATATTTGAATTGACTTTGACATCGTATAACAATATTTATAATAATATAATGTAATATTTACAAAATAAGTTAAAGTATAGAAGTACACATTGGTAGAGCTTAATTGCTTTAGTTAGCAGACTAGATATAATTATATTGCAATACGTATTGAGAGACAATTGATTTTTCGGACGGTGATGAGGACGCTCGTGTGACAGTGAATAAAGCGCGACCTTCCCAATGTAGTCTCGAAATTCGTTGTCAGGCACAATCGTCGAGAGCCTTGCATGTCTTTACGATTCTGACCAGAATGTTCCTTTCGTAATCGAAAGATGCACCTGGGTCTCTCTTTCACATATTCCTTCAAGGACCCTTTCCGATGCTTGACAACGTTCAGGCTACAACGAGCAAAGTCCTGTAACGAGAGCCGATACCACCGACCGCTACCTCGGCCATGATGATGACGCCAAGTGAACAATGATATCGTCGTGCGCAGTTTTACAAGGCGACGACGAAGATGATCAGTCAGGCTGTTGTTATTTGCGCAATGATGAGCATGGCCGTGACAGTGACGATTTGATGAGATCCCATGATAATTGAGAGTCGATGATGATGTTTTCTCGTAGCAGCTTGATCGTTTGGGGCAGAACGGCATGCTAGTTTCTCGTTCTCCCCGAAGTAGGACGATATTCTTTCGATGTAGATAGCATCGTTGCGTCGATGATCGTGTAACGATGCGTTTAGAAGCATTTGCGGTGGACAATGCCAGGGCCGGACTCATCGTATTCTTGTTTGGAAATCCACATCTGTTGGAAGGTAGACAGAGAGGCCAGAATAGAACCGCCGATCCATACGGAGTATTTCCTCTCGGGTGGAGCAATGATTTTGATCTTGATGGTCGAAGGTGCGAGAGCGGTAATTTCCTTTTGCATACGGTCAGCAATACCAGGGTACATGGTGGTACCACCAGAAAGAACATTGTTGGCATAGAGATCCTTACGGATATCGACGTCGCATTTCATGATGGAGTTGTAGACGGTCTCGTGAATGCCGCAAGATTCCATACCCAGGAAGGAAGGCTGGAAGAGAGCCTCAGGAGTACGGAACCTCTCGTTACCAATGGTGATGACTTGACCATCAGGCAATTCGTAGCTCTTCTCGAGAGAAGTACTGGCGGCAGCGGTGGCCATTTCCTGTTCAAAGTCCAGGGCGACATAGCAGAGCTTCTCCTTGATGTCGCGAACGATTTCTCGCTCAGCCGTGGTGGTGAAGCTGTAACCTCTCTCAGTGAGGATCTTCATGAGGTAGTCGGTAAGATCTCGTCCGGCCAAGTCCAAACGGAGGATGGCATGAGGAAGAGCGTAACCTTCATAGATAGGTACGGTGTGAGAGACACCGTCACCGGAGTCCAAGACAATACCGGTGGTACGACCGGAGGCGTACAGGGAAAGGACGGCCTGGATGGCGACGTACATGGCCGGGCTGTTGAAGGTTTCAAACATAATCTGCGTCATCTTTTCACGGTTAGCTTTCGGGTTCAGAGGTGCTTCGGTAAGGAGGACCGGGTGTTCCTCGGGAGCGACACGCAATTCGTTATAGAAGGTATGATGCCAGATCTTCTCCATGTCATCCCAATTGGTGATGATACCGTGCTCAATCGGATATTTCAAAGTGAGGATACCTCTTTTGCTCTGGGCCTCGTCGCCCACGTAGCTGTCTTTTTGACCCATACCGACCATCACACCCTGATGACGGGGTCGACCGACGATCGAGGGGAAGACGGCGCGGGGTGCGTCGTCTCCGGCGAAACCGGCCTTGCACATACCGGAGCCATTGTCTACCACAAGAGCGGCTACTTCGTCGTCACACATCTTGCTGCTGCTTTAGTTTATCTGTAAAAAAAATGGAATCATTCAGGTTGATCTTGTCGAATCTAAAAAAAATTAATTAAAAGTTGTAATACGTTGATTCGTAAACTGGTTTTTTCATCTCAAACGTACAATGATATTTGCATAATTTTATTTATTTCTATTTAACTGAATATTCGCTTACAGTTTTACATAGTCTATCTTTGTTTGAGCCCCGTGAAAAATATCGCAATTATAGACTCTTTAAGAAGTAACCTGACGTTTGTATTATTTAAATTAACTATATTTTAATTTTCAGGAATATTGCAGAAGCCTTTCAAGAAATGCTAAAGAATTTCAACAGAAAGGCAATGTCTTCTCGGATTAATGGATTAAATGGACTAAATGGAATTTTTATACTTTTCTAAACATTCCGAATTATTTTTATTACGAGATAATAATTAAAATTGTCTTCAAGATCACTATGGAATTCAGAGTATCAAACTAAGGTATTGAATTAATTTATCATATATACAGTATTCATGTAATTAACATTTTTTTTCATAAAAGAGATGTGCGCAAAATTCTTTATCTAATAATCTTCATGAATTTACTGAATAATAACACAACGTAGTTTTAGTCGAGACACTTGGAAATCAATCTCTTCCTCATTAAAACTACTCGATTGGACGCAAACGTGATCTCACAATTAAACTCGTTCTTTCGATCAAAATTCTTCGCTATTTATACACTATTAACCCGTCTCCACTTTTTCTTTCTCTCAAAGATCCTCAGATTGATCTTTTCACCCGCACTTCTTACTTCTATAATCCGCGTGCAAACTTCCAAGTGATCACAGGCGTATAAGCGCGAAGAATGAAAAACGGTTCTGCCAGATACTAACCGTGGGGGTGAGTTGTGAATCGGCGGACGGCTGAGAAGCGGCTGAGGCCCGAAGGCGTCGCGACGCCAGATATAACGTCCGCGACGCGATGCGCGACGCTACCGAAGATGGGCACGCGGGACGCCTCCAGGGCTGGCCAGCGACGCTGCCCACGCTTCGCGCCTAGGCACCAAGTGGGTGGTGGGCACATACACGACCAGGAAGCTCGGACGGCAACGACGGCGCTTTTGGGCGAGAACGGCGGCGACGTCGTCATTCCTCGTCATCGTCGTTCTTTTCCTCCTCCTTCCTCATCGTCTCTTCATCTTCTTCTTGTTCGCGCTCTCTTGGAAATCCTCGCGGAACGGTCGACATCTCCTAATCTAGACATTAACGCGGATCACTGCTGATTGCAGTTATTTGCTCTTCGTCTACCGCGACTCTCATTAGTCTATCTCACGATTAAATTCGAAGAGATTCGTCTGGATAATTGCATTTACAAGTTTTGTAATTAAATTTTTTGTGAAAGAATTTAAGAAATTTAATAGAGAATTTTTCGGATAATGTTTGAATGAAGAAATTATATATATATATATATATATATATATATATATATATATATATATATATATATATATATATATCTTCCAACACAATAAGATCAAAAAGCATATACTTATTATAAAAGATTTTTACATATTTTTTAAAAATTTTTAACTGTGAAATCAGTTGATTAAAAATTAACATTGATAATTCGTAATTAGGATTGATAAAAAGAGGATAAAGAATCATCATCTAATCTAAAATAAATCTTACGAATTATATAGGCTTGCCATATTTGTCTTCTGAATCTTTTAATTGATTTATTAGCTTCTTGAAATTTTAAATTAATTTATGTTTAAAAAGAAATATATTCTAATATGAAAATCCATTGTCCAATTAATATATAGCGCGTAATATTTTCATTTCTTACAGTTCATCGTCATTTTCTTCTTCTTCGGCTTCAACTTCTCGTGGTCGTTCTCTGAATTGCCGAGATGCTTTTGGCATACGTCGGAAATCCCCGATGCCTCCGCGGCGCTCCTGAAAATACTCACTCATGGCCAAATCAGGGTATTAACGCAAGACGATGCTCCTCCGATGTATGAAGTATGCACCTGAAGTACTATGCTACTTGAAAAATCTATATTACGTACATTTTTTGAAGAAGAGAACACAGAAAGAGTTCTAAACTAAGGAAAAGTTTAATTTCTATCAAAAAAGATTTTCGTCACTTTTCTTTCTCGCCTGATTTAGTGTAGCGTTTGAACATTACAACTTTGCATTATACCACCTACATGGCCGTGACTGTTCCCTAAGATATTTGGACAAATTGCCAATTGGCAGTTAATTTATTCGTACTCATAACGTAGCGTTGTATGCATCGCACGTAATAATTCACTCCTCTTTCGGCGAGAAAAAAAGTACATGAAACGAGGGAGAGAAAGAGAGAAAAAATAAAGCGCTAAGAATAAATCTCGACGACTCGAGATATAATCCTCACTTTAATCTACTCGATAGATGAAAAAATCATGCACATAGATATGATAAAGATATTACAAGAAAAATAATTGTGAAAGAAATGTTTTATATTTTTTATTTAATCTCGAATCTTTGTTAATTCTATTACTTCTCTTACAAAGAAATGTCGAAATGAAAGAAATTTCTGATATCTAATCTATGTCTCAATCAATGTTATTTTGTCAAGATTAATATCAACTTTAATCGATTTTATTATTAAAGATCGTTTTAAGATAACTTTTCTGTTTGAAGTAAAGCAATTTGTGTTCGATGATATTGTACAATTTTTTTGTAAACTTAAAAAAAATATCTAAATTTCTTTAAGATAGAGAATAGAATTTTAATGAATATTTTCTTTCGAAACTTTTGTCACACTAAGACGTAATTAAGATTTTTTAAATATATAGATTTGGCGGAAATCTTGCCGGAAGCACGATTCAAGGTATTCCGATTTCTCTTTCAGAGATCTCGACAATTAGATTATCCAATTTGCAATGTTTGCTAATAAAGCAACGAAACATTATATAAAATCATAGGTGTAACGTGTAGACACATACACAAATCCTTATAGATCTTAAATTTTAATCTTGGTGAAATCTAGTACAACCTTGTTCTTTGGTGCGAAACAAATTCATAAGTACAATATAATATCAACGAAGCAAAAAATGAAAACATAGAAAATACAAAAGCGAAATAACTCACGTATTAATTTACGTTTAATGATTACATACATAATATATAAAAAAACTTCTAGTTTATAATATCTATTGTTTTGAATATTTAAAAATGAAATAATTATAATATTTCAACATTTATATAATTTTTTCAGTTTAATCAAAATAAATTGTTATAAATTAAATTGCTAACATCTGCATAATCGCTCATTAGGCAAATAAAATGCGATTATGCACGAGTTTAATTTGAAGAGGCTTTTTCACATATGATGAGCATTCCTTTCTTTCTAGCCTAGCATTTTATTTGCTAAACTAACTAACAACATATTCTCCTTAGATGGTTTCGGATTTTTAGTATCTTGTATTTTTAGACGACTGGTAATCTTCCATGATCTTATCTGCTTCCCGACCGAAAGAGTGAGAGAGAGGGGATATTTACGTCTGCAACCTGAACCTGAACAAATATTCAACCTGAGAGCTACGGTTAATTTATTTTACGACGTTCTTGACATTGAACGTTTCCAATTAACATGGATCTTCTACTATTATGTATGGAACTTGATGTTTTGACTTCGATATTCGAATTCTTTTTTAATTAAGAGTACACAATATGATGATGCGATTACATTGCTGCCAGATATTTCAAAAAGGTATCTTAATTTTTATTAATATCATATCTTTCAAAACAAACTCATTAATTAATACTAAGATTATTACATTTATTAATATTGTTTTTAATTTTATTTTATATTATTATGATCTCTCTCATCGTTTAATATCGAAAAACGAAAATTTCCATTATCTTTATATATTTGCTTTGTAAATTTGTATCTTCTTTCACACAGATATATGTAAAACCAATATAAATTTATATATATAGAAATAAAAAGTTGCATTTATAGTTCTTCTGAGACAAAAATCTAAAACTGACAATTTATCGTAAAATAATCATATTATTTTCATTGAAAATCCCTCTAGACTTAAGATATCACTTCGCTCTTTTTTCTCTTTGATATTTAATATATTTTAATTTTATTTTAATTATATCTTATTTTTTAGGCGTTTTCTGGATTTGGAGTTTAGCTTAATTGACTGTGTCACGTGACTATTTCTGAAATTTCGCACAATCATTTATTCCGCGATCGTAACGGGAGCCCTTGGATCGATATCGAGTCCAGGACGTGTCCTCGACTCTCAAAGAAGTACCGTCAATGAAGCGAAAAGAATCTGAGGACGCAACAAGGACGTTCGCTCCCGTAAATTCAGAATGTAAGGCTTATTAAATAAAAATATACATTTTTATATCAACGATTATTAATGTCGAGCCATAAACTTATCGTTTGTTTCAACGATAAACAATAGGGAAAAACGCGAAAGTGGCGAGACCTTGCGAGAAATTTCTATCTCAATACTTTTTTTCCAATCAAAATGACCAGGATATCAGTATAATAATACGATTTGAACGTGAAGCAATCTCGCATGACAAGATTGTAAAATTTTAGGATTTTGTCCTAAACAAAATATTATATAATGCGATAGTTTAAAAAAAATTCTTATATATAATGCAATAATTATGTAGTCGAGATATATGCATATGTGAAAATTACTGAAAATGTGAATAATAATAAAATTTCTCTAATAATAAATTTTATTTGTAATAAATATAACAGAGAAACACATAAATGAATAATGTCAGTAATTTTTAATACTGAAAAAAAAACAAGCTTTTAATTTATTCACAATTCAGATGTCAAAATATATTTTATTATTATTTGATTATATTACATGATTACATAACATGATTCCAGAATATTTCCCTCTCGATCCGAAAACAATTGCCGAGAAACACGCGAAGATTGGAAAAGATCACGATAATTCGGATCGAAACATAAATATGCGAAAGGACCAGGACGATGAATCTTGGAACCAGGCAACCCGGAATCATGTAATGAAATACATTTATATCGGAAATCACAGACGCACAATCGGAAGTCAGCGAAGGAGGGGAAATTGCATAAAAGATAACGCGTCTCGCTGACGGAGATCAGTCGACGGTCGGCGATTGTGTGGTTTGATTGTGGAGAAGGCACAAAAATACTCGCATTGAAAGTTACTCAGGTTTCTTGACTGTAACCGCAAGATCTTGTTTTGCAAGAACGTGAAAGATTGGCAAATCGATATGCTGCGCCTGTAAGTATCCCGTTAATTGATTAGCATAATATTTGTTTTTATGAAGATTATTATTAATGTAAAAATAATAACTCCCCGGAAATTAATATCGCAAGATACCGCGAGATGCGAAAGGAAAAATACACGATGTGTAAATGATTAATGACTCTCTAATTAAAAAATATTGTGTAATGTTATAATAGTTGCTTTCCATTTACAACAAAACTCACAATCAGATAAATCTCACTTCTGTCTTTCTTTAACATGGATGTTGAAGAAAAATAGAAGTGAGATTTATCTGAATTTTGATATAAATGGAAAGCAATTAATGTTAAAAATATAGATAAATTAATATTGTATATATTATATGCATATATGTATATATCACTTAATCATTACGTTTTGCTATTATAATTTTGTGAAGTAAGGAACACGGATTATTCAGGTCCAATATACTTTTACATGTACATAAGGTATCGCATTGCCGGCATTTATCGTCGAATATACCCGGACGTATGGCGACAATCATTCATAGTCTTAATGAGTTAATATGCTGAACACGAATGTTCTTCGCATCGCACTCCTAGACGATGCGACTATGAAGTCGCGTTGTTATTCAGCCTCGTGGTGTCATTTAGTATACTATATTGTATTTCATTCGATCACTGATTGACTGAAGATTAAGAAGTATCGTTTTCCGGTCCAACTAAGATGCTTTTCATACCTTTGCATTTCGATCTCGGCATTCGACATTTATAGAATCTTGTACATGCAAATTAGAAACGAAAACTAGGAATTATAAAGAGAAAGAGAAAATAAAGTTGATCATTCTTGAAGTTTATTTATTTATTTATTTTTTAAGTATATTAGTAAATGAGATTTTTAATTAAAAATTTACTATTAGTAAATAAGATATCTTTCTCTCTTATATTACTGGTAGCATTGGATAAGATATTGTGTAATATTATAGTAAACGTATATCACACATGAACAGTTGTTGCAATAGATATGTTTATCAAACTTCATATCACTGAATTTTATGGAGTAATCAATTGCTTAGTTAAAGCGATAGCCAATGACCTTCGATATGTTTAATATGCCATCTTGAGTCAAAATCTTTACATTGTAATACAGCGAAAAGGCTTTGATATACAATATAAATATTACGTAATATGAAAATTTAGATACAAAATAAGAGAGACAATAAAGCACAGAAATTTTATTAAATATAGAAGATTTTAAAACAAGTTCATTGCGCTTAATTTGCGTGTCTAGCCCCTTTCTTATCTGAATTTTTGTATTTCACCTTGTTTAGAATTTTTTAATTTATTAATAAATAATATAAATTATTCAAAATTATTGGACAATGCATAATGATTATTGATACATTATCGTGTCATCAGAGTTTTGGTAGCGGCAGTCGTAAGTTTGGCGGTGGCTAAACCAACAGAGGATCCGGTAGTAGATCCTCCTGTCGAAAGTCAGGATGCTGCGAAACTCCTGCAGAACGCCCGGGATATCCTGAAACGCCTCGACGCACAATCCGGAGAATGGAGCAACAAGCAGAGCCTCGCTGAATGGAATTACGCGTCGAATCTAACGGACGAGAATCTAGCCGAAAAACTGAACGTGTCTGCAGCGGCTGCGCGTGTCAGAAAACAGATCGCCGAAGAAGCGAACGCTTTTCCTTGGAGGGACTTGGAGGATGAGAATATTAAGAGACAGTTCAGCAAGTTCGGTATACTAGGTGTCGCCGCGCTTCCTGAAGACGTAAGAATAAAAACAGTAGACGTAAGAATAATGAGAAGAAAAATCTAAATTGTCTTTAACTGCTAATTATGAGAGCTTTTTGTGAAAAATCTTAGAGCGAAAGCTAAATTGGAGATTTATTACAATAATTTTCTGTTCTCTTTGTACATTTTTTTCTAGAATTAATCGTCTAGATTACGCCAATATTACCCAACTAATTAAATAATGATGAAGTATCATTGAACGGGAAATATGATTACAGAGTTACAAGGAGTTCGAAACAACCATCAGTCAGATGGAGAATATCTACAGTACTGCGAAAATCTGCGACTATAAGAATAAGACCAAATGCGATCTCGCACTCGAACCGGAAATCACTGAAATCCTGATGCACAGCCGCGATCCCGAAGAACTGAAGCACATCTGGGTAGAATGGAGGAAAGCTTCGGGTGAACAGGTCAAGTCTTTGTATCCCAAGTATGTTGAATTAGCGAACACCGCGGCGAGACTCAACAACTTTTCAGACTATGCAGAGTACTGGATGAAGGATTACGAAGCCGAAGATTTCCCCGCACAAATCGGTAAGTGCACAATATTATCCGTCTCTACGACGAAGCATTCGTAAAACGAGTGAGAAAAATCTTCGCAGAGACCCTTTGGCAACAATTGAAACCGCTGTACCTGCAGCTGCACGCTTACGTTCGACGCGAACTCAGGAATAAGTACGGTGAGAACATCGTTTCCAAGGACGGTCCGATTCCAGCACATTTGTTGGGCAACACCTGGGCTCAGACATGGTCGAATATTGCAGAATTCACCGTACCATTTCCGGGCAAACAGTTGCCGGATGTCAGCGCCGCTTTGGTCGAACAAGGTAGATTTGCGTTTGATTCCTGAAATTCTGCAATTTAGTCTTATACGGCTGATCTCCTATTTGCAAGCGTATTATAATGCTTCGTAAATGCTTCTTCGAATTCTTCTTCAGATTATAACGCGACCAGTATATTCCGACTTGCCGAGAACTTCTTCAAGTCGATCAATCTAACCGCCATGCCGGACACATTCTGGGAGAATTCGATCCTGACGAAGCAGAGGGACGTGGACATGGTTTGCCACGCAAGTGCGTGGGACTTTTATGACGGCAAGGATTTCAGGATTAAGCAGTGTACACGCATCAACATGGAAGACTTGTTGACGGCGCATCATGAAATGGGACACGTCGAGTATTATTTACAGTACAAGAATCAGCCCAACATCTTCAAGGAGGGCGCGAATCCCGGTTTTCACGAGGCGGTCGGCGACGTCATTTCTCTCAGCGCGTCCACTCCCAGCCATCTCAAGAAGATCGGACTACTGAAGAACGACTCGACTGACCAGGAAGCATTGTTGAATCATCTTTACGCAAAAAGTCTTGATAAGATCGTTTTTCTGCCGTTCGCCTACATGATGGATCGATGGCGTTGGGATGTATTCCAGAGAAAAGTGACGCCCGATAATTACAACTGCAAGTGGTTAGTAGTCTTAATTATGGAGTGAAAGAAATAACAATTTATCTCTTCAATTTTGAAAGACATAGTGAGTAAATTAAGCATAAATTAAATTAAGACTTTTTTTATGTGTTTAAAGGTGGTCGCTCGCGGAGGAGTATCAAGGCATTGAACCACCAGTGGATAGGTCGGAAGAAGACTTCGATCCCGGTGCAAAATACCACATAATCGCAGACGTTGAGTACATAAGATATTATGTAAGCTTCGTGGTACAATTCCAATTTCATAAGGCGCTGTGCACTAAGGCGAAACAATACGATCCAAACAATCCAAACGCCAATCCATTGCATCAATGTGATATTTACGATAACAAGGATGCCGGAAACCTACTGAAGTAAGTTTAAGAGTATTACAAAAACACTCGATAAACAAATATAGACAATGATCGTATTTGTGTTAGGTCTATGTTGGAGTTGGGTTCTTCGAAACCATGGCCAGATGCGATGGAAAAGATCGCAGGACAAAGGGAAATGGATTCTACTGGACTTTTAGAATATTTCAAGCCCTTGACTGATTGGCTGACGAAAGAAAATAAGAAAACTAACGAATATATTGGATGGAAATCCAGTAATAGACGTAAGTAATTTTATGAAAAAAACAGGAGTAAAGGCTTTTTATAATTTAAAAAGATTATTTATTAAATAGAGTATTGATGATAATTGAATTGATTATTCTTTCATTTTTTAGAATGTGTACAGACGAGGGGAGAACTTAGAATTATCAACGAGCCTACGGAATAATACATTTCCTCCATAGATATGGAAAAATAAAAGTATATTTTGAAACAAATAGAAAGGAGAAAGAGAGCACATTGATATCGTGTAAAGTCATTGCATTTTGACATAAATTTAATAGGTGAAATATAAAAAAGATCATTCCATATGCACAACATTTTGTTCCGATAAATTAAGCAAACAAATGAATGCTATACATCAATTATATATTTTCCTCGAAATAAAATTTGCATTCCATACCTTGATATTATTATGTATTCCCTATTTTTTATCACGTCCCTTCCCACGTTTTTTAGCCGGTTCACCATTTCTTTTTGTTGATGTACTAGCTTTACTAGTACTAGCTTTACTAGTACTAGCAGTATTAGATTTCTTTGTCTGAAATACATTTACAAGTTACATAATCATTCTGCTTTTTGTAAAATTAGTATTTTATAACGAAAAATTATGTAAATAACTTATAGCGCTACCTTAATCATTTTGTCAAATTCAATACTGTCGTCCTCTTCTTCATCATTTTCCTCTTCTATTAGATCATCATCCTGCATAGATCTTTTCTTTGCTGTAGCATTGCTGTTAATTACATATGGCAACATAGGAGGATTCTTTTGATATGCTCGTGTGAATGCTGCTTTTACCTAAAAAATATTAATATTAAAATATAATTACATATTTTAATTTTATAGTGCGAAACTATTGCAATTATTTTATACAAATTATTTAATTATTTAATTATTAATATTGTGTGTGTGAGTGTGTGTGTGTGTGTGTGCGCGGACGTACTTTGCTTTCAAGATTACTTGTAGGATCGCGAATTCCCGGCCAGACAGAAATCTCTATTATTGAATCCAAGTCCTCTCTAAAAAAAATAATTAAGTATCGATCATTCGTATCATTTATATCTTCCAGAGTATTCGATATTAATTAATACGGACCTCGTTAAATGATATTTTCCCATGACGTTTATCGCTGCATCAATACCATCCACACCGTTATCTATTAGAGGTTTTGTAATGGCGTTTCGAATATGGACCATGTAATCCATATTCAAAGCGTCTTTATTCGCGCCCGTAGCTAATCGCGTATGTGTCGTTAACTCTTGCATTAATCTAAAAATGATACATTCTCATTATACATAGCGATCAAATTAGCGAATCGTCACTGAATGTAATAAAAATTATAGTACACTGTAAATACCTATTAAATCTTGTCGTTTTCGAATTACGTCCAAACCAGCTTGGAAAACGCACCAACCCATCAAGACTCCCTGACATTTCGTTAGCTGGTATAACGAACGAGAAACAAGCATGCAAAGGAAGCAGACTCCACATCATATTGCTTCTCATCGCCTTCTCAACGAGATCTCCTTGGGATATATTGTCTGCTGCTTCAGCGATCTTGTCCAGTCTCTGAACACTGCAAATGTAGAAAGTCCATCAATTTTTCCTATATATCGTACATAAAAACGATATAAATACTCACAGTGGCACTTGAGATCTGACACTTAGGTAATTTTCTTGTATAAAAAGAGGTGCTATGTTGTAATCGTGGAAATATAAACCAATCTTATCATTCAGACTCATATTCTTCTGCTCTTCCGCGTTAAATGCTGCTTTTGCGACGTCAAATGGGCTAAGTTTGAAATTTTTATTCGAATGCTTCTTGTCAGACGCCTCTATGTGAGGTGCTTGACCGCTTAGAAACTCGAGATGATTTATTACTTGTCGAATATCATGATTTGTCGACTCGATTAGACGATCCAGATCTTCCGTCGATATCTTAATATTCTCTTTAAAGCATAAGGATTTCATGGAACTCTGTGGAGAAGAGTGATATATTAATTACATCAGAAAAGAAATTATTTATTACTCATGCTAGAGTTCTGTAAACTGTCCATACCCTGATCTGTTCCACTCTGAGCTTGTGATACCTCAGATCGTAGCTATGTGTGGAAATAGATTTTACTTTTGTGTTAAATCGATCATTGCAGATGCAGATAATTGGTACATCGGTATTTTTTATTAAACCAAGTAATTCCTGTAAGCCACCACGATCTTCGTTGCCAGCCATGCCATCGACTTCGTCCATCAACAGTACATGCTTGTTTGTGATCTTTTGTTTACTACCTGTTCATAATAATCACTGTGTAAAATGAAAGAATGATATAATTATTTCAAATTACATGCTCACCAGTGACATAATCTTTCATTGTAGTATTGGATAATAATCCTGAGACTGCTTCTTTCAGGAGCGTCTTGTTTCTCGTGTCGGAAGCATTGAATTCTATAATATCGTACCCTAATTCTTTACACACAACATGTACAGTTGTTGTTTTACCAACGCCTGGTGGACCCGATAACAAAGCAGCTTTAAAACTTTGTCCTTGGGTTTGTTTGCTACCTATTAAAATAGAAATAAAATTAATCGGATTAATTTTATTTTTTATTTTTTAGAACAAAAATTATTGAAAAAAAGAGATGAAAGACATAGCAATTGCTATAAAAATTATGTTAAGACGAATGTTCGTATACAAATGACGTACTGCTATTTTTGAATTTTGGATCTTGGCGATTTTTATCCCAATCGCGTAACCACACATACAAGTTGTGTGCGCAGCTTTTATCTCCTTGCTGGCCTATAATTTGTTTCATAGTTTTAGGTCTGTACTTTTCGACTAATGGTTGTGAACTGATACTTGAAGTTGTCTAGAAAAATAATAATAGAATCATATTTTTATCTCTTTAAGTTTTATATAATTTAATTATTATATCATTTTTTTATATACATTATATCGCATTAATGTCTACCTCTAAGTTTACCTCTTGTGAACAACTGCTCACATTCGATGTCTGCTTTGGTATCGATGGCGAAGTTTTCATCAGTGCACATGGTGGTGTCTTTACTTTTTCAGAAAGTTCATATGAACCTGTTGGTGCTGATTTTGCTTTGTTTGATGATGGCGATTTATCCTCCTCAAATTTATTCAATAGTTTTTTTGATTTTGCCTTTGTTATTAATGGTTTAACAGCCTCAGCTTTACCTTCTGGTCTTGTGCGAATCATTTCTAGAAGATCATCTTCGGATATTTGCTTGATACCGAGACTATTAGCCTAAAAATATTCACTTATTATTAACAAGAAGTGACAAGTATATGAGAAACGTATATGTTGATACACAAGTAAATGTACCTTTGCCAATTTTGATGGACCAGCCTCATCTCCTACTACGATATAAGAAACTTTGCCCGAAACAGAATTCACAGTACGGCCGCCATATTTTTGTATTAAATCTTCAGCTTCATTTCTTTCCAGAGAATCAAACACACCAGTGAGCAAGAAACTTAGACCAGCTAAACAATTCTGTGCTCCCTATAACAAAATAAATAATAAAACAATGAATATCAACTAAAGATTTTTTGTGAGCTTATCAAAAGATAATTCTTCAAACACATTTCTTTTAGGCCTGCATTCATAGTCCAATCTCATATTTAAGATCGTCTTAAGTCTCAAAGGTTGACTTAAGATCCCGTTCAACGAATCCAATGGCTGCGTGGCGTCTTAAGCTTGGATTTAAGACAATCTTAAGCAGGGTCTACAATGGCAGCAGAAGTACAGAGTACAAGAGTAAGCAGTACAAAATGGGATATGTTTATTTCGTTACTCTCGACGAAATGAGCGAATCCCATTTCGTACTGCTTACTCTTGTACTCTGTACTTCCTCTGTCATTGTAGACCCTGCATTAAATATAAGATCGGACTATGAATAAGGGCCTTAGAAATTATCTTTAATTGTTATATACAAATATAAACATTCTTACTATAGGAATTTCTTTTGAACCAGGATTTCTAGCACCGCCTCTTTGAAGATATTTTTCATACATTGCAGAACGTTGTTTCTTCTTTTCTATCCTTTCTTCAAATAAATTGTCTGTTTTGGTTTTTCTTTTACCTGGTGATTGTTTTTTTAAATTTTCATTTTCCTTTACAGCAGAAATAGGCTTTGAGATATTTATTTCCAAATTGTTCCAGTTTAGTTTTTTAGATTTGTCATCACTACATTTATTATTTGTACTTAAATCTTCAGTAGAGATATTTTTTTTCAGTTTTAACTTTTCTTTAGAAGGAGAAGTTATAATTTTCGTATGTACATTATTTTTACTGGGAGATTTTTTCATTTCTTTAGTTTTTGTTGAATTTTTACTTGTTCCATTATCTTTCAAATCATGTTTCTTGCTTTCATTAGAAACTGTAAATGATATATTATGTCAAATTTGTGTGTTTAGTTTAATATCCATTTTAACATTTAATGAATTTGACATACCTGTTTTAATTGTTGCTTCAGAATTCTTGGAAATATTTACATTTTCAGTATTAACTTTATCTTTTTTAATATCTTGTATTATCATATTCTGTGAAGTGTCCAATTGTTTAAGTACAGCATCAAAATCATCATCATTGTGAAATTCAGATTCCTATAAATGCAAATGCAAATATTATTTGTATATATGTAGTTAAATATTTGTTGATCTATTAATTTTTGCTTATGTATATTTACCAGTTTCAGTAATTTTTGCTTCACTTTTGTCTCTTCTACTCTCGTTACTGGCCTTTTGCCAAACAGTTCATTGGTAGAAATTGCTTCACGTGGCTTTTCACTCTCATTTTTCTTACTTGCTGCTGTTTTTGCAAAATCTTTCTTGATTTCGACGATATCATCATCAGAGTCAGATAAGACAGATACTTTTGTCGGTTTTTTTTGTACAATCTGCACAATTAATCATACAACTTTGTTATTATAAAAAGAATAATCAGAATAAAAATAATAAACAATTGTAACAAATCAAAATAATAAACATAATATACAGCCAAGTAACGTGGCACACCTTGGAGCGTTTTATGGATGACTTTGACTTCTCTTCATCCTCATCCGACGAAATTACACGTCTCTTTTGAGATTTTGGAGCAACGGGTTCGCTCTTCTTTTTCTGAGAACTTGCAATCGACGTAAAATAGGATCTTATGTCCTGTGAAAACATAAACAATATATATATCTCAAATCAAAAATCCGGAGTGAACACAATCTAATATTTACATTTACCGTTCTTATTACGTACCCGCGGCATTTTTGCTGATAAATCGCAAGATAGATAAGATCACGATTGCTATTTGTCAATTACGCAGACATAATTGATCGACAATTAGCAATTGACGAGCTTCGTTTTCGCACGTAGCAGAAGATTTTCCCGCGAAGCAAGAAATTATGCGTAATGCGAATGAAATATTCATAGATCTAAAATTCAAGATAGATGGATAGACTCAGTGCGAAATTTCAGACATTTGTTACATAATATCTAGGGATTAAATTAACCAATCTGGACAAAAAAAAGCAAAATTTCTCTATTCTGATTGATCAAAAAATGTTACTATCTTAGGTAGATTTCTGAACGTACTCTGATCGACCAATCAGGACGAAGGATCTTCTGCTCCGAAGGACCCATATTTGAAGCGAAAAAAGCGGAACTAAACCACGTGTGCATCAGCATGGATCAACAATGACAGCTTCTGTAATTATCATATTATTTATGTATGTACACATATAGAAAGATTAGAAAGAAGCATAACCATGGTGAAGGAACAATTTAGAGAGAAAAATGTCGCCAGTGAAATGTAAGTAAATTTATTGATTTTGCAAAATTAAGGAATGGAATAAAATATCTTAAACAATTATATTATTTACCATTCTTGATATATCTGTAATACCTATGTTCTAATAGTACATGCTCTCTTTATTCAGCTCCCACATATCTTTCGAAGCAGACAACATGCAGAATATGCTTATGCAAGCCAGTGTGCAAGTTGTGACTAAAAATATGTACAACGAGGATGTTGGGCGTACCCCAGTTTTGTATGGAATACTTGACAGACGCATGGTATTCAAGAATTGTAACAATTTTTATCTGTTTTAAGAGAGACAAAAATTCTATAAAATTTAATGCTTTTGTTCACAGGGAGTATGTTCTAGTGGCAATGAATGTACTACATGTGGTAAAACATTGCTGGATTGTGTAGGCCATTTTGGTTATATAGAGTTGCAATTGCCAGTCTTTCATGTAGGCCATTTCAGATCTATCATTCAGATTTTACAGACAATTTGCAAGGTAATACTGCTGCCTAATTTTTTTGCTAAGATTTATCACACAGTTTTCTTCTTATATTAATGAATTATGTTATCTTTATAGAATTGTGCCCGTGTTCTGTTAACAGAAGAAGAAAGGTCATTTTATACACGTAAATTACAAACTTCAAATCTAGGATATCTAATGCGTAAGGCATTGCGTAAGCAAATTTGGGAGAAAGCAAAGAAGAAAACAACATGTCCAACTTGTAAAGCGAATAATGGTCCTATTAGAAAAGCAGGTTTTCTTAAGATTGTACATGAAAGATATAAGAATTTAAAGAAAACAGATCCTATTATTCAAGAAAAATTAATCGAGTTAGGCCCAGCAATGGAGCATGACAAAGAGCTTAAGAGTGTAGTAGAACAAAATTACAGAAGTGTATTTGACCAATATTTATATCCAAATGTGGTAGGATTTTAAACTTTTTTAAGTCTTTCCATATCTTCCATGTTTATTATAATTTACATATAAACTTAATTCTTTAAGGTTCGAGAACTTTTCACCCGAATTCCAGTAGGTGATGTTTATTTGTTACTAATGGATCCTAAATGTGCAGTGCCAGCAGATTTAATATTAACTAGGATTCCTGTGCCACCCGTTTGTATTAGACCTAGCGCTTTGTCTGATTTAAAGGCTGGTACAAATGAAGACTATCTAACAATGAAATTGTCCGAAATATCTCTTATTAATGATGTTATTGAGAGACAAAATAATGTTAATATAATTAGTTACATGGATCATTGGGATTTTCTTCAATTACACTGTGGTCTTTATATCAACAGTGAAATATCTGGTATACCTCCTCACATGCAAGTAAGTCTCTTAAAAAATGATCATCCGAAAAGATCTGCTTTTCTTCAATATAATATATACATGATTCTCTTTTAGCCTAAAAAATTTGGTAGAGGTATGGTACAAAGATTAAAAGGAAAGCAAGGACGTTTTCGTGGTAATTTGTCTGGTAAACGTGTTGATTTTTCTTCTCGTACAGTAATTTCACCCGATCCGAATCTTAGAATAGACCAAGTAAGTATTGCAATGCACAAATGTGATGCAATAGTGATATTACATGATATATCATTTATGATGTCGAATCTTCCTACACAGGTTGGTGTACCTATGCAAGTTGCGATGACTTTAACGTTTCCTGAAAAAGTTAATCCTTCAAATATCGAATTGTTACGCATATTAGTTAGAAATGGTCCAGATGTACATCCTGGAGCGAATTATGTACAATATTACGATAACAATACGCAAAATAAAGTATATCTTAGATACGCCAATCGGAACAAAATCGCTCAAAATTTGCAGGTAATATATTAGCATGATCTATAATTTTTTTTACAGATTATGTAGATTTTTTAATTGCACTATGCATGTTGCAGAATGGTGATATTGTCGAAAGACATCTCAAGGATGATGATTTGGTGCTATTTAATCGACAACCGTCTTTGCATAAATTAAGTATAATGGCGCACAGAACTAAAGTGTTGCAGCATCGAACGTTTAGATTTAATGAATGTTGCTGTGCGCCTTATAATGCGGATTTTGACGGTGATGAAATGAATATACATTTTGCACAGACCGAGGAAGCGAAAGCAGAAGCGCTGGTTCTATTAGCGGTAAATTCTAGCGCTCTCAATTCGATTAATTACAATTGTTAAGTATATATAAATATTCAGAAATATATTTTATATGATCTTTTTTTTATAGAATAAATCCAATCTAGTTACACCACGCAACGGCGATTTACTGATAGCTGCAACCCAAGATTTTATAACAGGTGGATATCTTTTGACTCAGAAAGATGTGTTTTTCCGGATAGACCAAGTTAAATTGGCTCTTTGTTTCTTGACTGGTCCAGACGCGTCTACGAATGTAATTCTTCCTGTACCAGCAATTCTAAAACCAGTCAAACTGTGGACTGGCAAGCAAATATTCAGTTTGATTATTCGACCAACCGCAAAATGTCCTGTTAAAGCAAATCTAAAGACAAAGGGCAAGACTTATACTAGCGGCGAGGAATTTTGTATTAATGATTCTTGTAAGTTGCAAACGATAGTAATCTTATTTTTTGCAATCATTTATTAAATATTTATAAAACAATCAAATTTTTCAATCCACAGATGTTATTATTCGCAATTCCGAGCTCTTAGCAGGAGCAATGGATTCATCTACATTGGGTTCCGGATCGAAGCAAAATATATTTTACATTCTGCTACGTGACTGGGGTGAAGATGTTGCAATCACGGCAATGTGGCGTTTAACAAGATTAACAAATCATTTTAATTTTGACAGAGGAATTTCTCTCGGTCTCAGTGATCTTATAGCGAATAAGGGTCTTCTACGAGCCACAGAAACTTTGTTAAACACTCAGTACGAATAATTTAAAATTTAACAAACAGTGCTTTAAAATAAATAAATAGCTAATTCAAATTTCATTTACTTAAAGCTACTCTAAGTGTGATGAATACATTCAACTAATGGAAGAAAATCAACTCGTCTGTCAACCTGGATGTACGATAGAGGAAACATTGGAAACGAAGATATTAAACGAGCTTTCGGTTATTCGTGATAACGTTGGTAAAGCATGTTTGAAGGAATTACACCGTACCAATACTCCTTTAACTATGGCGCTCTGTGGGAGTAAGGGTAGTTATATCAACGTTTCTCAAATGATTGGTATGTATATTTAATAATAATATGAATATATGAATATATTAACAATATGAATAATTTTGATATTTAATGGCATTGTGTGTATATCATTGTTCACAGCCTGTGTAGGTCAACAAGCTATCAATGGACGTAGAGTGCCGAATGGATTCGAAAATCGTGCATTGCCTCACGTTTTAGCACAATTGAGGAAACCCGATGTTAAAGGCTTTGTAAAAAATTCATTTTACTCCGGTTTGGGATCAAAAGAGTTTTACTTTCACGCGATGGGTGGTCGAGAGGGTCTCACGGATACCGCTGTCAAAACTGCGGATACCGGATACATGCAGAGACGATTGATCAAAAGTTTAGAAGATCTATGCGTTCACTATGATATGACAGTACGTAATGCGATGCGCGATATCATACAGATTTGCTATGGTGGTGACAAATTGGATCCTACATACATGGAAGGTTTGTCAACATTGTTATATATTTTGTACAAACTTTTATAATAGGATACTGAGCACTGCTATTCTGCATCTACAGGTAAAGACTGTCCGGTGGACTACAAAAGAGTATATGATCATGTGAGAGCAAAGTTGCCTTATAAGAACGAAGAGCCTTTAGATGCTGTTAGCGTGATGAGCGCCGCAGAGGACATGCTATCTACCGAGGAGTACGAGTGCTTGAGTGACGAATTCAAGATGGAATTGATGTAAGCGCGACGATAAATATATAATAGATCTTGCAAATTTCGCATACAGATTTAATAAATTAAATGTTACAATGTCTCTCTTATTTTTGCAGCGAGTTCTTGAAAACGGTGGCGCGGAAGATAGCGCGTTATCGGCAGAACATTAAGTCGAATTCACCGGTGGTCCAGCAACTCGAACGTTTCACCCTTTCACAATTGGTGGAATTTATTCACACGTGCAAGGAGAAATACATGAGAGCCGTGATAGAACCAGGCACGACTGTGGGTGCCCTTGCCGCGCAAAGTATCGGCGAGCCAGGAACCCAGATGACTCTTAAAACATTTCACTTTGCCGGTGTAGCGTCTATGAACATCACTCAAGGTGTGCCGCGTATTAAGGAGATTATCAATGCGAGCCCGAAGATCAGTACTCCCATTATAATAGCGACATTGGTAAATGTGTTATTTCGAGCGCATGCTGTGTTTTTTCTATATCAATTATGCATCTTAATCTTAATGTAATCTTTTTTTCCTTGCAGGTTGACGGTATGGATCTTGAAGGTGCCGAACGAGTGAAGGCGAGAATTCAGAAGACGACACTAAAAGATGTAACGGAACTTATTGAACAAGTATATACACACGACGGATATTTTATTAGGATAAAATTAAACTTGGAGAAGATAAAATTATTAAAATTAGAAGTGAACGTTTATTCTATCAGTTATATGTAAGTATTTTATTTGGAGACTTAAATTAATAGCATTCTTTAGGTATGCAAAAAGGAGTAATCCGAGTAATGAAAAATAATTTATTATTTTAGACTTTGCACATCAAAGTTGAGACTAACTTCAAAAAATGTGCGTGTAAAAGACGATTCAACTATTATTATTTCACTAACTAGACAAAAGGAGAATTCTAGTTTTCCGTTTCGTCGATTGATGGAGGTTCTTCCAAAAATTATTGTGAAGGTAATAAAATGTTTATATATTTGTGTAATTTTTTACATATTAATAGATAATAGATATACATATGTATTAATAAGATGCAGTGATATAATCTCACTAATTTGTATAATATATATAAAAAATATTTAAAACTTAAGTAAGAAAATATTTAGATTATATGAATCGTCAAACATTTTAATAATTGAGTAATACAATATTTAAAGTGCATTACCCATGATAATAGTAAATTTCACTTTTAGATAGATTCTTATTGCCTAAATATTCTCATTTAAAATTTTTTATAAAGGAGTCTATATATTTTACATATTTAAAATATTTTTATTCATTACAGGGCATGCCATCAATTTCTAGAGTTGTTGTACATGATGAAATGGCTGAAGGGAAAAGGAAATGGAAATTATTAGTGGAAGGAGATAATTTTAGGGAAGTTATGGCAACATCTGGAATCCTCGGTACAAAAACGACATCGAATAATACAATAGAAGTAAGTTCAGAGAAACCAAAAATAAATCATATTAAATATTAAAAAAATGGAATATATTTATGAGTATTTGTTTTAGGTTTTTAAAACACTCGGAATAGAAGCGGCAAGAACAACTATCATGTCAGAAATCAAATCAGTAATGGAAAATCACGGAATCAGTATTGATCGTCGACATCTAATACTTTTAGCAGATTTAATGACGAGTAGAGGAGAAGTGCTTGGTATTACAAGACAAGGTTTAGACAAGATGAAAGAATCAGTTTTAAACCTAGCATCGGTAAAATTTTTCACTTTATTACTTTACAATATATTTATATGCATTTTTTTTAATATAATAATTTTCAAATTAAGCTCTTTTATTAGCTTTTTTTTGTTCTATAATCTAAACGGAATTTTAAAGAAATGTGGAAACGCCTTTTGCAAATGAGTTGTCTGTTACAGTTTGAGAAAACGTCAGATCATCTATTTGATTCAGCTTATTATGGACAGAAAGACACTATATGCGGCGTGTCAGAATCGATAATAATGGGTATTCCAATTCCAGTGGGCACAGGAATGTTTAAATTACTTAACAAATATCCTTTTTATATTATAGTCGTAATATATATATTTTTTATTTACATTTTTCTTCCAAAATAGATATATACACTCGTACATTTAATATATGCATTAATTTCCTTAATGATTAAACACAGCAGATAAATATGAACCACAAAAGAGGGAACTTCTCTTTGACAATCCACAATTTCACAAGCAATTCCATTCTGGAAAACGACTTACGCGAATACGACCGCGTCCAGTGCTACAGACGTCTTAATTATGATATGATAAGATATACACATATAAGACATTGATATGATAAGATATATATATATATATATATAAATTATATATATATATGACATACATATATATAAAATCTGTTTTATGGAAACAAAGATTTGTTATTTATTAACAAAAAAATCCTTTTGCTAAATGATCAACTTTAATTTTATTTGATTTGCTGATGTATAAGTTAAATAAAATTATAAATTTTGCAATGCAACATTTACTTTTTTATTAAAAATATTGCATATTCTCTTTTTTTAAGTCATACATATATGAGCATAACCAGATATTGAGAGTTGCTAGGAGACAGATTACAGATTGTTTGATCTAAATCTGCCTCGTATTTGTAATCTGTTGTAATATAAGAATAAAATGTTAAATGTGTAATTTGCATACCGAGCAACAAAGTGATAATCGAGATGGTAAATGAAAAGGAGTTTTGGACGGAGATTCGAAAAGATATACCAAGATACAAAAAGAGGAAGCCACGAGTCGTTCCTGCTTTCACTATACAAGCTCTGCAGGTGACGCGCATATTGCAAAGTAACAGTGATGATATATATAAGGAATGAACGTAATATACGACAATACGATGTCAATTTTGATGCAGGAAAATACCGTTGTTCCAAAACCACCACCATGCGGATTGTACAAACCTCGTCCACCAAAACCATCGACTTTCCGAAAGTTCTACAAACGCGGCGTTTTTCCCATCTCCTTGGAAAACGATGGCTATGGTCAGAAAATTAATTGGAAAGTAGATATAGAAAACTTGGATTTTCATCATTATTTGCCAATGTTCTTCGATGGATTAACAGAAACAGAACAACCGTATAAATTTCTAGTGGAGCAAGGAATATCGGATATGTTGGAAAATGGTGGCCCAAAAATATTACCTGTTGTTCCTCAACTCATCATACCTATCAAGAGTAAATCTTATATGAATTAATTTGAAAGGATAGTTAATATTATTATTGAAAAAAAATATTTTAGATGCTTTGAACACAAGAATGCCTGAGATAATTTGCACCACCATGAAAGCACTTCAACGTTTAGTACGTTCAGCAGATTGTGTTGGTGAAGCTTTGGTTCCATATTTTAGGCAAATTTTGCCTATTCCTAATTTACTCAAAGACAAAAATCGTGAGTAGATATCTTTATTTTTTATAAATAAAAATAAAAATTAAATCTCTGGTGATTCTCTAGTGAACCTTGGAGAGGGTATTGATTATTCTCAACAGAGAGGAGAGAATGTAGCAGATATTATACAAGAAACGCTTGAAGTATTGGAAAGCTATGGTGGTGAAGATGCTTTTATAAATATCAAATATATGGTCCCTACTTATGAATCTTGTATAATGAATAAATAGATGTGGATTTTAATAGAAAATGGCACTGCAATCCATATATTAAACAGATTTATTCAATATTTGTAAATGAAGATTATTAAAGTGCACATAAAAAATTCAATTTAATATATGTGTGATATATATATATATATATATATATATATATATATATATATATAATATAGGAACACAGTGTTGTGCTTAGATGATTTTTAAATTAGCTAAATAAAGATGAGATAAACATTTGTAAATTTATCTTAGATAAAATAAAGATAATTTTTTAAATATATCTAGATAAAAGATAAAATTATATGGCGATTCATCTAGATAACTTTCAGATATTATTTTTAAAAGTACTTATATAAACACAGTTATAAAAAAATGTAAATTATGAAAAGATATAAAAAATATATTTATATTTTTATTTGTAAGTTTTTATTGCTTATTGCTCAAATTCTGCTATTTAAGTATTTTTATGTCTTATGACTCTATATATATATATATATATATATATATATATATATATATAACCAAATTATCTGAATATTATTCTTAACATTTTTTTATCTAAGATGCACACAGATATAGATAATACATATTTTTATTATCTATATAAAGATAAGATGACGCCAAAATTTTATCTAGATCATCTATATAATTTTATTTAGATAACAGAAAACACTAGGAACACATAATATAAATAAAAAAAAAATATATATATATATATATATATATATATTTTATAGAAATAAAAGATTTATTATATTTATTAATTTACAAATTAAAATTGAAAACTAAATAACATGAAATATATATATATAAAATTGATTAAAAAAGAACAAAATTTATGAAATAATAAAAATAAACTTATTTATTGTCATAAAGCATATATTTTTTGTTCATATTTTATAAATAGTATAAAAAGAAGAACAAAAGTAGTAGAGTTAATATTTTTTTCTGGTGTTCGTGAAAAAAAATTCTAGAAATATATTTATATCTTTCCTGCATCTTCTTTCAATGTTACAGTGCGATTAAAAACAAGCTGAAATAATAAAAAAAGAATGTTAATACAATGTATATGTATTATTTAATTTTTTGGACATATATATTTACCCTGCTAAGCTTGCTATCAGGATCGACTGAAAAGAAACCTATACGTTCGAATTGAAACTTATCATATTCATACACTTTTACCATTTTAGCTAAACTATCATCCATGTATGCTACAACTTCCTTTTTACTGGTAGGGTTAATATCACTTAAAAATCCATTGGGTATTTCATTTGTATCTTCAGGATTTTTATGTTTGAATCTAATAATTAAAACATTAAAAATATTTTAATCATATTAAAATTCTCAAGTAATGTTTTAATAGTTAATAATTTGAAAAATGTCATTACTCACAAACGCTCATACAGCCTAACAGATGCCAAAACTGGATGAGACACCCAATGTATAAACGCCTTTGGTTTATTGTTTTCTGAAACAGGCTCTTGTCTAACTGTTATGTTTATAATGTTGCCACCGGCATCTTTCTCTATACTTTCAAACGTTACTACAATGCCTGCGTGCTTCAAACCTACAGATTGTTTCGGCGTCAAGCGTCTAAAGCCTTTCTCTTCAATCTACGACACAAACATGTATTTTAATAAAATTATGAATAGAACAAATTTTTAGGAAAAAGATAAATATATATATTGCATACTTCCTTAAAGTCCGAGGCTTCTATATACAGGATTTCGTCGAATGTGATTTCATGATGTCCCTTCTCTGGTTCGTTGGGGAAATTGGGTACAGTCAATTTTATGGCTTTATCTTGAGGGAAATTTTTTATAGTCACTTTAATAGGCTCTAGAACAACCATAAATCGCGGAGCTGTAAGATTCAGGACATCCCTTACAATTGCTTCCAACACTGCAGGATCGACGGTCGCTTGTGCACCAGTTACACCCATTTGAGCACAGAAATTATTTATAGCTTCTGGTGGAAATCCACGTCTACGTAGTGCACTCAATGTAAACAATCTGTAAAAAAATTATATATATAACATTAATATTATTAGTAAAATAGAAATCTATTACTATTTATTTTATTTTTATATTATTCTGTACCTGGGATCATCCCAATCTGATACTATTCCTTCTTCTATTAATTTGGCAATTTTTCTTTTAGAAACTACAGTATAATTAACATTTAATCGTCCGTATTCCCATTGTACGGGACAATAAACGTCCAAAACGTTGCAAAGCCAATAATAAGATGATCTTCGCGATTGGAATTCCTTTGTACAGAGAGAATGAGTGATATTTTCAATGCTGTCGCACAAGCAATGAGTGTAATCATAAGTGGGATAAATGCACCATTGGTCACCAGTTCGATGATGCGGTGAATATTTTATTCTATATGCAACAGGATCCTGCTTGCCTTCCTCTAGAGTCACTTTCAAACGTAAAGTTGCTTCTCCCTCTTCCAATAAACCATCTTTCATATCCTATTAAAAAAAAGAGAGAGAGAGATAAAATAGACGAATATATGGGAATCAAGAAAATCCGCTTGAGATGAATATTTCCTTATTACATTAAACAGTTGTAAGCTCTCTGCGATTGGCCTGTTACGCCAAGGACTCGGTGGTGGATTGAAACCTTTTATTTCTTCGCTGGATTGATGACAAACATAGGCTAAATCTTTCTTTATAAGTTCCACAGCCCATTTGTACAGTTGCTCGAAGTAGTCAGATGAGTGTGTGATCATAGCAGGTTTGTAACCAAGCCATTCCACCATTTCTCGTATCCCAACGAAAAATTTCTCCTCTTCCTTTTCAGGATTTGTATCATCATATCGCAAATAACATATTCCATCATATGCAGCAGCATATCTATGAGATTAATTTTCTTTATTATATTATAATATTCTTTATTATATTATAAAGAAATATGTTACATCTTATAATAGATATTATATATTATAATATATAATCAGTTTGCAAATGTCACATACCCGAAATTGATGTTGATAGCTTTTGCATGTCCAATATGTAAAATTCCATTAGGCTCAGGTGGAAATCTGGTTATTACTTTACCACCAGTAGCTTTCAAGTGTTCTTCTAACAGATGATGTGTGTTTGGTGTTACAATATATCCTTCAGTTTTATAATTTTCCCCAGGTTTATGAAAGTGAATCTTATTCTTCATGAGTTCACTTATAGTTTGTGCTTCTATCTTTTCACCATTTGATGCTTTTTGTCCTAAAATTTTAACAAACAAATAGAAAATTTGTAATTCTAAAGATGGATATCCAACATTTTTTAACATAATACACAAATATTACAGCTCACCTTCATTTACAATTTCAGATTTATTGACAGCTTTTGTTTGCTTATCCTTTGGCTGTTTTACTTTAGACACTGGTATGAGATCAGTTTCAGTTTTTGGACCTAATAAATAGAGAAGTTGGACATCAAATTCATTTTTTACCATTTTACCATCTGCCCATTTCAAAATATTTCGTACTTTTTGCATGAGTGGACCAGAGTTAAAGCGGTACCTATTTCAATAAAAATGTAACATAAAATTGTAATTAATTATGATAATACAACATTGCTTTTTTTCATGTTAAAATTTTCATTTAAATATAATGTATACATGTTATTGGAAATGAACTTTAAATAATCTGCACTTTTTTAATGTTTTATTCACCTCTTTTCCAGTATCTCATTTTCATGTGCCTTGATGATTTTCTCAACTTCCTCTTCTATCTGTTCAGGTGAAACCACCACTCCTATACCACAAAACTCTTCAAATTCTTCTATGTTAAAAGCATTATTCACATTAGTCAATAGATAATTCAATGCAGCATCAACTCTCTGCACAGTATCCAGCTTCTTTTCAACTACATAATTAGTAACAAATGGTATCTTCTCTGCAACCTGATTTTTAATTTTAGAAGCCAGATGATATAGTAAAATGCCAGCATCATGAGAAATAGGACCCTTTTTGTTAGCCTGTAAGTGTTAAATAAATTTGTAATATATGTATATATTTTTTTCTCTTGTAATGTATGTCAGACTGATGACTTTCCATTCATGTCGCATGAATTGGAAACATTCTATATTGTCAAATTAATAATTTTGCTTATAATATATACAAGAGTATAAAATTCATTATCAAAAAAGTACATTTAAAATACTTTACAGAATACAGATAGAAATTTTTATAATATTTGAAATAAAATTATAAGTCTAACAACACAGTTCAGTTTTCATTAAGTATATTCAACACATATAGTAGGGAATGTGTTACAAAATTAAAAATTAGGTTCATAGTTAATGTTAAAAATACACAGACAACATATTATAAAAGTCTCTGTAAGATAACATATTATAAAAGTCTCTATAAGATATCTTAGATATTAAAAATTTTTTTATACATTTATTAAGAATTCATAATTAAAATTAATACTAAAAAATAGATTAACTTATGTGTCTAAAAAACATCTCAAAGGCATCTTTAACAGTCTTATATTTCTTAAATATCTTTAAAATGTTTACATATTTTAAGAGATTAAGATATCTTAATCTCTGAGTATGATGCAATTGCACTATCTAAGAAAAAAACAATGATGCAAGAACATAAAATTTTAGATCTTTTTTTTACAAAAAATTATTTTTTAATTTAATTGTTATTATTATTTTCAAATTTAATTCGAAAAATACAATTTAGACCAGATTTAAGATTCTATTATTATAAAATCAACCGGTAATCAGTCTGCTAACCTCATCTATCGCGAGTTTGAGATTCTTTGTGACATTCGCATTTTTTAAAGTTTCCTTAGCCTTCTGCTCGGTCAGGCCAATCGTTTGGAATAGTTTCACATCGTCCTCGTTTCCCGCCGACATTTTATTTCTTCTTATTTAGAAAATAAAACGTTATCGAATAGAAAACGATCACACCCGATCATAGGATCACAGCCACGTGCATTATAACCTCTTTTCTACAAGATGAGGGCATCGGCAAACTTCGGTATATTTCGACATGGCTCGGATATAATCGGGAAATTATCCATCAATCCCGATACAATATACAGCCGAGTCTATCCGAAGAGAACCGAGAACCCCCTTGTGTCACCGCGACTATTTTGACAGCTGTCATTTCTGCACATGCACGGGAAGCGGAATGCGTTCCGTTTGACGTCACCGAAAATTTCGGAGCATTTGATCGACCAATTAGAGTGAAGGAAACCTTTGCCCCTTTTTGTTTCGATTGGTCATTTTCAAATGGAACGATTGCATTATGCAACTAACGCCATTGATTTTATTTCTAAATTTACAGCGTGTGCCAGCCATGAAAAGATCCCGACAAAGTTTGCTTCTATTTATATACATACATATATATATGTATATATAATTTGTATATATAATTATTACCACTTCTCTTTGTAAGAGATTTTATGTACACATTTTTTTGTAAAACAATTATATTTTAGAAGGAGAGAAAAGGTTATTGCAGAGAAATCTTAAAAGTGGAAAATTAAAGAGTAGATTAATAGTCAAGAAATTTGGTCTATAAATATATGCACAAGTCGATTTTCATCATTTTCATTGAATAACACAGCAAATTAATTATCTTAATAAGTAAACGGTATGTAAAAGATTCGATGTGTAAAAGTATGGGAAATAATTATTTAATTTGATCTCTACATATATCACTCGAATTTTTCAATAGATTGATCTTGTATAATTATTTTTATTTCTAATTTTTTATGTGTAGAAATATTTCTACACATTAATTGTGAACAATGTGTGAAAGCGATGAGGAACAACCACAATTAAGTTCGAGCACGCTTGCTGTACTACAAGAATTTCTCAAGGAAAAATACGAACAACAAAATAATTTGCTGGAACATTTAGTTAACAATAAGGAAGAGCAGATACCAGATATTTTGTTTGATGAGAATTGGGTGAGTGAATGATAATGTATATGCACATTAATATATGATATTTTTGATTTTCTAAAAACTAATATATGTAATTAATGTTATAGCAATTGAGCCAATTTTGGTACGATGATAAAACAATACAGGCTTTAGTTAGAGGTGCATTAAATTCTACACCAGCAAATGGAAAAATTGCTTTAATTTCTTGTCCAACAATTTACAGTAAACTGAAGAAAGAATGCGGTAAAAGGCAAGGTACAACTCTAGTATTTACACTTTATACATAATTTATAATGTAAGTAATATTTGTTGAAAAGTTTTTAGTATATAAATATATTAATTTTATTACAGTTGTGCTGTTTGAGTATGATAAACGTTTCAAGACATTTGGCACAGATTTTATACAGTATGATTACAAATTGCCTCTAAACGTGCCTAAAAATATGTCTAGTCAGTTTGATTTAGTCATAGCAGATCCACCGTTTCTTTCAGTCGAATGTCTAACTAAAACTGCAGTAACAATAAAGTTTTTAACAAAGAAAAACATTGTGCTTTGTACAGGTATATATATATATATATACAATTACATATTCAATTCTTTGTTTGCATATTGCTTATACGCTAATATAAGAGTGAATATAATTTTATTTGTAGGAGCTGTGATGACAGAATTGGTGGAAAAACTGTTAGACATAAAAAAATGTGACTTTATTCCAGGTCACAGAAACAATTTGGCGAATGAATTTTGCTGCTTCTCAAATTTCGATTTTGATAAAACTTTGGAATAAGCGTAAAATACACAGTATTAAGTGGAATAATTAACAATATTATATTTTGAGAACAGTACCAAAGAAAGATATATTTTCAATATATCATAAATGTTAGTAAACTAATAAGTTTATTTCTGAAGAGAATCGATATGAATGGATTTAATTAATGTAGTCAACTGATACTTAATAAACTTATTATTTTGTTAATGATATTTTCGTTTATACAATAAGTTGTATTTATGCAGGAAAACAGAAAGATAAAAATGGATGGATATGTATATATATATCGAGTTACATCCCGGACAAAATATTGTTTTTTCCTATATATATGTATAACAGTTTTTATTACACAGTTTATATATATATATATATATATATTTTTTACCAATTTTTATTATAGAATATGAGAAAATAATGCCAATGCGCGCGAAACTGTTTGAATTTATTATGACGCCATTACGTCATCTTTGGTATGATTGAAAAAGAAAATTCCCTAGATTACGAGAAGATAAAAGATCCCTAAACATAGTTGCATCCGCGAAAAAGTAGACACGCGATGGAAAGCGTAAATATTTACATCTCTTGAGTGTTCGTTGGCGCATTTTTTTTTATTTGTAATCATGATAGACGGGAACATCTCGATGGAGGAGGATACTGAATTACGGGACTTAGTGGTCCAGACCCTGGAGAATAACGGCGTCCTCCCTAAAATACGGGTGCGTCCTGGGAAAACTATGTCGCGAAAAAAAAAATATCCGATGCTCTGTAGGTTAGGCGTATATTTTGGAACGAATAAGAGCGAAAAACGAACGCGTTAATTTATAGTATTCTCTCTTTTTTTTAATTGTTTGATCAAATCTCTTTTATGATGTTCGCAGGCGCAACTCAGGGCAAGCGTGTTCCTGGCACTCGAGGAACAGGATTCGGTAATGGTAGGTGTCGTTCGAGCGTGCCGCAATAAAGTGCAAAAAAGAAAGCTTCCTGTTTATCACACATTCTTTATGCTCGATGGACCGTAATAAGTTTTCATGCATGCAATTATACGTAGACATTGTTATCTATTGCATTTATTTTGCAAAGAATATTATATTTCATAAATACTATATATTTATTACAACTGCCTAGAGAGAGAAAATTATGTACAAATAGAATTTTATGTACAAATTGCTCAAATATAAAAATATATCTTTGTGTAAAAAGATTTTTAAAAGTTAAATTTATTTTTATCAAAAATTTGTAAAAGAACTATGTGATACAATCAGAAACTATTTAACAGATTTGAACTGAATGTTCCAGAATCCTGAGCCGCTTCTCAACAAAACTGTAAAACAGTACCTGTCTAATTCAGAAGGAAAATTATTGTTTTCCTTGGTTAGGGAGTTCCTAGAATACTTTGGTCTTGACTATACAATATCTGTATATGACCCAGAGACATACTTAGGAAAGGAATATAACTATGTAGGGAGAAATAAATTGTGCGAAGAATTAGGTATTGACTCAACCGAGCCATTGCTGGGGGAAATTTTGAAGAATAGCATCAATGGTGCCTTTAATAGTTCACAAAAGGTATTTTCTTAAATTGAATCAATTATTTTCAAGTAATTAGTTATAATATTACAGAATATTTAATTCCACTTGTGATTATTTGTAATACCTTTGTTACTTTAAAAAAAAATGAATGTTTCAGCATTATGTATTTATTATGGGGTCTTTCTTACAGAATAAAAGTAGCAAGAAACACGATGAGACGGACGAAACGTCGACACATTTTGCGAACGCGACGTTTGAAGTGTCTGTTCCCAAAATCATACACAATGAATCCGTATCGTCGTCAAATGACAATGATTTTTCTGAGAAACTGGAGAGTATCTCCGAACAGAGTCCGAAAGTTCCAATAAACGTGACAATAACGGACAAGAAATGCAAAGATCCGCCGACCAGCACCGACATTCTAACAGATACATCAGATTGTGATAAGCGTCAATCTTTTTCTCTCAGGGAGAACACAACAGACATTGATGGAATTGAAGGTAACAGGAACAATAATATAAATTTTGATAAAAGCACCACAAGTCTACATGGCGCAAGCACGACGACGAACGATGTGGCACAGGAGACTGATAATATTATGTCAAATCGAATAAATCCATTCAACAAATCCGAATCCTTAATTAAGTTCGATGAATCAATAGTAATCGATACGCAAGCAAATCAAAAGGATATAACTAAGCAAAACAGTATAAATAGTTTGGAGCTAAGCTTAGAAAATAATGTACAAAGTAAAAGACCGATTAACGCGGGAAACAACTTTGGCAAAACTGTATATTTTGACGAGATTATCGTCGGCGGTGAGCACAAGATCGTTAGTACAATGAATGAAGCCAAGCCTTTTCTAGAAAGCTTGCCAACTATAAATCAAAAAACTAATTCTATATTCAGCGATTTGCCGCCATTGAATGGTAGAAAGGCCAATATTAACGATTTGAAGGAATTAATGAATATTGGTCTTGGTAAGTTATAAAAATATATTAATAATACATTATATATATACATTTTTTTCCATATAATATGCAACATGCTAATTTTCTTATAACTTTGCAAAAATATTAAAAAGATACATTTTAACAGCTGCAGATGTCATAGATAATTATGAAGAGGACTTTGTGTCATCTGCATCAGGTAGTGCGAACGAACAAAGTCCCTGTAAGGAGCCAGACAAGACAGATAGCCCAGTCAAGTTACGAATGAAGAAAGAGGAAAAATCTCAAAGTGCCCGTAGTGAAGATATAAGCGAAGAAATCGAAGAAATTGACGAAATCTTAAGTAGTACTTCCTGCGTAAGTAAATTAAATTTAAATTGACGCGATCACAGAGAGGAAAAGGGGGGAAATGACACTGTTACAACTGCAACTGCATATATATTTTTCTCTCGCATGAATTACGTAACTATATACATATAGAATCGTTATATTTTAGCTCGAAGATACGAATACAGATAAGAATATATCAAACTTTACGGCTGGTATTACCGCGGATTATACATAGAAGAGATGTAATTTTCAATCGTCGCTACAAGTTCTTGTAAGAATTTTAAAAAAGATGTTACTCTTGTATGTAACATTGATGAGATCGATACTCTATTAGGGAATCGCGAATATCCATGCCGTCTACTAAGAGTTTGCAGAATTGAGAATTCATAGTTTCTGACAAAGGCACTGCCAAGCTGTGGCTCAATACTTATAAGTTGCGCTGCAAAAAGGAACGTAGAAGGAAAATGTCTGAATGCACATTTCAACAGATGATGATATTTTTGTACAGTTTGTAAAAATAAGCAATGTTCCGAAATTGTCATAGTTTACAATAACAATAGATATATTCAAACAAGTATCATCAATCTTTTTCAAAGGTTGTCCGAAATATTAAAATATTACATAATTAAAAAAGAAATAATAATCATCATTTCTGTTATTAATAAACACACACACACACACACACACACAATGTATTTTTTATTATTATTTATTGTGTAAAAAGTCTTTATTACAGTATTCATTATAGTACTAATTAAAAAGAGAAAAAAATATGTGAAATTGTATTAAATTGTTATTATGTAATTATGAAAGAAATTCGTAATATTTTTAAAGTTTTTATTTTATATTTTTATAAAAGAAATAATATTGACAATGTTGAATATATTGAAATAAATCTATTTCATTGAATTTCAGACAGGCTACCTTCTACGTTGTGTAAAAAAATATGCCTAGTATTATTACTTGTACAAGCATATTACACAAATGTTATCATAATTTAAATATTAGAGAAGAGTCAAACGTGAGAGTTACTGCTTCTTTAGTAATTTAGTTTTAGTTTTCTTTTTTTCTTCTTTTTTATAGAAAATCTCTTAGTATTTTGTTGTGTTTATTGAAATATCTTTGTCCTTAATTTTATGACTGAACGTTGTCCATTACCTCATTTTTGTAAAGATATGATATTGTAACAATATCAGGAAATCGTCCGTCTAGAAATGGATTGCCTAAAAAATCCATCAAATTATTTTTTCGAACATAATGGTGCTAAGTGTTTGAAGCGAAAAGCTTATTTATGAGAGTTAACATTATCTAAGAAAAAAGAAAAAAAAGATTAAGTGCTTATATAATTTCTTGCATCTATGATTTGCAGGAAATTGTAATTAGCAAAAGCTATAGATTAGAACATTAATTTTCGGAAGAGATTAATTAGAACATTAATTCCATCTTCACTTAAAGAGAAAAAAACATTTAATGCGGACTATTTTGTGACTTTTCCATATAAGATGCAATAACTAAGTACAACTCAAGGTGGATCAATTAAATGCTTGACAAATCAAAATCTTTTTGTAAAAAATGTATAGCCAGCCAGCTTTACACAAAGAATTTTCATTGATGATTAGTAATATTATCGATATTAGAAATTATGTCTGGTTCGAACGAAGAAATTCCGTCATTTAAGCAACTTTTAATTCAACAGAAAAACCGAATAGAGGGACAGTATTCGTCACAAAACAATTTAGGTGTTAATGACGAATTATCAAAGAAATATTGTGCTCAAATACTTGCAGCATTTTTACTACATACCTGTACAATACTGTATTTAATTATATTGCTATATATATATATATATATATATATATATATATATATATATTTATAAAATATCATATTTAACACATAAATGTTGCGAGATAAATGTTTATTTTGATAGCGATCACTCATACACAGTAACGGAATAGCTTAGTTCGAACTGCCGTTTATCCCGATAATTATATGTTAAAGAGAAAACAAACAGGTATATTCCTGTGGCCAATCAGCGTGGTTACATTCTATTATCGGTACACAATAATTTTACAAAGAACTGGTTTCAGGACTGCATTTGAACATTCCTACACTCTGTATAATCTAGAAGATAGATACATTCCATTGTTACTAAGATAGTTGTTGCATTGTTACCATTAGCAAGCACGTTTACAGGATAAGTATTTCGCATCATAGATTGTAAGAGTGTAATTTAAGGAGCATTTTATATATTCACTGCAAGAACAATTACATAGGTTTTAAATTTTCGAAACAACACACAAGAAGTTCTTAAAATTAACGAAACTGATGGCAGGGTATATGTGAACATCTCTATTTATGACTTCTCTCTTTTCAAGACTTCATTTAATTATAGGACAGCAGTATATTTAGACTATATGTTGCTTATATATCTCTTTTCTTTTTGTTTTTCTTTGATTTAAAAAAAAAAATATATATATATATATATATGCATTTCTTCCGATTTACTTGTAACATAAATATCTAAAAAATACTATGATTAAATTTTAAAAGATGCTATAGACATGCAAACTATTTGCAATACTTTCTGTAATGTGCTTTTGACTGTATTTATTTATACTCGGGGATCATTGATATCTTCTTTTTGATATACTGTTGTTTGATGCAGCTTTTATGAGAAGAACATATCCGACACACAAGTAATATATTAAATCAAGTAATAATTTTATTACGGAAAATGTATGTAGATATATGACACACAGTGGTGTTTAAATGCACATTTAATGGAGTGACAAGCTCGATATTTCGGGGTAGATAAATAGGTAACCGTAGTCATAGTTATTCATAATCCACAGTTTGAAATTTCACGCGAATGAAGTATTAATGATAATAATCTGCTTTATACAGTACTTCTCTACAATATCATGGTCGCAGATAATTATTTTGTAACCACGTTGAAACATTGGTAGCTATACCGTGCCTTTTAGTGTGTATGAGATAATTATAAAGAATGCAAAAATATATAAGAATACTGTGGGTTTTACAAAACACCTATGTTACTTATTTATGATTTTCAAATAATGATGTAATAATATGTATTCACACACATGTATATGTTATTTATTTTATAAAGATTTTTCTCTTTTGCAATAGTCTAGCTTTTTTTCATTAATTTACACTCCTATAAAGACAATTTATTCTATTACAATTGTTATAACGATAGGCAGAGTATTTCTTTACAGCATTAACAAATATATTTTTATCACTATGTAAAATATGTAATTATACACTTTGTAAGTAACTGAGTTTCTGTACTTTTTAATTATAGATAGCAATGTTATATTACAAGTGTACTTTAATTGTATTATACATAATTTACAATAGTATATTTCAATCAATTTCTCATGTGAAAAATAATAATGTATTTTTTTTCGTTTTGTTTGTGAACCTCATACTTTTTGCATGAATTTTGTATAAAAAAAGTATGTCTGTAATAACTAATGAACACTATATGACCCATTGATTGTGCCATTAAATGACAGTATGGATACCAAATAACAATATATTTTCATAAATTTTCATATTTACAGTCTATTACGCTCTCTTTGGATTCGTTCACTATACGTTTTTGATATAAGATTAAAAGAGTCCATGTATCGATCCATACACATTGCTATGCATTTCTGTAAGCAAATCAACCAATTAATTAAGATGACAAATATCATTAATCTAAATGAGAATCAAATGTATCGATATGTCATTTCAGAAGAGTTGATAATAAAGATTCATGGTTTAAAAGGAATAAATGTGTAATCTTCAAAGTTTAAAATCAATTCTATTATTGCAAAAAAATCTTTCGAAATTTCTATCGAATTTAATTCTAACGAGGAAGATTTGTAGAAGACCTTTTTATTCTTGTGACAATTTACCTGTTCTGAAGTGTCCAGCGAAGTGCCCGGCTTGCTTATACATTTTTTAAAACATTTTTCCGTAATTCTCTGAAAATATACATAAAAAAAACATGCAATATTTCGTCAGCCTGAGATCAACTACGTGGGATAACGATATCGTTATCGATGATTAAAAAATTCTATTCGAAAATGTAAATGTATTGAAGATACCGTGAGCAGTTCCTGAGCATTGGCGATTGCCATCTGATGTTTCACTTGCTGCATCAACTCTTCTCGCTGCGAGCCCGTCAAATTTCCCGGCGCCAACGCGTCCATTCTCGAAATTTTGCGGAACGGAGAAGAGGGAAGTTATATCGAATGACAAGAATAAAATTTTGTAAGAGTCCTGTGATCGTCCGCAACACAGGACCTTTACGACTCGCATCTAACCTCACCTTCCCAGCCGCACAAGCGAGAGCACGTGAGGTTCGCCTCAAGTCCCCGTTTACATGAATCTTCGATCGCACGCTTCTCGAACGTGATTGGTCGATGACAGTTCGGTCACGACGATTCGTATCGCGCGCAAACTTGTAAATCGAGCATTAAATTTCGACGCCATTTGTAAAATTTAAATCAAACTCTCGAGTTGTACTGTGCGTCTGCGAAACGCGCTTACATTTTTTCTTTTATAAGAAAAGATTCGAAGAGTCAATCGAGCGCGAAATATATCGAATATACGTTTCAAATTGTAATAAATTATTAGAAGCGATAGTAAACGCATGAGCAAAGAAAAAATGGGGAAAATATTCAAGTCTAAAAAGAAATCGGTAAGCATTTGCAATCTTATCGGCGATATATATATTATACATTAATATTTTTCTTTTGTCTTTATAGAAATCTAAAATATCGAACACTCGAGAGGAAATAAAAATGTTTTTTTGTAAATTGCAACAAACAGTAATAAAAGAATGTTGTAATAATGGTGAAATCTCGCAAGGTAATTTAAATGATCAGATAAGAAAGAAATTAAAGAAAATATTTACCTATACTCTAAAGAAATTGATTTCGTTCATTAATTACTTTGTGTGTATATGTAATATTAGAAAAATAATTAAAATATTACTTCTATTTTAGATTTTACTTCGCTTTATACCGCTAGTGACAGCCAGACATCGCCAAAAGAAAATTCTACGTCTGTCCACACACCTCGCAAAAAAAATTCTGCGTACGACAATAATTATTGTCAACGTTGCAAACGTCTTTTAGAAGTACCTCCAAATATATTGTCGTTGTCAGAGAAAAGGATGCCCAGCTTTATAGAAACATGTGAAATTGAATTGACTTTTATTCAAGCTGTAATCTGGTTGAAATCCATCACCTCCTACGTACCTCAAATACCAGTCGAGAAATTACAACAATTATTTGATAATCAATGCAATAAACGCGATAAAAATAAACATGCCAAAAATGTTCATGTTGAATCGTCATCAGCAATTTTTGCAAATAAAACTCCATTGGTACACGATGAGATGCTCAATAACAACGAAAACTTCATGTTGAGTCTTAATAATATTTTAGATTCTTCGTGTAATATATCTCTAATGACTCATGAATCAAATACCAATTTTGAAGATATACAAAACGAATTGTTTAGCTTTGTATCCTCTTTAAAAGATCAAAACGAATCAGTCACAGAGATTTTAAAGCCAGAAACAAGTACTGGGTACGTCATGACAAATGAAGAGAGGAAGGCATTTTTATCACAATCTTATTTAATTCCGGATGTAGACAAAGAGTCCTTGTCAGATTTGACTGACATGTTTGAGGAATCTGTTACGTACAATAATGTGGACCAGTTTCTTCAAAATTTTGAAAAAACAAACAGTAAACAGACATCACAGGAAAATTGTAATAACCGAGTAAACAATGAGATCATCGAAGACGAAAATATTAATTTTACTTTAAAGAATGATGCTGATATTTCAAGTCAACTTAACTTTGTTTCACTGTCAAGATGTCAATCAATCGAGTCAATTCTTAATTTTGAAAAAACAAACGGTAAACAGACATCACAGGAAAATTGTAATAACCGAATAAACAATGAGATCATCGAAGACAAAAATATTAATTCTACTTTAAAGAATGATGCTGATATTTCGAGTCAACTTAACTTTGTTTCACTGTCAAGATGTCAATCAATCGAGTCAATTCTTAATTTGAAATACAATTCTGATCAATATGATGAAACTAACAACATGGAGATGTCAAATAATAATATTATTAATTTTTTAACACAACTATCAATAACTGATATAAATGATTTGTCTCAAATTTCTCTAATTTCCTGTAGTACACCTCGGGAACATAATGATTGCAACAATTTTCAAACCGATCAAATGCAATCGAAAACTTTACATGATTATAATGACGCCGATTTCGAACATCAAACCAACAATAAAAGTCCCTGTGTACAGATAAGCGATGCCGCTACTGAAGATGAAAAGAATGATAGTGCATACAGTACATGGCAAATCGAGACAGTTAATCATGATACCGCGACAACAAAACCTATCGCCAATAAACCGGTTACTAATACTATTAAGCATCAATATAATCTGCGACATCGCAAGGAAAAGGTGATTACGAACAAAGAAGTAACAGCCTCTTCTTCATTGATACAGAAATCGATATATAAAGAACAACATTCTATGGAAAAGTCTTCGTCGAAGAAACGTAAATCGAAACCTGCGAAAAATGTATCGGAGAAAACGAAGAAAAATAAAAAAATGATCTCTGCAAACTGGTTGAATTTTACTGTAGAATTGTTGAATGCAGAACACGTAATTTATACATCAGTCAAGACAATCGTTTCGGCAATTTGTGACAAGAAAACAGCGCAACTATACGTCCAACATAGATGTTGGAAGGATACTTTGGAAGAGGAAGCTGTAAACGCAGTGTTGAATATAGTAGATATTCTTAAAACAGAGAAGAAGCCCAATATATGCGAAGATCTAATCGAAACGGCGATAATCAAAACTTTAGACGAGATGATAACATCTATACAATTAGAGGTATATATATCATATTATACGTGTGTGTGTGTGTATGTTAACGCATTCCCTTATTTACAAGTATCGTATAATAATAAGTGATACGTATAATAATTATGTGTTATTGCATTATATATATACTATATATTACTTTACAAGAAGTAATAACAATAATAATCTTATTCTTTCCAGACATCCATATGGGTATTTCACCTAGAAATAATTCTACAGTTTTGTCAACTGCTGACGATATGCATCAAGACGATCAATTATTTGATTGCGATGTTAGAATCAGTTCAATCTGTATTGCTTAACACAATGAACAGAAATGAAATACGGATTATGGAAACAAATCAGTTGCATTTAATATTTTACGCGTTTGACATTGCTTTACGGAAATATTGTGAATTAGTACCGAGAGACAAGAAATCTCAATTTCAACTCGTGAAAACCGCGATACCTTGTATCGAAGATCGTTGGAAGATTCATTATAAAAAAAAGAATAAATTCGAAGACGTAGACTTCGATCTGGATGCTATTGAAAAACAATGGCTAAACGTATTACAAAAATTCACAGTAGTATCCGTGAAGCATTCCATAATGGCACCATTCGCCAACGTTTCATTTTTGTTATATAACATATTAATCTCAGTTTAATGTATATAAAGTTTTATGGATGCTATTGAAAAACAATGGCTAAACGTATTACAAAAATTCACAGTAGTATCCGTGAAGCATTCCATAATGGCACCATTCGCCAACGTTTCATTTTTGTTATATAACATATTAATCTTAGTTTAATGTATATAAAGTTTTATATTATTAATTATAATAAATTATATTATATAAATAATGTTTAATATATAAATATGTTATAACGTATAAATATGTTTCTATTAAATGTTTAATATATAAATATATTATAATATATAAACATGTTTCTATTGAATGTAAACATTTTCTATTATATGCGGTAAATGTTATTCCCCTTTAAGCATTCTCACAGCAAAAGGTACAAAGTATAATAAGGTAAAAATTAATAGTAATTCCTTGCTGTGACACGAAGCGCATCCATTGTAATTCGAAGTATCAGTTTTTTTGTTTTCTTCTAATTGATCTTCCATGGGCCATCCGCATAAAGATTGTGGATTCTCCGGTATCATATCGAAAGTAACGTTTATTAAAGTGCGCAGTGGACATATCTCTGTACAATTTGATAGAATCAGAGGGATGATCGTGCCATCGATACCGGTGTAATAATTAATCTGAAAAAATTTTAATAAAATATTTTAATTAAATAATAGTTTAAAATTTATGAGAATAATTGTTTTGATTTACGCGTGTATCTTTCAAAATAAAATTCTTGAACAATTTGGTAGAATACAGTCGCAAAAGTGAGATAAAATAATAAAAAGAATTTAAAAAATGTTACCTTCATTCCGTACATGTTTGTATCGTTATTAAAGTATAATTCGAATATCAATGCTGCTGCTTCGTTAGGTATATGAGGCGACCAGAGATTGAGATTTTTCAAAACCCCGACAATGTTTCTTTCGTCACCACTGTACAATATCATTTTTCGTTCCGCTGATAATTCGCCTATCTTGTATTGTAACGAATTACCAATAATCTCTTTTAAAAAGGTTCCACCATTAAGTTGCTTTTGCAGAGGAGTCGTTGAAAGGAGATCATACTCTAGTAAAGTGGCATCGTACATAGCACCGTGCGGAAACACGTCGATCGCCCAATTCGGCAATGTTTCATTTCGATCAGTCTAAGGTAAGACATTTTTATTGTCATATAAATTGCGTTATATTACATTGATAAAATGTAATTTATATAAAATAATAGAGTAATCTTCTGTATGTTAATATTTTTAAGAAATATTCAATAAAATTATAAAAGAAAAAAAGAATTTTTAGAGATTTAATAATAAGTTTAAAAGTATTATTTATATTATTATTTAAAAGAATATATAAGATATAATTATATATATATATATATACACATATATACAATATGTATTATATACATATATGTATATGTATATTGAGAAGAAAGTTCAAAATTATTTTATTAAAATAATTTTACTAATTTTTTTTCATTACCATAGTTTCTAAAGCAGCGTATAAAAGTGCCACATCCGTAGGCGTTCTAATATTTCTTCTAGTATATCGGGAAAGATGTTCGAACAAAGGCTGATACTGTACTGTCATTTTCTGCGTTTCAGTTTTTTGCAACACTTGATCCATTTGTAGAACAAAATTTGGGCACACAGAACCCATCAACAACGTATCTTCCTTCAATTCCTGATATTCTACAAAACTTGTCTATTATATAAGGAAATAAGTTGTAACTACATTCTACATTTAAGTACACAATTTTTCAATTTGCAGTATTTTTCCATTTGCATATATTCTCTAATCAAATCTATATTTTATTATGTCTCTATAATATTATAGCGACTTTTTAATATAATAATAATCTTTCTATGATTTAGGAATATATTAAAAAAGTGCTCATGAATAATTTTTCAAATAATATTTTAATTTTTGATTTGAAAATATTGTTCTGTGTTAACGAGAAATAATTTCTATTCATTATACTAACCGGTCGGTATCGGTTGCCAATTAATGCCTTCAAACCATATTTGATTTCCCACGGGGGGCCACAAACCGGCATTAACAAGCTGAGCAGATAACATTGATAAAGGATACTCCGTCGTGTGCATCTTCATAACTTCGGACGTATACGTGTCCCCTAAAAATTTGTCGTATCTCTCGCGCAGATACACTCCGAAATTATACATGTTAAGATGCGCCTTCTGTTTAATAGTAACATAACAATAGTTATCATTTTTTTCTAAATAGAAATGCATTTTATAAATACTATAAATCAAAATTAATATGTTGTATATTAATTATATTATATATTTAATTATTATAATATTGCATGTACCATTGGCAAGCTCAGTGCGGCGGAAGTAAAGTATTTGTACGACAAGATTTCCGGGATGCCGGTCTCGTTTTTCTTCATCGCGTTATCTTCCCTTGGGGCGTACAATTTATGCGCGAACAACTGCAATCAAATAATGGATTAGTTTATCATTGATTTTTATTACATTCATTTAGGCTTAAATATTTGTACTTACAACGTGCACCAATTTTAATTCTGGCACAGCCTGGCATAGACTGGGAATTATGAAGCTGCATAATACAAGATTAACGCAAACCAAACGTAATCTATTCATTTTTATGCGTCTCTTCTTTCAAGATATATATGTATATAATATGTTACAATTGTAAATCTATCGATTAATACGTGACTGACAGAGAAGACAGAAAAGATCAACAAAGTTCTGAGTTGTTTGCCAACAATGATGATTTATGATACTATATCGAAGAACTTCGAAAGTGGTATCGGATATAAGTTAATATAAATACAACAGTAAGTGAAAAAATTGCCTTAAATAACAATTGCATTCCGTTTACGAGTCAAAGATATATAAAAAAATGGTTTTTCTTAAGTCTTTTTGTTGTAATTTATGTTTCACGAAGAATTTTTAATTAATACATATATGTATATAAATATATACTTATTTTAATTGTATAACTTTTCTTCCTTATTTTTTCTAATAGATTTTAAGTGGATTCAAAGATGAAGGTTGGACGATATAAAGATGCCGTATTTGGTCACATCATTCGAGATAAGAATTCCTCGTCCACATCCGTAAGAACAATCATCAGCTTGTTCAACGACGCTTCCGAAAGTAACCACTTGTATCCGTGTCTGATTGATAAACGCAGAGTTATCAGGGTGCGTATGAATAATTAAGACAAAGGCGATAAGTCAACTCGATTTACCACATTTTCTTCGCTTTATTTATCCCAGTTTCTTTATCGTCACTGCAACAAAATTAACTTCGATTTAATTAACCATATCTGGAATTTTTTTATATAAATTTTGTATGTATTAGCTCGATTGCAGCCTGACTGATTTATCTCACATATTAAAGAGAAAGGAAGAGAAAGAAAAAAGAGGAAGGAGGTAGATTGAATATAAGGTAATTACATATACCTTTTATAATTATAATTACCTTATAGAACCGAATTGACTGATAATGAATTTTACGTTGCGAAAAATAATACTTAAACACGTGAAGACATTAATCACTAATTTAAAAAGTTTAGATTTCTAAATCTTGCGCACTTCTTCGTTCGCGAAAAAAACAATTCGAAATGCTCAGCTTTTGATTCTTCGCGTTTCTTCTTCTCGGAGAAACTGAATAAACACCAAGCGATTCAATTGCTACCTACCTCTTGATTTTCCTATCTGCGTGTCATCCTATCTACTTTCATTTGTTTGAATGACGATAACAATTAAGTGACTCGACTGACAATGAGACTCCTTCATAGAATTTACTCAGTAGATCCATATTAAGTTGAATTTATCTATCTGTCTGATCAAAATTATTTATAAATATCTTAATAATAAAAAAAGACAGAATTTAGTAAATTACATTAAAGGAATTACAGTAATCTTGTAAATATATATATATATATATATATATATATATATATATGTGTGTGTGTGCCAATATTGATTTCAAATAATAAATAAATAAAGTTAAATAAGTAGAAGCAAAATCTGATAATTCCTTTAAAAAGTCTGATAACGCCTGATAATACACAAGTGTTCTCAAATATAATTTTGTTTATAGAGAGATAATTTTAATTATTTTATAGCTGAAGCATTATATGGGATAATAGTATTACTTGAGTCAGTAAATAACGATTCGATAATATTACTATAAAAACATAATTACAAAATATATATAATTTTTTTCAAAAGAGAATATTTATTTATACAATAAATTTTGCGTCACAAAAATTATTAATAATTGTAATAGAAATCAAATATTGAATAAATACGAAACTACACGGATTAGAACTATAAATTTTTAGATATCAAATATATAGTTATAATACTTTTGCATTGGTGCAATTGCACAAATTGTATATATGTATATATATGTATGAAGAAATACAAAGATGCTGCAATTTTCGCAATTTTGATAAAAATCAAAATGCTCTTTGCTTGTGATCTTGATAATTATTAACATCCTGACAAGTGCAAAACAAATACATAAGAGTTTATTTCCCGTTAATTAAATACATAACATTTTGCAAAAAATTGATAAAAATCAATGTTTCAATGTTTATCCCAGTTTATTTATTTTTAAGAAAACCTTTATATTTAACACATTGATAAATTATTTATTATATATATTAGTTAATAAAAAATCAAATATTTAATTATCATATTGCAGCATTAAATTAAATAATTATTAATTACAATTAAATAATTATATATTATATATATATATATATATATATATATATATATATATATAATATCACGACATTTATTAATGATACAATCGATATTTGTACATACATATATAATGATATATGCATATAGTTAATTCGTATACGTGATATCGTCATTTTATCTGTATTGATGTCGTAACACGTGTAACACTCATGCGATTGTATCACTATATAATAAGCGTAAAAAGGCGGAATCAACGATGACGATTGCACATTAATTACAGTAGGATAACGATAGTATTATACTACGCTATATAGTATGATGTCTTACGAAAGTCACAGTCAAGGCGAAAATAATTTACATATTTCAGAAGAATATTAAACGCTTTACACGATAATGCTATCGCAATTACATTCTACTGTTTAGTCAATGAAACATCGCAACACGACATTTAATTTATTCCCTCGAGTTGCATTGATTAAATTATATAATAATAATATTATTTTAATTTATTTAAATTAAATAAGCTATTTAAATTCGTCAATCAAATCGCTTCTTATCTTAGAGTATATTAAACAGGCAAATGCAAATGCAAATTGTTTCAACTTAATTATGATTTTTATCCGATAAGCACATGGAAGCATCTACAGATAATAAAATTTTTTATTTTCAATGATATATCGGAATGTATAACATCGGAAATTAATTAATTCTTCGGAATGTCAATAATTGAGTTTGATTGAAATTATAAAGAAGACAATTTAAGAACATACATATATATATATATATACACAGAATTATTTCAATTTCAAAATGAGGTCACCAAATCTTGTGCAATATCATGTCACAAGCGTAATAACTAGCTGTTGAAACGATATCGTCAGAACGATAATGGGAAAAGAATTAGATTCACGAGTCAATCACTCTATTGGGCATCCCCGATTTGCGTGATTCAGTAAATAATCTTTATGTGTGTGATTCATGCTTCTATTTTTATTATAAAGAATATGTATTTCACTGAAAGTCACTCGTATTTAATCTTGTAATGTGAAGACTATTGATATTTGGATATGTCTTTTATGAGAAAATAATTAGATCTAAATTATCTATAAAAAATTTGCAATCTGAAATAGAAATGAAAATTAAATTGTTGAAATTTTTCTTTATATACACAGAGTTTCATAAAATATTCATATAATTGTTCGTATATTGTATTTAAAATATATTTTAAAAATAATTTTAACGTATCATCAATTATGCCAACTGTGTATAACAATTATTATCACTTGCGATATGAATGTTAATTAACATTAAAAACAGATTGATAAAGAAACAATTAAAATTTTTGAAAAAGTAAACTTTGTGTATAACAGATATGCAAATATTAAACGACAATATCACTAAGATAAAAAACAGTTTATGATCGTTAATATTCACATGTAATTCTGAACTGAGTTTCTTTGGGTTTCTAACGTCATCCCAATCAAATTACACTGATTTTCATATCATTTGATGCGTGTAATTTATATGACAAGTCACGTGAACTTATCTATATCTTTTAAGTTTGATTAGAATTTACGGATTGTTTTCATATTTACGAAGACATAATTAAAAGGTCATTGCAAAAATAGATATCGCGGAAAAATAATTTTTATTTTAATGAAAAATATCTCCAAATTTTTATAAATTTATTATTTATAAAAATTAATTATGTTTTAATTGTTAATTCATTTTATATTCAGACAGTATCTAAAATTCGGCAAAATGATATGACTTCTTAAATAGGAATTATCATATTATAAATTAATATTTAATTAAAATGTTTGCAAACATTTATTTATCTGTCAATTACTTATCTTTTAAATTTTCAAATTCTGATAATTTCGCGAAATAATTTTGTGAGATAATACAAATCTGTCTCTTTTAAAAATTAGTCTTTCTGTCAATATAAATAACGCAAGTATAGAATTCGAAGATTATAAAGACAAAATTGTAAAAAAATTATAAATTTTTTCTATAATATATATTCTCTATAATATATTAATTTTCAAAATAAGCAGCAGATTTCTTTAACTCTACTGCATTAGTATCATTTCGTATAATAATTTGATATTCTTGCAAATGATCGCTCTATTATGGATAATATGATTTTATTTCTGAATACATAAGCAAAAGCAATTGAATGATCATTACATTCATATATGGAAACAAGGCAATTGTTTTCATTACGATCGTTTTTGCTTATCCGTACGAATGCATATTATCTAAAAATTATTCCTTATCGCGTTTGCGGCCTAGTTTAGCGGAAATATGTATGCCAAATACTTTGTAAACGCATTATTCAGTATATATCGCAGATATAGTTTAATACATGCAATGTTTGAGAATGAAAGAATTGTATCAATGCGCAATTTTTTATGAGTCGCAGATGCACTACAGTTTGATTTTGATTCACACCTGATTTTTGTCTACTAAATTAGCAAAAAATTATATCTTATTACGACAACAAAATTCAATTTGATTTTACATAACTCTTCTAAGTGGCACTATATCATTTTTATTCTTTAACGTTCGAAACGTTTTCTTGATATCTATTCATTTTTTTTAATTTTTTTACTGTGATTATTGCTTCACGATTATTATTCAATCAGCATGCTTTATTCACGAGTTTACTTGAAATATACATATTATCGATTTACTTTATGTTAATTTGTACAATTACTAAATGTGTGTATGTAACATAATCTACAAATATTTTTCAACGTTGTCTTAATATTATCATTTGTACTATATATTGAAAATAGCTCAGAATGATACGAATTAATTACTATTTAAAAAAACTTTACATTAAGACTCATGGAAGAGTTGTATAACGCGGAAATTTCACGAGTGTCCTAAGAATACTGAATATCCGTCAAAATATGAACAAATTATAGTTAATATATACACAAATGGTACTGTATTATTACACTTATATAACATCGTTACATTATTCTTCATATAAGCAAGAGAATAATATAAATGCTATGTGACGCCTTTAATATGCTTCATACGTTATATAATATTGTTTGTCTGAATAATTTTCCTCAAAAATAAAAAAAGCATTATATTATTTGTTGCTATTATTTTTATTTTTTATTCCACAATTTATTTAAAAATTTATTTTATCTCACCATATTCCATTCAATACACACAATTTACTTTATGTAATATATAAGATTATATAATTATAATTAAATAAATTTGAATTGTCCAAGTAATAAGACAAGTCTCTCTGTCCAATAATTATTTATCAAAATGGCATATAAACCAAATAAATGAGCGTTTATATTTCTGTTGTGTAATCAATTTGTTGTATAATTATTTTTCTGATTAATTAATTATTAATAGGCTTATAATTAAAACTTATATTTAAACCATCAAATTGCATTTTATATAATTAGAATAACCTGTTTTTTATTCTGATTTAAACAGGTACGTAATCCGCGATATTTTAAGATTGATATTGTAATGTAATGATATACGAGAAATAATATAATAAGTTTTGACGAACATTCCGTTTAATCAACATTTTTTTCTCAAAACATTCGTAAAATTTCCAAGTGATACGCAATGATGACTCTCTTTCGCGGATTCTTAACATAGTTTTCTTCGGAACTTGCAATTAATTGATGACGCTTCGGGATATTCTCTTTGGAAAATCCTGCGATCCATCATAGATTCTTAAACTAAGTATACTTTACTTCTCGTGCGCAATATAAATAATATTATATAAACGTTTTTTTTGTGTGGGATAAATTTTATTATTTAAAACATATTTTTATATATTATTTAATTTTGGAAATAAATTATTCTATATTAAAATGATTATATAATAAAAATCTACTTACCGATAAGAGCCCGCGGTAACGTTCACGGTTTAAACAGGAAGTACGATAGAATGGTGGGGTATGATCCTGCATCTTAAAAGCTTTATGTGTCGTACGAAGGAGTCAGTTTTCATTTAATCCTTGCAATCGGTAGTTTGACCAATCTTCTCCTCTTTGGATCTAAAATAATTGTGTTCAATTCAAAACGCTGAAAATATCTTGAGCCAATCGTCGACTCTCGAAGAACCTGCAAACATCATAAATACGTATGTTAATTTTTATAATTTTCGAAATACACATGTTTCGATAGAATCGCAATAATTGATTTTTATATAATAGAATATCAATTCTTAATTACATTATAGTAATCATAATCATTATACAAATGCTATCTTTCTCTTGTTGAAGATGACATTAAGTTAAAGAGATATTTACTTAGATATTTGCATTTTACTTTATTAAAAATGTAACACATCTAAATATATATATATATATATATATATATATATATATATATAATTAAATTGGAATTTATCATATTTATAAATATTTGTAGCTTGGGAAATTTCGATGCATATATGTAAAAAATATTGCATAAATATATATATATATTAAATAGCTTTCATATTAAGAAAGACACATCTTTATTAATCTATTGCAAAATTATTTTTGACTGAAAAGTGTATTTAAGTTTAATGATATCACATTCTCGAATTAGATGCAATATGATTTGGAGCAGTGTTTTCGTCAATCACCTGTCAATTGCTTTAGTCATCGCTTTAAATTCGCTTATGATCGCAAATGCGCAACCTGAACTTAAATTAGTAAATGTGGTAAGTATAATTATAAATATATTGTGTGCCACATTAACATAATTACAATTTAATAAAACAAAATTAAGCATTCTATATCAAACAGAAGCCAAATTATTTTTTCGATTATTTCTCTCTCATATAATTATAGTCTCAATTATTTTCTCATTATTTTTATTTATTAATTTTTGCAGGTATTCAGACACGGTGATCGAACACCTGATAATAATGGTCGTGAAATGTTTCCAAAGGATCCATATATAAATTACTCTTTTATCCAACAGGTCTTGGACAAGTGACTTTAGTAAGTGTAACGTAACATTAACAAATTAAATAAAATAATTATATAAAAAACATGAATTAAAATATAAAAGTTAAGATAATTCAATTTTTATGAGATTTCAAAATTCATTCATTCATAAATAAATTAAGCTCATCGTAAAGCTCTTAATTATCAAATTCTTTCTAATTTTAACATTAATTAAAGACACTTTAACGAAGCTTGACAAATAATTAATTGAATATATGTAAACTTTCTTTGTGCAGGAGGGCAAGAGACGCGAGTATACATTGGGAAAAATCTTGCGCATTAGATATAATAATTTCCTAGGCAGTTTATACAGATCAAAACTCGTCGTAGCTCGTAGCTCGGATTTCGAGAGAACAAAAGTGTCTTTGCAACTTGTTCTTGCTGGCTTGTTCCCACCAACAAATATTCAACGATGGAATTCTCGTTTAAGTTGGCAACCAATTCCAACATCGTATATGCCACGTGTTGATGACAATCTTATCCTGACCGACGAGTGTCCGCAGTAAATATAACTACAAAAATATACCAACAAATAAGCAAAAAAAGCGATGAAAAAGCATTATTTTTTAATGCTGGAAAGAATATAAATGATATTTAAAAAAGATAAAATATAATTCTCGTGAGATTAAATTTCAAAATTTCTTGCGCAATATAAGTACATAAAGCATGTGAGACTAAATTTTTTTTTAAATAAAAAAAAGAATTTAATATTTATATAAAACGTTGAAAACGCGAAGAATAAGCAAAATACATTTTTATGCTTTAGTTGGAAAATTTATACAGCTACATTGAAAAAAAATTATTGAAAATTCGAATAAGTATATTTATTTCAATACTGTCCAATGAATTATTTATTTTAAGCTAATAATATTATTTGATATGAAAAATATTTATTTGATATAAGAAAATCTTTTTCAAAGCAAATAAAATATTTATTTATTGCAAATAAATGATTCACTTGGGAGTATTCAAATAAATATTTATTAATTTAATCATTTTGTTTGTAGCAAGAAATTCAGATTTTGATTTGTTTTCGCAGATATCTCAACGAATACGATCGAGTACTAAATTTACCTGAAGTGCAAGCAAAGATATACCAATTTAGAGGTTTAATGAGCAACTTGACAAAGCTAACTGGCAAAAAAATGGAGACGCTCTCCGATTTGAATTTTCTTTATCATACTTTTGCAGCGGAGTCTGCCTTAGGGTTGCCGCTTCTCGAATGGGTATATGACTATTTCCCTTATGGTCCTCTATTTGACGCAATCGTGGCCAATTACGATATTGCTAGTTTCACTCCTTTATTAAGAAAATTATTTGCTGGTAAGTTACATAATTTTTAGCGTAATTTCTTTTTAGTTTAGTAATATATTAATAATATTAATATATAAAAATAGCAGATAATTATTTATACACATATACATATAAATAGATACATACAGACATGTACATATAAAGAATTTTTTAATTATTATTATAATTTTATAATTATATAAAATTGTAATTTAAAAATAAAAAAATACTATTTAATTAAGAATTTTTAGAAATAAATTTTTTTAAAATTTGATAATAAAGAGTTCCCTAGTAAATAAATAAAAAATATAGTTGTATATATAATATTCCAAATATTTACAACATCCTATATGATTCAGGCCCGCTCATCCGTGATATGACAGACAATATGATAGCCACGCAAAATGCCAATTCGCCGAATACGAAAATATATTTATACGGTGGTCACGAGACTAATATTGCCAGTTTGTTGCAAGCTTTAGGTGTGTACGAGCCACATGTACCTGAGTATTCCAGTGCAATTATTATGGAATTGCAGAAGATCGATCAAGAGTATTATGTCAAGGTGAGTGTCTCATAAATAATTATATTATTAAAATAATGAGAAGACGTAATGCAAATTTAATTATTTCTATCGCGCAAATTTAATTATATATATCCATATGAATTTTTCAGCTGCTGTATTATACAGGCATTCCACCGACCATCAAAGAACTTCAAATCCCAGGTTGCGATGTGCTCTGTCCTTTTGAAAACTACTTAGATCTAATTGAAGATTTGATTCCCTCTGACGATGAGATGATTTGCGACAAAAGACAGACATCTGATTTTGCCAACGTAGAATATCCTGCTGGTTTGCAGAAAATGATGTATAATTTAATTAAGACAATAGATAGAAATGATAGGCAATAACTCATAAGCCGTACGAAGATGCTCAGGAGTAAGATGAAGTATCGCAAACATAAAATTAATTAAATTAATTGCATTATATCATGAACATCAAATTGTTTCCTACAATGATGCCTTTTTCATGTTTATTTATTTAAATGTCATATTAAACTCGTAAACATAAACATAAACTCAACAATCATTAAATTATATTTAAATGATCCAGTAAAGAAACGAATTAAAAAAATTGATAAAAATTCATTTCTGTAAGTCATAAGAATCATGTTGTCCTTTTATATGTGTGTATGTGTGTATAAATATATGAGAATATTTGTTTATTTTATTCAGATGAAGAGAGAGAAGTATTATATGTACTATATATATGTATAAAACAAATATATAATAATACACTTTAAAGAATTTGTCGCTTTGATACATTTTTTAATAAAATATTTGAAAACTATATTATTGCAAAAAATAAAAAAGCAGACTAATAGACTAATACTTTTGTTTATATAACATTCTCCTTTTTATATTTAAATATTATTTTCTTATATTACCAATTTCTGTAATTAATAATTATAAATGATTTTTGAATTTTTTTGTATAGCTCGCAATTAATTCGCGACAATTTGAAATGTAAGTTCTGAATGTAAAGAAATATAAGAAACATCTCTTATAGGTTCATTATTTTGATGTACAATCTAAAGCTATATAAAAAATTTAGAGATATATTTTATTTCGATCATTGATTCTCCATAAATGTTTACAATTATAATAGCATCCATCGAAGTTAAGGTATATTCAATTAACGTATTAAGAGAAAATCCTTTTATAAAAAGTTTCATAAAGAACATCAATGAGTCTGTACCCAGCAAACACAGTATATAAATGTTATGCTCAAGCATGTTACATGTAACGTATATGTTAATTGTAATTTCCCACTCATAGATGTAACATTTTTAATATTACATATATTACATTGTAGTTATATTGTCATTATATCCCAAGATAGCACTGACTTATCAATACATCAATGTGCTATATATAATGTGGTATATAATTACAATATAACTACAATGTAATATATGTTATATTAAAATGTTACATCTATGAGTGGGAAATTACAACTAACATGGATGTTACATGTAACGTACACGTTATATTACCTGTTATATTCCGTTTTATTATAGCAATGTAACAATTATATATCGGTGTTTGCTGGGTATGATCTCGTTAACAATTCATACATGTAATTAACATAATTACATGAGTGTGTTGCGTATACATATATATGTATATATGTTGGATGTGCTCATAGTTAGTGCATCTTAATCCAAATAAGACTATCTTTTACAACATATTTAATAAGTTTTAAACTCTACATCTTTATTTGTTTCTTATCGTTATTTTGCACTTATATTATAATTTATGTCATGCTATCGCTCATAAGTTTACTCCAAATAAAGGAACATATTTACGTACAATTTTAGAACTACTATATAAAAAAGTTTTTATCGTTTTCACGACATTTATCATTTTCAAATAGGAAGAAACTATAAGTCTAATAGCATTACACTTTTTGATTTCATGTCAGTAACATAATGTCGTTCTGCATTCTTGATAATTATTTGTCACTTCTCGTAGTGATAAGTCTAAATATCATGCTAATTGTGAGTGTACAACCAGAGTTGAAATTGGTTAATGTGGTAAGTGACAGCAGACATTATTCATTTTTCTTAAATATAAAACAAGATATAATTTAGCATTTTATTATAATATATAATACATTCTTCTTTAGAAATAATTAAATTTACGATCAAAAATATATCTAAAAGTAATTATTTTTATTCAACTTTTATTTAGCTGTTTAGACATGGCGACCGGACACCCACTACAACACATGAAATGTTTCCGAATGATCCATATTTAAATTATTCATTTCTTCCAACAGGCCGCGGTGAATTAATCAATGTATGTAATGTAATGTTATTTTTATATCACTGTAATATTTTCTGAAAAAAGTGATTCTGTGTGTAAAGTCAAAAGAATAATTTAATAGAAATATTACAAGCCATATCTATAAAAATAAATATTCACGTTTCGAAAATCAAGAATTATAAAACTTACAAAACTTATTACAATTTTTGGAAATTATAAACATATTTTTCTTCCCTCGCAAAGAAGAAATTTATGTCCTTTTTTTAATTTAAAATATATTGATTTCATATTAAAGTAAATACACACTTTAATAATAATACAATTAGAAATTAATTATTCCATTTTCACAATTATTTCCGCAATTTTTATAGCAAGGGAAGAAACGCATGTATGAATTAGGACAAGTCTTGCGCAACAGATATAAAGACTTCCTGGGCGATTTGTATCAACCCAAACTCGTCATGGCTCATAGTTCGGATAGTGATAGAACAAAGATGTCCCTGCAACTAGTTCTAGCTGGCTTGTTTCCGCCTAAGGATACTCAACGATGGAACACTGATTTAAACTGGCAACCGATTCCGATTACATATATACCACGTGTCACCGACAACTTTTTCACGTTTCACGAATGTCCACAGTAAGTTCAACTAATGTCATCAGACATACATAAATGTAACAAAGCAACAAAAATTATTTAAACAAAAATACCGAAATTCTTTAATATACATATGTATTTTTGGAAAAAAAAACATTTTTAAAACCACAATCTCCACTTGATTCCTCTCGACCAATAGAGCCAAACGCGATGTTATTGCGACAATTATGAAAGAAAGAACATTTGGAAAACTAAGGAATTTGTGGTTTTAAAAATTAAAAGAGCTGACTTAATAAGTATTCTCAAAAAACATTTTGTTAAAAAATAAATTTTAAAAATGTTGTAAAAAGAAAATTTGAATATTATATTTACAAAGAAAAAAGATGTAAATTTCTTCAAAGATATGTGCAAAAAAGGAAAAAGATTTATATCTTTATCCCTTTTTGCGTATATTTATATCTAAAATCTTTATTAGATACCTTGACGAGTACGATTGTATACTGAATTTATCCGAAATGAAAAAGATAACGTCTCAATTTAAGAACATAATGAGCAAGTTGACAGAGCTAACCGGTAAAAATATTGAAACATTTTTGGATTTGTTTTATTTATATCATACTTTCCTATCGGAGTCATCTCTGAATTTAACTCTTCCTCAATGGACTCACGATTACTTTCCTGACGGTCCACTATTCGATGGATATGTACAATCATATTACATTGCAAATTTTACTCCTTTAATAAGAAGATTGTCTAGTGGTAAGAGAAAGCGAAATATATATACAGAAAATTTCTCTTGATAATCTTTCTCGCGCGATATTTGTAAAAGGGTTTTCTTTTTATTTCAGGTTCAATAATTCACGCAATATTGAACAATATAATAGCCGCAAAAAATTCGAACAAACCGCATGCAAAAATTTATTTATATAGTGGACACGATGTTAACATTGCCAGTTTGTTGCTAGCTTTCAATTTGTACGAGCCGCATGTACCTAAATATGCTAGCGCAATTATTATGGAATTGCAAGAGGTCAATCAAAAGTATTATGTCAAGGTGAGTGTGTCATCAATAATTGCATTATTCAATAATGAGAAGACATAATGCAAATGTAATTATTTATATGGCTTAATAAATTCTCGCAGCTGTTATATTATAAAGGCATTCCACCGACTATCAAAGAACTTCAAATCCCAGGATGTGATGGTCTCTGTCCTTTCGAAAAATTTTTTGATTTAGTTAAAGATTTTATTCCGTCTGATGATGAGACAATTTGTGACAAAAGGCAGACACCTGATTATGCTCACATAAAATATCCTGTCGATTTGCAGAGAATTGTGTACAACTTAATTAAGACATCCGCAATAGAGAGACAAAATTATAGGCAATAAACCGTGCAAAGATGCTTAGGAGCGAGATAAAGTAACGCAAACATAAAATTAATTCAATTAATAGCATTACATCATAAACATCAAATTGTTGTCTACAATGATGCCTTTTTATGTTTATTTATTTAATTGTCATATTAAACTTGCAACCATTGACATAAACTCAACAATCATTAAATTATATTTAAATGATTCAGTAAACAAATTTAAAAAACTGATAGAAATTTCGCTATATACATATGTAAGTCATGAGAGTCATTTTGTCCTTTTATGTGTGTGTATGTGTGTATAAATATAAGAGAATATTTGTTTATTTTATTCAGATGAAGAGAGCTAATTGTAAGTATTATATGTACTATACATATATGTATATGTATAAAATAAATATATAACAATACACTTTAAAGAATTCGTTGCTTTGATACATTTTTTAAATAACTAGGCATCACAAGCGCGCGCTTTTTTGATATCATTTCTATTGTTTATTTTACAACTGTGAAATTATTAATTTTCGTAATGACAGTTGCTTCAGTGGCTTTATGCTATGACCATAATTTTAATTCGCTGAATTTCCATTATGTATATAATTTTAATTCGCTGAATTTTCATTATGTATATAATTTTAATTCGCCGAATAACTTCTATTATGTACATAATTTTAATTTGCTGAATTTCTATTGTACTGTTTGAGAACTATTTTGTATATACACATATGTATCTTTTTATATATCTTTCTCATTTTGTTTAGTTTAATCAAATATAATTACGTGCGCGAAGCGGAGTTATATTATTCTTTGATAATAAAATTTCAAAAATTGCGACGCATATGCATGCAAAAATTATTATTGCAATCAATGCATATATATTAATTAATTATGCAATGCATAAAAATTCAATATTTAAGTTTTTAATAGAAAATACGAACAAAGAAATACAATTTTCTATAAAAAATCATTTGTGATCAAATATCTACGCTTTTATTAGACTCGCGCAAGACTATACCCCCTACATCCTTTACGCTGCGCGGCTCGCGCGAAACTGATTCTCATGCGGGGTATCTCGAGCGCGGGCCCGATGGTCACATGACTAGTGATCACGTGACGACTAGTGGTCATGTGACCATCAGGCCCGCGCTCGAAGCACTCCGCACGAAAATCAGTCTCGCGCGAGCCGCGCAACATGATGGATGTATGGGATGTATTAATCTGATGGACAGGATAGAAAGAGAGAGTTACTTTCATCTTACAGCGTGCAGGGCCATACAGCGTAGCGGACGCGTACAGACGTGCTAATCAAATGGAAGCGCAGATATTTTGATCGAAAAATTTTTGTAGAACATTATATTTTTTGTTTGTTGCTAAAAATATATTGAATTTTTATGAATCACGTAATTAAAAAATATATTTCAATGCATGCATTGCAATAATAATTTTATACTTGTGTTGCAATTTTTAAGATTTTATTATTAAAGAATAATAAAACTTCACTTCGTGTATGTAATTATATTCGATTAAACTAAATAAAATAAGAAAAATATGTAAAGAGATACATATATACAAAATAGTTCTCATCAAACAGTACAATAGAAATTTAGCAAATTAATATTATGTACATAATAGAAACTCAATAAATTAAAATTATATACCTATACATAATGGAAATTTAGGAATTAAAATTATGTACATAATAGAAATTTGGAAATTAAAATCATGTACATAATAAAAATTCGGCGAATTAAAATTATATACATAATGGAAATTCAGCGAATTAAAATTATGTATAATTATGTATAATTATGTATATAATAGAAATTTGGCGAATTAAAATTATGATTATAGCATCAAGCAACTGTCATTGCAAAGATTAACAATTTGACAGTTGTAAAATAAACAATAGAAATGAAACTAATATTAGGAAACTTATTCCTAATATTAGGAATAAACAAAACTAATATGAAGAAATTTATTCTTAATGTTAGGATTAAATAATACTAATATTAAGAAATTTATTGCTAATATTAGGTGTATACATACATATATGTATAAATGTAGGAAGTTTTTACACAGTGCATTTTATCCATATAAGACTTTTTATCTCTTACAACATATTCAATAAGTTTTAAACTTTATATCTTTATTTGCTTCTTATCATTATCTTGCATTTATATTATACTTTATGTCATGCTATCGCTCGTAAGTTTACTCCGAATAAAGGAATGCAATTTTTATGCACATTTCTGAGCTGCTGTATGAAAAAATTTGTTTTTATGACATTTATCATTTTCAAGTAGGAAGAAACTATATAAAGTCTAATAGCATTACACTTTCAGATTTTATATTAGTAACATGATGTTGTTCTATATTCTCAATAATTATTTGTTACTTCTCGCAATTATAAGTCTAAATACCATGCTAATCGTGAATATACAACCTGAGCTGAAATTAGTTAATGTGGTAAGTAACAGACATTATTTCATTCATTTTTTTTTAATTTAAGACAAGATATAATTTAGCACTTTATTATAATATACATATAATAAATTCTATTTCAAAATATTTAAATCTACAATCAAAAATATCTAAAAGTAAATATTTTTATTCGCCTTTTATTTAGCTATTTAGACATGGCGATCGGGCACCCAGTATAAGACACGAAATGTTTCCGAACGATCCATATTTAAATTATTCATTTTTTCCAACAGGCCGCGGTGAATTGACTAGCGTATGTAATGTACCTAATGTTATTTTATATCACTGTAATATTTTCTGAAAAAAGTGATAAAGTCAAAAGAATAATTTAATAGGAATATTAGAAGCTATATCTATAAAAATGAATATTTACGTTTCAAAAATCAAGAATTAAAACTAACAAAACTTATTTCAATTTTTGGAAATTATAAAACATTAGCATATTTTTCCTCCTTCGCAAAGAAAAAATAATGTCCGGTTTTTTAATTTAAAATATATTAATTTCATATTAAAGTAAATACACGCTTTAATATTAATAAATTTAAAAATTAATTAATCTATTTTCTAAATTATTTGAGCAATTTTTAAAGCAAGGGAAGAAACGCATGTATGAATTAGGACAAGTCTTGCGCAACAGATATAAAGACTTCCTGGGCGATCTGTATCAACCCAATCTCGTTATGGCTCATAGTTCCGATACTGATAGAACAAAGATGTCCCTGCAACTTGTTTTAGCTGCCTTATTTCCACCTACGGATACTCATCAACAATGGAACGGGGATTTATACTGGCAACCGATTCCGATTACATATATACCACGTGTTACCGACAATTTCTTCATAGTTAGTGAATGTCCACAGTAAGTTCAATTAATGTCATCGGAAATACATAAATGTAACAAAGCAACAAAAATTATTTAAACAAAAATACTTAAATCTTTTAATATAAGTATTTTTGAAAAGATATAGATAAAATACAATATTTATAAGATATAGGAATACAACAATTAAAAAATAAATTAAAAAATGTTCTAAAAAGAAAACAATTTTAAATATTATAACTGTAAAGAAAAAGATGACATTTCTTCAAGAATATACGCAAAAAGAGAAAACAATTAATATCTAAAATCTTTATTAGATACCTCGACGAGTACGATCGTATACTGAATTTACCAGAAATGAAAAAGATAACGTCTCAATTTAAGAACATAATGAGCAAGTTGACAGAGCTAACCGGTAAAAATATTGAAACATATATGGATTTGTTTTATTTATATCAAACTTTTCTTTCGGAGTCGTCTCTGAATCTGACTCTTCCGAAATGGGCTCACGATTACTTTCCTGACGGTCCACTATTCGATGGAATTGTACAATCATATTATATTGCAAATTTTACTCCTTTAATAAGAAAACTATCCAATGGTAAGAGAAATAGAAATATATATATAGAAAATTTTTCTTGATAATTGTAGATCTTTCTCGCGCAATATTTGTAAGAGGGCTTCTTTTTGTTTCAGGTCCAATAATTCACGCGATACTGAACAATATGATAGCCGCAAAAAATTCAAAAAAACCAGATACAAAAATTTATTTATACAGTGGACACGATATTAACATTGCAAATTTGTTGATAGCTTTCAATTTGTACGAACCGCATGTACCCAAATATACCAGTGCAATTATTATGGAATTGCAAGAGATCAATCAAAAGTATTATGTCAAGGTGAGTGTGTCTTATCAATAATTGCATTATTCAGTAATGAGGAGACGTAATGTAATTATTTACATGACTTAATGAAGTCTCTCGCAGTTGTTGTACTATAAAGGCATTCCGCCGATCATCAAAGAACTTCAAATCCCAGGATATGATGTTATCTGTCCTTTCGAAAAGTTCTTTGATTTAATTAAAGATTTAATTCCATCTGGCGACGAAACGATTTGCGACAAAAGACAGACACCTGATTATGCTCATATAAAATATCCTGTCGATTTGCAGAAAATTGTGTATAACTTAATTAAGATATTCGCAATAGATAGACATAGGTAATAAGTCATACGCTGTGCAAAGATGCTCAGGAGTGAGATAAAGTATCGTAAGCAAAAAATTAATTATGTTAATTGCATTATATCATAAACATCAAATTGTTGTCTACAATGATGCCTTTTATTTATTTAATTGTTATATTAAACTTGTAAATACATGGCCAATAACGCATAAACCTTGCTAAAGTGCTCAGATATTGAATAAAAATATCGCAAATAAAATTAATTAAATTAGTTATATTATATCCTGAATATTGCGATCAGATTGTTTTCTACAAATCTGTTCTTTTTTTCACGTTTATTTATTCAAATGTCATATTAAACATTTGCATACGTATATACATAAACAATTGACAATTGTTAAATTATATTTAAATCTCTCAGTAAATAGGGAAATCAGAAAATACTAATTAAATAAATTCGTTTTTCTAAATTATTAAAATCTTTTTATCTTTGTGTGTCTGTGTAAATACATATAAATTTTCTTATTAATTTTGTTTAGATGAAAAAAGCACAATGTCATAAATATTATAAAATAAATGTACAAGAACGCGTTATAAAGAATTACGATTTGTTGCTTTGACAATGATTTTTAAATAAAAAAAAATGTGTAAAAATTATAATTAATATAAAAAATAAAAATAGAAATTAAAACATCAATTTAATAACATTCTCTTTTTTATATCCAAATTATTATTTATATAGAATAAACAAGTTTAAAGTATAAAGATATCCTCTCGATTTATATTTGTATATTTACTGTATATTTGCATATATTGATAATTTGATTATATTTACTAGCGCTTTCTAATGTAAGACTCTTTATCTCTATCAACATATTAGAAAGTTTTTTTATATCCTTATTTGCTTCTTAATTGCTCTATCATTATATTGCATTTATTTTACGTAATCATGCTCAACATATATTGCATATATTGCATTTATTTTACGTAACCATGTATCAACATATTAGAAAGTTTTTTTATACTCTTATTTGCTTCTTAATTGCTCTATCATTATATTGGATTTAGTTTATGTAATCATGCTATCTCTCATATGTTTATTACAAACAAAGAAATATAATTTTATGTACACTTTTGGAACCGTTTATATAATAGAGTTTTTACCAGATTTATCATCATTCTCGAATGGGAATTCACTGTAAATTTAATAGCGTTACATTTACATATTAAGTATCAGTAATATGGTGTTGTTCTGTACTCTCGAACATTATTTGTTACTTCTTATAGTCGTATATCTAAACTCAATACTAATTGTGAGTATACAACCTGAGCTGAAATTGGTTAATGTGGTAAGTAGTAAGTGAATAAAGAGTATTGTTAATTTTTTTCTTTAATTTAAAACATTTAGTACTTTATAAAATATTTACTAATTTCTATTTTCAAAATATTTTACTTTGTAATCAAAAATACCTAAAAGTAATTATTTTCATTCAATTTTTACTTAGGTGTTTAGACATGGCGATCGAACACCCACAAAAGTGAGACATGAAATGTATCCAAACGATCCATATGTAAATTATTCATTCTATCCGATAGGCGACGGTGAATTATTTAATGTAAGTAATATAATGTAATTTTAACTCACTTTAATATTTTATAAAAAAAATTGTAGAGTCAAAAGAATAATTTAATGGAAATATTATAAGCCATGAAATCTGTAAAATTAAATGTTCACATTTCAAAAATAGAGAAATAAAACTTAAAATTTTATTTCAAATTTTTTGGAAATTATAAACTTATAATATTTCTCCTTCTTCGCGAAGAAAAAAAATCTTGTTATTATTTATGCAAAATATATTTTAAGATTAAAATAAATATGCCATTAAATGTTAATACGCTTTGAAGTTAATTAATCCATTTGCAAAATTCCTACAGCAAGGCAAGAAACGCGAATATGAATTGGGACAAGTCTTGCACAATAGATATAAGGACTTCCTGGGCAATTTGTATCTGCCGAATCTCGTTAAAGCTCACAGTTCGGGTACTGATAGAACGAAGATGTCCCTACAACTTGTTCTAGCTGCCTTGTTTCCGCCTACGGACACTCAACGATGGAAAACTAATTTAAATTGGCAACCGATTCCATTTACATATGTGCCACGTGTCGTCGACAATTTTTTTTTGAGTCACGAGTGTCCACAGTAAGTTTGACTAATGTCAATAGATAAATGAAAAAAAAAATAGCAAACAGAAAAATTATATGTATTTAAAAAAAACATAAATATCGTTAAAATACAATGTTTGGAAAATAAATAAAAAAATATTTAAAAAAACAATTTTGGATATATAAATACAAAAATAAGTATTTATTCAAATTCAAAGTTAAAAGACTAATAGAAAAAAGACTGTAAAATATTCTTTAGATTCCTCAACGAATACGATCGCATACGAAACTTGCCAGAAATAAAAAAGAAATTGTCCCAATTGAAAAACCCAATGAATAAGTTGACAGAGTTAACCGGTAAAAATATCGAGACCCCTTTCGATTTATATTATTTATATCAAACTTTCGAAGTGGAGTCGTTCATGAATCTGACCCTTCCTAATTGGGCGTACGATTACTTTCCTGACGGTCCTGTGTTCGATGGACTTATACTCTTATATAATATTCTCAGTTTTACACCTTTAATGAGAAGACTCTGCACTGGTAAGGGAGAGATATACACAGTCATTTTTTCTTTATTATAGTAACATTTATAGGTCTTTTTCGCGCAATATATAGGTACTTATAAAAAGGAATTTTTTGTTTCAGGCCCGATGATTCATGCGATATTAGATAATATGATAACTGCAAAAAATCCGAATCCACCGAATACAAAAATTTATTTATATAGTGGTCATGATGGTAATATTGTGGGTTTGTTGCAAATTTTTGGTGTATACGAGCCACATTTTACGCGGTATTCCAGCGCATTTATTACGGAATTATATGAGTTCAATCAAGAATATTATGTCAAGGTGAGTGTCATAAAGAATGAAATTGCATTATTCAATAATGAGGGTAATGCAAAGGTAATTATTTACACGGTTTAATGAATTTTCGCAGTTGTTGTATTATAAAGGTATTCCGCCTATCATCCAAGAACTTCAAATCCCAGGATATGATGTTCTCTGTCCTTTCGAAAAGTTTTTGGATTTAATTAAAGATTTGATTCCGTCTGACGACGAAACGATTTGCGACAAAAGACAGACACCTGAATTTGCTGAAATAAAATATCCTGTCGATTTGCAGAGAATTGTGTATAACTTAATTAAAACCTCCGCAATAGAAACACATAGATAATAACGCATACACTTTACTAAGGTGTTCAGGCATTAGATAAAAGTATCGCGAATAAAATTAATTAAATTAGCTATATTATGTTATGAACACTACGTTCAGATTGTTCTACAAAGCTGTTATTTTTTCACGATTATTTATGCAAGTGTCATATTAAATATTTGCATATACGTATACATAAACAATTGACAATTATTAAATTATATTTAAATGTCACAGTAAATAAGGAAATTAGAAACTCTAATTAAATAAATTCATTTTTCTAAGTCATTAAAATTTTTTGTGTTTGTGTATGGCTGTGTATATATATATATATATATATATATGTATAAGAATATACTTATTCATTTTGTTCAAATAAAAAAAGCACAGTCTCATAAATATTATAAAATCTGCAATAACGTACTATAAAGAATTACGATTTGTTGCTCTGACAATGATTTTTTAAATAAAATTGAATGTGTGAAAATAATAAATAATATAAAAAATAAAAATAGAAATTATAAAACATCAATTATAATTCTCTTTTTTATATCCAAATTATTATTTATATAGAATAAACAAGTTATAAAAAGTATAAAGATATCTTCTCGATTTATATTTGTATATTTATATTCGCATATATTGATAATTTTATTATATTTATTAGTGCTTCTTAATATAAGATTTAGTTTTATCTCTTTCGACATATTAAAGGTTTTTAACTTATATCCTTATTTGCGTCTTATTATCTTTATCTTGCATTCTTTTTACGTAATCATGCTATCTCTCATATGTTTAGTCCAAACAAAGGAGTATAATTTTTATGTACACTTTTGGAGTTCTTTATACATTTAATAGAGCTTTTATCAGTTTTATTACGACAATCATCATTCTCGAATGGGAATTCACTATAAGCCTAACAACGTTACATTTACATATAGTATAGGTATCAGTGACATGATGTCGTTCTGCATTCTCGATAATTATCTGTTACTTTTAATAGTCGTAAGTCTAAATGCAATGCTAATTGTGAGTTTACAACCTGAGCTGAAATTGGTTAATGTGGTAAGTAATAAGTGGATAAGGAGTATTGTTAATTTTTTTCTATAATTTAAAATATTTAGTACTTTATATAACATTGACTAAATTATGTTTTCGAAATATTTTACTTTGTAATTGAAAATACCTAAAAGTAATTATTTTCATTCAACTTTTACTTAGGTGTTTAGACATGGCGATCGAACACCCGGAAAAATGAGACATGAAATGTATCCAAACGATCCATATGTAAATTATTCATTCTATCCGATAGGCGACGGTGAATTAATTAATGTAAGTAACATAATGTAATTTTAATTCACTTTTGATATTTCATGAAAAAATGTAGAGTCAAAAGAATAATTTAATGGAAATATTATAAGCCATGAAATCTGTAAAATTAAATGTTCAAGTTTCAAAAATCGAGAAATAAAACTTACAAATTTTATTTCACAATTTTTGGAAATTATAAACTTAAGATACTTTTTTTTCTTCGCGACAAAATAAAATTTACTTGTTCATTTTTTATGCAAAATGTATTTTAAGATTAAAATAAAGTCATTGAATGTTAATACGTTTTAAAATTAATTAATCTATTTTCACAATTTGCGCAATTTTTATAGCAAGGCAAGAAACGCGAATATGAATTGGGACAAGCCTTGCGCAACAGATATAGAGACTTCCTAGGCGATATGTATCTACCAAAGCTCGTCAAGGCTCACACTTCAGATACTGAGAGAACGAAGATGTCCCTACAACTTGTTCTAGCTGCCTTGTTTCCGCCTACGGATACACAACGATGGAAAACTGATTTAAACTGGCAACCAATTCCGGCGACGTATGTGCCACGTATGAATGACAAATTTTTCTTGGGAAACGAGTGTCCACAGTAAGTTTGACTAATGTCAATAGATAAATGAAAGAAATAACAAACAGAAAAATTATATGTATTTAAAAAAAACATAAATATCGTTAAAATACAATGTTTGGAAAATAAATAAAAAAATGTTTAAAAAAACAATTTTGGATATATAAATGTAAAAATAAAGATCAATATTTTTTCAAACTCTAAGTTAACAGATTAATAGAAAAAAGATTGTAAAATAATCTTTAGATTCATCAACGAATACAATCGCATACGGAATTTGCCAGAAATAAAAAAAAGATTGTCCCAATTGAAGAACCCAATGAATAAGTTGACAGAGTTAACCGGTAAAAATATCGAAACGCCTATGGATTTCTATCATTTATATCAAACTTTTGTGGTGGAGTATTTCATGAATCTGACCCTTCCTAATTGGGCGTACGATTACTTTCCTGACGGTCCTCTGTTCGATGGACTTATACTCGCATTTAATTTTCTCAATTTTAATCCTTCAATGAGAACACTCTTCACAGGTAAGGGAGAGATATACACAGACATTCTTTCTTTATAGTAACATTTATAGGTCTTTTTCGCGCAATATATACTAATAAAAAGGATTTTTTTTTGTTTTAGGTTCGATGATTCGTGGGATATTAGACAATATGATAGTTGCAAAAAATCCGAACCCACCGAATACAAAAATTTATTTATATAGTGGACATGATGGTAATATTGTGAATTTGTTGCAAATTTTCGGTGTATACGAGCCACATTTTGTGGCGTATTCCAGCGCATTTGTTACTGAATTGTATGAGTTCAATCAAGAATATTATGTCAAGGTGAGTGTGTCATCAATAATTGCATTATTCAATAAGAAGATGTAATGCAAATTTAATTATTTTTATCACACTATGAATTTTCATAGCTGCTATATTATCGAGGCATTCCGCCAATTTTCGAAGAACTTCAAATCCCAGGTTACGATGTTCTATGTTCTTTCAACAAGTTCTTGGATTTTATTAAAGATCTATTTCCATTAAATGATGAGAAAATTTGCGACAAAAGGCAGGCGCCTGATTTTGCCCACATAAAATATCCTGTCCATTTGCAGAAAAATACGTACAACTTAATTAAGACATTCGCAATAAAAATGCATAAATAATAACGTCTATACACCTTGATAAGGTGTTTTAGGCGCGAGATAAAAGTATCAAAATAGCAATTATATTTCTCTCTAAAAAAAGTGGCATGTTATTAATTCTCAAAATCCTTTCAAAAATTTCGAAGTGTTTTGTTGTCTCTCTTTATTAATTCGTTTCTTGCATTTATCTCGGAAAAGTGGTGTTCAGAAGCAAAGACAAAGCAAAAGTTTGTTCTAAGATGTGGCCTTTTCGAGATAAAACGACAAAAACCAAATTAAACGGCGATATCTCCGAAATGATAAGTCCTAGATAGTAAGATTAGTGAATCTTATAAATATTATTTGCGGATAAGATATTAAATATTTTTTATATTATGAAACTCAATTAATATTTTTGACAATTATATATTATATATTATATATTATTAATAGCTAATAGAAAATAATATCAGTTTTGTATAAATATTTACTATATATAGTCCATATTTTATATTCAATCAGCGAATTAACTCATCTGGCAGAATGTTAAAGTTAAATCCAATATATCCACTACTTAATTACAAATTAATGCTGGAGAGACCAGATTCTGATTTGCAGACTTTGATCACAATAGACTTTTGTATTAATGTATTATTGAACATCAAATTATAAATATTACAATTTATGAATATATTATAATATAAATATATATCTATATATAGAGAGAGGACGTTTCCGTACAGTTACTAATGTTTTCCAATTTAAATAAAACTTTCTACCTCTTACAACAAATGAAAAATTTTAAACTCCATATTTTCATTTGCATTTTATCATTATCTTGCATTCATTTTATAGTTTATAAATAATGCTATCTCTCGTACATTTATTCTGAACAAGAAAATATAATTTTTATGTACACTTTTAGAGCTGTTTAAATGATAGTACTTTTATCAGTATTATCACGACAATTATCATTCTCGAATGGGACATCACAATAAGTCTAGTAGCATTACATTTACAGAAGCATCAGTAACATGATGTTCTGCATTCTCAATAATTATTTGTCACTTCTCGTAATTATAAATCTAAATACGATGCTAATCGTGAGTCTACAGCCTGAGCTGAAATTAGTTAATGTGGTAAGTGACAGACATTGTTAATTTTTCTTACTTTAAGATAAGATATATTTTAGCACTTAATATAAGATATATTTCTTTTCGAAATATTTAATTTTGCAATAAAAAATATCTAAAAGTAATTATTTGTATTCTGCTTTTATTTAGTTATTTAGACATGGTGATCGAACACCCAGTAAACACGAAATGTTTCCGAATGATCCATATATGAATAATTCATTCTTTAGGTCGATAGGTCAAGGTAAATTAACTCTTGTAAGTAATATAATATAATATAATCTCACTTTGATGTTTTATGAAAAAAATATGATGGAGTTAAAAGAATCATTTAATGAAAATATTATAAGCTATATCCAAAAAAAGTAGTTCACGTTTCAAGAATCGAGAAATAAAACTTGCAAATTTTATTTCACAATTTTTGGAAACTATAAAGTAGCATATATATTTATTCTTCTTTGCAAAGAAAAATTTCTGTTTACTTTTTTAATGCAAAATATGTTGATTTCAAATTACAGTAAATACACTATAATATTAATATAATTTAAAATTATAATTAATTCATTTTTTAAATTAGTTACGCAATTTTTTCAGAAAGGCAAGAAACGCGAATATGAATTGGGACAAGCCTTGCGCAATAGATATAAAGACTTCCTGGGCGATCTGTATCAACCCAAGCTCGTCATGGGTCACAGTTCGGATACTCATACAACGAAAATGTCCCTGCAACTTGTTCTAGCTGGATTGTTTCCGCCTACGGATACTCAACAATGGAACAATGATTTAAACTGGCAACCGATTCCGATTACATATGTACCACGTGTCACCGACAATTTTTTCTTGAGTTATGAGTGTCCACAGTAAGATTGACTATAGTCAATAGATAAATGAAAAAAAGCAAACAAAAAAATTATTTGTATTTAAAAAAAAACCAAATATCGCTTAAATACAATATTTAGAAAATAAAAAAAAAATGTTTTAAAAAAAAAATAATTTTGGATATTATAATTTCAAAGAAAAGATTAATATTACTTCCAACTCAATGATTTATGCAAAAAAGGAAAATATGCTACATATTATAAATTTTTTTTTAGATATATTGACGAATACAATCGTATAATAAATTTACCCGAAATTGAAAAGAAAAAGTCTCAAAATAAGAACGTACTGAGCAAGTTAACAGAACTAACTGGTAAGAATATTGAGACGCCTATAGATTGGTTGGCTTTATATCAAACTTTTCTTTCGGAGTCGTTTATGAATCTAACTCTCCCCAAATGGGCTTATGATTATTTTCCTGACGGTCCATTGTTGGATGGAGTTGCATTAATATATGATATTGGAAATTACAATGCTTTAACAAGAAGACTTTTCAGTGGTAAGAGAATGATAGATGCAGAAAATTATTTTATAGTTATATTTATAATTGTATTTATATCTTTCTCGCGGAATATATATTCATAAGAGGATCTTTTTTATATCAGGCCCGATGCTTCGTGCGATGGCAAACAATATGTTAGCAGCAAAAAATCCGAACCCACCGAATACAAAAATCTATTTATACAGTGGTCACGATAGTAACATTGCGGTTTTATTGCAAATTTTCGGCGTATACAAACCACATTTACCAGCGTATTCCAGCGCATTTGTTACAGAATTGTATAAGTTCAATCAAGAATATTATGTCAAGGTGAGTGTGTCATCAATAATTACATTATTCAATAAAGAGAAGATGTAATGCAAATTTAATTATTTTTATCGCGTAATAAATTCTCGCAGTTGCTGTATTATCGAGGCATTCCGCCGATTTTCGAAGAACTTCAAATCCCAGGTTACGATGTTTTATGTTCTTTCAACAAGTTCTTGGATTTTATGAAAGATCTATTTCCATTAAACGACGAAATAATTTGCGACAAAAGGCAGACGCCTGATTTTGCCCACATAAAATATCCTGTCGATTTGCAGAAAATTACGTACAACTTAATTAAGGCATTCGCAACAGAAACGCATAAATAATAACGCACATACATCTTGATAAGATGTTTCAGATGTAAAATAAAAGTACCAAAATAGCAATTATATTCTTCTCTAAAAAAGACATGTTATTGATTCTCGAAAGTCTTTCGATAATTTTGAAGTTTGTTATCTCTTTTCGTTAATTCGTTTTTCGCATTTATTTAGGAAAGGCGGCGTCCAAAAACAAAGACAAAGCAAAGATTTGTTCTAAGATGTGGCCTTTTCGAGATAAAACGACAAAAACCAAATTAAACGGCGATATCTCCGAAATGATAAGTCCTGAGAGGATTAGTGGATTTTATAAAAATTATTTGCGGATAAAATATTAAATAATTTTTTATAATATATTATTGAATTAGTTACATTATATCATGAACATTGCGATCAAATTATTTTCTGCGAAGCTGTTTTTTGTTCATGTTTAATTATTCGATTCTTATACATTCGCATACATATGCATAAACAATCGACAATTATTAAATTTATACATAAATAAATGTTCTAATAAAGAGGGAAATTAGAAAATACTGAAGAAAAATTTCGCCTTTTTAAGTTATGAAAACCTTTTTGTTTGTGTGTGTGTACACATGTTTTTATGTTAATTACATATATACATTGTTAATGAGACACAAGTTCATAGGTCTTCTTTATGAAACTTTATGATAAAAGACCTTTTTCTTAATAACTATAATAGAAAATAATAAGATTCTTGTATCAGTGCATTATTGAACATCAAATTATAAATATTATAATGATATATGAATATAATATAATATATATAGTATATAAATGTAGGATGTTTCTGTACAGTTACGAATGGTTATCAATTCAAATTATCCTTATTTGCATTTTCTCATTATCTTGCGTCATTTTATAGTTTATGTAATCAGACTATCTCTTGTACGTTTATTCTGGACAAAAAAAATATAATTTTTATGTACACTTTTAGTGTTGTTTAAATGATAGAGCTTTTATCAGTATTATCACGACAATTATCATTCTCGAATAGAACATCTCAATAAGTCTAGTAGCATTACATTTACAGATTAAGCATCAGTAACATGATGCTCATTCTTCAAAATTATTTGTCACTTCTCGTAATTATAAGTCTAAACACGATGCTAATCGTGAGTATACAACCTGAGCTGAAATTAGTTAATGTGGTAAGTGACAGACATTACGAAATTTTGTTACTTTAAGATAAGATATAATTTAGCACTTAATGTAAGATAAATCTCTTTTCTAAATGTTTAATTTTGCAATGAAAAATATCTAAAAGTAATTATTTTTATTCAACTTTTATTTAGTTATTTAGACATGGTGATCGAACACCCGAGAAACACGAAATATTTCCGAATGATCCATATATCAATGATTCATTCCGATCGATAGGTCGAGGTGAATTAACTAATGTAAGTAATGTAATGTAATATATTCTCACTTTGATATTTTATAAAAAAATTTGATAAAGTCAGAATAATTTAATGTAAATATTATATCTGTAGCTATATCTGTAAAATTAAATGTTCACGTTTCAAGAATCGAGAAATAAAACTTACAAATTTTATTTCACAATTTTTGGAAATTATAAAGTAGTATATATTATTTCTTTTTCGCAAAGAAAAAATTTCTATTTACTTTTTTAATGCAAAATATGTTGATTTCAATTTAAAGTAAATACACTTTAATATTAATATAATTTAAAATTAATTAATTCATTTTTTAAATTAATTTTGCAATTTTTTCAGCAAGGCAAGAAACGCGAATATGAATTGGGACAAGCCTTGCGCAATAGATATAAAGATTTCCTGGGCAATCTGTATCAACCCAAGCTCGTCATGGCTCACAGTTCGGATACTGAGAGAACAAAAATGTCTCTGCAACTTGTTCTAGCTGGTTTGTTTCCGCCTGCGGATACTCAACGATGGAAAGCTGATTTAAACTGGCAACCGATTCCGATTACATATGTACCACGTGTCGTCGATAATTTTTTCTTGAGTAACGAGTGTCCACAGTGAGTTTGACCAATATCAATAAGTAAATGGGAAAAAAACAGCAAACAAAAAGTGGTTATATATATTTAAAAAAAACAAACACAGCTAAAATGTAATATTTAGAAAATGAGAAAAAAAATGTTCTAAAAAGAAAATAATTTTGGATATTATAATTCTAAAGAAAAGATAAATATTTTTTTCAAATTCAACGATTTATATGCAAAAAAGGAAAATATGATATATATTTAAGGTCTTTTTTAGATTCCTCGACGAATACAATCGTATAATGAATTTACCCGATATGAAAAAAAGAGCGTTTCAATTAAAGAATGTAGGGAACAAGTTGACAGAACTAACTGGCAAAAATATCGAGGTGCCTACGGGTTTATTATATTTATATCACACTTTCATTTCGGAGTCGTTTATGAATCTAACTCTCCCCAAATGGGTTTATGATTATTTTCCTGATGGTCCATTGTTGGATGGAGTTGTATTAACATATGATACTGGAAATTATAATCCTTTAACAAGAAGACTCTACAGCGGTAAAAGAATGATATATATAGATAAATTATCTTTATAATTGTATTTCCGTAATAACTGTATGTATATACCTTTCTCATCCTATACTTTTATACTTATAAGGGAATTCTTGTTTAGGCTGGATGATTCACACAATTTTGAACAATTTAATAGCAGCAAAAAATCCGAACCCTCCGGATACAAAAATCTATTTATACAGTGGTCACGATAGTAACATTGCGGTTTTATTGCAAATTTTCGGCGTATACAAACCACATTTACCAGCGTATTCCAGCGCATTTGTTACAGAATTGTATAAGTTCAATCAAGAATATTATGTCAAGGTGAGTGTGTCATCAATAATTGCATTATTCAATAATGAAGAGATGTAATGCAAGTTTAATTATTTTTATCGCGCAATGAATTCTCGCAGCTGCTGTATTATCGAGGCATTCCGCCGATTTTCGAAGAACTTCAAATCCCAGGTTACGATGTTTTATGTTCTTTCAACAAGTTTTTGGAATTGATTGAAGATCTATTTCCATTAAATGACAAGATAATTTGCGACAAAAGACAGGCACCTAATTTTGCCCACATAAAATATCCTGTCGATTTGCAGAAAAGTGCATACAACTTAATTAAGACATCCGCAATCGATAGAAACGTATAAGTAATGCATATACCTTGCTAAGGTGCTCAGACGCAAGATGAGTGTCGTAAATAAAGTTAATTAAATTATGTACAATATATCATGAACACATTGTGATCAAGTTATTTTTACAAAGCTGTTCTTTTTCATCTCTATTTACTCACAAGAAGTGAAACTGATGGATATTGTGGAGAGAAAGTGATGAATATTTGTTTTTCTAAATTATATAATTATTTAAGTTTGTGTTTGTTTGTGTAAATATATATGAATATATATTTATTCATTTTGTTCAAATGAAAAAGGTGTTATAATATAAAAATTATGATTTGTTGCTGTAATACTGATTTTTTAATTTAGACAAATTTAAAAGTAATAAATATTATTAAAAAATTAAAATGGAAGTTTAATAATTCAATTTATATAACATTCTCTTTTTATATCCGCAAGCATTATTATTATTATTATTTAAATAGAATAAACAAATTACAAAGTATAAAAAAATATTTTAGGATTTGTAATTTCTGTACTTATATTCATATATTTGATGCTCAATAATGCACTGATACGAGCTGTCGTAATCAGAGTCTGTAAATCGGAATCTAATACTAGAATCTGGTATCTCTATCAAAATCGTTAGTTTGTAATCAAATATCGAACATATCTAGCTTTATTTAATATTTTGCCAGAAGAGTTAATTTGCTGATCGAATAGACTATGATAGATTTTCATACGAAACTAAAGTATTATCTTCTATTAACTATTAAGTAAGACTTCTTAAAAAGAAGAACAAATGCGCCTGTGAAGTCTTGTTAATAATTTATACATATAATTAACATAATTACACGTGTGTACACACATGTAATTACATACATATATACACATTTTATGTAAGATATTTCCACACACTAACTAGTTTCTTAATCCAAATAAACTTTTTATCTCTTACATATAAAAAAGTTTTAATCTTTACATCTTTATTTGTTTCTTATGATTATCTTGCATTCATTTTATAGTTTATGTAATCATGTTACTTCTCGTACATTTATTCCCGACCAAAGAATTATAATTTGCATGTATATGTATATGTTGTTATGTATATGTGAGAGTTGTTTATGTGAAAGAATTTTTATCAGTTTTATGGCTTTTATCGACATCATGAGAATGAGAATCTCTCGAATGAGAATTATAAGTCTAATAGGACTACATTTACAGATTAGGCATCAGTAACATGATGTTCTTCATTCTCGATAATTATTTGTCGCTTCTCGTAGTCATAAGTCTAAATACGATGCTAATCGTGAGTACACAGCCAGAATTGAAATTAGTTAATGTGGTAAGGAACGGACAATATTGTTAATTTTTTTAATTTAAGACAAGATATAATTTAGCACTTTAATGTAATATATAATAAACTCTTTTTTCGAAATATTTTAATTTACAATTAAAAATGTCTAAAAGTAATTATTTTTATTCAATTTTTATTTAGGTATTCAGACATGGTGATCGCACACCCGAAAAAAAGAAATGTTTCCGAAAGATCCAAATAATTATTCATCCTTTCCCTGGTGGATAGACCCTGGTCAATTAACTAATGTAAGTAATGTAATGTATTATAATTTTATCTTACTTTGATATTTTTTATGAAAAAAATGTGAGTCAAATAATAATTTAATGGACATATTATAAGTCAGATCTGTAAAATCAAATGTTCACGATTCAAAAATTGAGAAATAAAATTACGAATAATTTTATTTCACAATTTTTGGAAGATATGAAGTTAGTATAATATTTTTCCTTTTTTGCATAGATAAAATTTATGTTCTGTTTGTTAATATAAAATCTGTTGATTTCAAATTAAAGTAAATATTTTAATTTTTAACTTGAATTAATTGGATTTAAGATTAATTAATTCACTTGCACAATTACTTTCGAAATTTTTACAGCAAGGCAAGAAACGCGAATATGAATTGGGACAAGCCTTGCGCAACAGATATAAGGACTTCCTAGGCGATCTGTATCTGCCAAAGCTCGTCAAGGCTCACACTTCAGATACTGAGAGAACGAAGATGTCCCTACAACTTGTTCTAGCTGCCTTGTTTCCGCCTACGGATACACAACGATGGAAAACTGATTTAAACTGGCAACCGATTCCAATTACATATGTGCCACGTTACATCGACATTTTTTTCTTGAGTAACGAGTGTACACAGTAAGTTTGACTAATGTTAGATAAATAAAGATGAGCAACAAACACAAAATTATTATATATGTATTTAAAAAACATATAACTATAAATACACACAATATAATATTTATTTATTTATATATTCAAAAATAAGTATAAAAAAGTTCTAAAGAGAGGACAAACAAAAAACAATTTTGAATATAATTTCAAAGATATAAGATAAATATTTCTTTAAACTCAGAGATTTATAAAAAAAAAGGAAAAACGATGTACATATATCTAACAATAAGATCTCTTTTAGATACCTCGATGAGTATTTTGGTATTTTGAATCTGCCCGAAATGGAAAAGAAGAATTCTCAATTTAAGAACATACTGAGCAAGTTAACAGAACTAACTGGTAAGAATATTGAGACGCCTGTGGATTGGGTAGATTTATATCAACTTTTTCTTTCGGAGTCGTTTATGAATCTGACCCTTCCCAATTGGGCTTACGATTACTTTCCTGACGGTCCACTGTTCGATGCAGTAGTATTCGCATATAATACTGCGAATTATAATCCTTTAATAAGAAGACTTTTCAGTGGTAAGAGAATAATATATGTTTTACATTTATAATTGTACACTAAAAAAAAAGTTTGTAGAATTAACAAATATTAAGTTTAATACGTTCAAATGAATCATTTATTTGAAATAAATAAATATTTATTTGTTTTGGAAAGAATTTTCTTATATCAAATAAATATTTGTTTCAAATAAATGATTTATTTGAACATATTGAACTAAACATTTGTTAATTTAACAAACCTTTTTCAGTGTATTATTATATACAGATTTATATCTTTCTCGCCAATATATACATATTCATAAGAGAATCTTTTTTATATCAGGCCCGATGCTTCGTGCGATGGCAAACAATATGTTAGCGGCAAAAAATCCGAACCCACCGGATACAAAAATCTATTTATATAGTGGTCACGATAGTAACATTGCAGTTTTGTTGCAAATTTTCGGTGTATACAAGCCACATTTTCCGGCGTATTCCAGCGCAATTGTATTAGAATTGCAAAAAATCAATCAAGAATATTATGTCAAGGTGAGTGTGTCATCAATAATTTCATTATTCAATAATAGGGAGACGTAATGCAAATTATTTTTATCCCGCAATGAATTTTCGCAGTTTCTGTATTATCGAGGCATTCCGCCGATTTTTGAGGAACTTAAAATCCAAGGCTGCGATATTCTTTGTCCTTTGGACAAGTTCTTGGATTTAATTGAAGATCTGTATCCATTAGATAACGAGTTGATTTGCAACAAAAAATCGACACCTAATTTTTCTGTTGATTTGCAGAGAAAAGTGTACAACTTAATTAAGACGTCCGCAATAGATAAAAATACGTAAGCAGTGTACGCATACACCTTATTAAGGTATTTAAGCGAGAGTAAAAGTACCGAAAAAATAACATTAATTTATTTATATATATTATGAACGAATTGCGATTGTTTTTCACTTTGCTGTCCTTTTTTCCATTTTTATTTATTCAATTGCTGTGAACATTAAAACATATACATGAACTCGATAATCGTTATACTATATTAAAATTATTCATAAAAAAAGTGAAACCAAAAATGAAAGTATATAATATCAAAAAAAAGACCAATACTGGACTACAAATGCTTTATTTCAATCAAAGTGTCATGACGTTTCGACCTGTGATTTAGGTCCTTCTCAAATGAGATAATATTGGAGATGACCACATGAATACAACAGTGCGCTTTTTTACTGACGAGAAGTCTTTTAAGACACAAAGTTTAATCTTGATATATATTTATATTTGTGAAATGTCATAAGTTTGTATTATAAAACAAATAAACAAAAGTACACTTTAAAAAATTATGATTTGTATCCAAATATTATTTTTTATGTTTATATCGCAATTTATGTAAGTAATAATTATAGCAATTTCTTCTTATATTGCTCAAGATTAATTCGCGGCACTTCAAATGAAATATTCTATATATATGAAAATATGAGAAAAATCTTTTACAGATAGTTCATATTTTGATGTAAAATAAAATCTAATTAGTACTACATAGAAAAATCAAATAAATACTTTACTTCAATCATTGAGAGAGAGAGAGAGATTCCCGGAAAATATTCGTGATTAATGTCTATTGTCATGATGTTAATTTTTGTTTTCAAATATTTTGATTAAACTTGCATACTTATTTAGAAATGTTACTTTTAAATTAACATAATAATATTTCATTAGTAATTGTAAAAACGTTTTTCTCTTTCTCGCATTTTTAGCAGAAGCTAAGGTAAACTACTTTTACTATCACCATGTTAAGAAAAAAACCTTTTATCAAAATGTTTCATGAAGAAGGCCAACTCGAGCAAATTTAGGTCTCATTAAAAATATATGTAATTAACATAATTACATGTACATAAATATAAATATGTAATGTTTTCACAGTTGCAGGTGTTTCTTCATATATATATATATATATATATATATATATATATAGAAGTTCATTATTTCTTATAACATTTTTAAAAAATTTTTGAATTCTTGCCCTACTTGATTCTTCATCCTGCATTTATTTTATGATTTATGTAAGCGTGCTATCTCTCTCAAATACGTTTATTTTGAACAAAGGAACATTATTTTTACGTACACCTTTACAGCTGGTTATATGAAGAAGTTTTATCAGTTTTATCGATATCACATTTGTCATCCGTGAACGGGAATTAACTTTAAGTCTAATGGCATTACATTTTCAGATTAGGTAGCAGCAACATGTCGTTCGGCATTCTCGGCAATTATTTGTCGATTGGACTATTTGTAAGTCTAAACGCGATTTTGATCACGAGTATACAGCCTGAGTTGAAATTAGTTAATGTGGTAAGTGATATTAATAAATTTTTTAATTTAAGATAAAATAACATTTAGCGTTTAAAATAAAATTTAAATCATATTTGTTCCAAATTATTTAAATCTGTGATTGCAAATAACTAGAAAAAATAATTCTTGTTCAATTTTTATACAGATATTTAGACATGGCGATCGGACACCCGATAACAACGGATACGAAATGTTTCCAAACGATCCCTATGTAAATTATTCGTTCTTTCCAACAGGCCTCGCTCATTTGACCAGTGTGAGTAATATACTTTTATCTCACTTTGATATTTTATGAAAGAAAGTAGTAGTGGCAAAAGAATATAAATTAATAAAAGTTTGTAAAATTGAATGATTACATTTCAAAAATTGAAAATCAACAAATTTTCAAAATTTTTTAGAAGTTATAAAACTAACATGTTTTTTTCTAAAAAAAAAAAATAAATAAATAAAATTTCGTAAAAATAAAAACTTTAACTAATTCATTTTAAATTTAATTCATTAATTCAAAATTAATTCATTCATTTTCACTATTATTTACGCAATTTTTATAGCAAGGCAAAGCTCGTGAATATGAATTGGGACAAGTCCTGCGCAACAGATATAAAGATTTCCTGGGCGAATTGTATCTGCCTAAGCTTATCATGGGTCATAGTTCGGATTACGATAGAACGAAAATGTCCCTGCAACTTGTTCTAGCTGCCTTGTTTCCGCCTACCGATACTCGTCAACGATGGAACGCTGATTTAAATTGGCAACCGATTCCGACAACATATATTCCACGTGTCGACGACAATTTTTTTCTAAGTGACGAGTGCCCACAGTAAGTTCAACTAATGTTATCCGAAACAAATCAAAGGAAGCCGTAAGTAGAAAATTATCGTTTAAATAAGAGTATCTATAGATTTTTTGATATAAAATGCGTATTTCCGGAAAAAAAAACAAATACAGGTAAAATATAATACAATATTTAGAAAATTAATAAAAAAATAATTGTACTATAATTGCAGAGATGAAAAAAATGAATTTTCAAGTTTATAGATTTCTGCAAAAGGGAAACGAGATATCTGAGATTTTTTTGTAGATTCCTCGATGAATACGAGCGTATACTGAATTTGCCCGAAATAAAACAGAAAATGTCCCAATTTACAGACATCATGAATAAATTGACAGATCTAACGGGTAAAAAAATCGAGAAGCCTTTGGACTTGTATTATTTATATCATACTTTTGTATCGGAGTCGTCTCTGAATCTGACTCTTCCCAACTGGGCGTACGATTACTTCCCTGACGGTCCATTATTCGATGGAATTGTAACCGCATATGACATTGCTAATTTTACTCCTTTAATAAGAAGGCTTTACGCTGGTAAGATATATATTCAGAAAATTTGATCTTTATATTTATAACAATTTTTCTTATACAATATATATTATTAAGAGAGTTTCTTTTTGTTTCAGGCCCGGTGATTCGCGCAATGTTGGACAATATGATAATCGCGCAAATGCCCCACACAAAATCACTGGATACAAAAATCTATTTGTACAGTGGTCATGAGAGCAACATTGCAACGATGTTGCATGCATTTAACTTGTACAAGCCTCATGTTCCTGAGTATTCCAGCGCGGTTATTTTAGAATTATTACAGCAAGATAAACAGTATTACGTTAAGGTGAGTGTGTTATCAAATAATATAATATTTCTTGATGTCTGATTAATTACGCCCCGATAATATAATTTAATCTATATAGTCCTTCGAGATACATACAATTTCTTAGATTTGATACTAAATATATCGATCGTATCTCTTGCGATATGATCTATATTAAAATTAATTTTTATTTTTTATTATCTTATTGCTTTCAATCTATCCCTCCTCTTGTTTCCTGTGAAATTTTTTATTAGTTTTCTTTACAAATATTTATCAAAGTGAGATAACGCTGCTAGTGATTAAGTTATCAGTTAATGTAAAATTCGTAATATAAAAATATATTACAAATTTAATTATTTATATTGCCCCGTTTTGATAATTATATTTAATTTTTCGTACTAATTACTATTTTATAATTTTATAAATGTTTTTGAAATATAGTTTTTATATTATCGGGGCATTCCATCCATCATCGAAGAACTTCAGATCCCAGGTTGTGAAAAACTCTGTGTATTCCACAAGTTCTTAAATCTAATTCAGGATCTGATTCCGTCCGATGAAGAGATGGTTTGCGATAAGAGAAAGACTACGGATTATGCTAAGACGGAATATTCTGCCACGTTGCAGAGCAAAATGTACAAATTAATCAGTAATAGCGCAAAACTTTAATTAAAATGTTACACACATAAAGTTATATTAAATATTCATAAATATTGAAATTTAGTAAATAATGATATTGTCATATATTTTGACAAAATATATGTGAATAGTTTAGTGATTAGTGCAATAGTGCAGTTATGCAATGAAGTGCTTTGTATAAAAAAAACATATTGTAAATATTATTTTGACGAAACAAATTTTATTTATTTGTTATACTGCTTATTTTGCCTTAAATGTATGAGTAAATCATATTTCGTCGACACTACAATATTAAATGATTGAAAAAAACGAATTAAAAATGTTTATTTTCTTAATTGTGATCATAATATATTGCAGATTAAAATTGATTTCTTTCCATTTAAATAGAACATTGTACATTTTTATGTACTTTTATTCATCTTTTGGTAAAGTCTCAAAGAAGATACAATATAATGTGTTAGAAAAAGAATGAAAACAGATAATTCAATAAATTTCTTATTAATAAGTATATCATATTTTATTTTTTTCTTCCGTTTTCCAAATTGTATTATTTGCGAGTACAAAAATAATACATAGAGTAATTTTTATTTAATCTATATAATACCTATACAAATTTTTTTTATAAATGTCTATCTAATCTTTCAGCGAAGAGGTTCAACAATCCATTATTAATTATATCATCCCACAAGCAAGCCATCTCGTGGTCTGAAGGTATTATTTCACGAACGAGCTCCAAATAAGTACTCAAAGGGCATATTTCATCACACCCTGGTAGCTTAATATTCATCAATTCTCCTGTGGAACCGGTCCACAGAATAATCTTCGAAGGAAGCAAACATTCAGGTAGTAATATAATTTTCAATTTAAAATAAAATTTATATAATTTCTAGTTGTATAATTTGTTTCAATTTTAATTGATATTAAAATATAATTACCCTGATATGAAGATTTTGTTGCTCGTCTCGTAACTTTTCGAATATAAACGTTGATCCGTAACCTGGTATTCTCGGCTCGCTGATATTATGCACTCTGGCAAATGCAGCGAGATTTACTTCGTGGCCACTGTACACGTACATTTTGCGCGGATTCGTATGATGGTTATTCACGTTCATATTGTCGATGAACTTTTTGATCAACGTACCGCCGTTCAGTCGCTTTAATTGAGTCGTATACGAGCGGATATCGTACTCTAGCACCAGTATATCCTGCATTTTCCGGTACACTTCATCGGTGCACCATTCAGGTAAAGTTAAATTCATAGCTTTCTGAAATACGGGACAAAAATAAGTATATATTGTTGTCAAATATTTACAAAAATTAAGAATTTTCAATAATTAAATACATAGATTTACACATATGAACTATTAAATAATTTTTGATAATATTATAAACAAAAGGTAAAGAGAAAGGAAATTCAATTAAATTTTCATATATGTAAAACATTTTTATATAAATCAATATATTTACCTTAAAAAAGTTTAACTTACTTGTGCTGTTAGTAAATTGAAAACTTCGTAAACAAAGAGTGGTTCCTCGATGACTAAACCCGTTTTCTCGCTAAAAAATTTATAGAAGTCTTTGTAAATTGCGATTTTATCGCGGACTTCTTTCATTTTTTTTACCTCGGTTAAAGCTGTCTTGTAGCTAAAAAAATATTATTACAACTAATTATTCTTAGGAAAGTTCAAATTATTAATATAATGTTTGTTAAATTAAAATATCCTGCTATTAAAGAAAAAAAATTATGAATATTTCTTGAATATTTCCAAATATTGTTGTGTAGCCATTTTTTTTTAATTTTTAGGAATACATGCAATTAAGAAATAAATAATATGTAAAGCTGCTAACAAATTTGAAGAAATGCTATTAAGTCTGAACATTGTTCGATATTAGTATTAAACTTTTATTACAAATTTTATGTATTAAAAATATTTTCAAAACACAAAATTTGTAATAAAAATTTAATACTAACATCGAACAATGTTCAGACTTTAATAGCATGTCTACTTTTTCAGGCACATAATGCGTAGGAATAGCGAGCCACGGTAAATCCGGATTCCACATTTGTAACGCATCTGGAGGATATAATCCTGCTAACATTAATTGAAGAGACATTTTTGTACGATCGGTATCTGAGCTGACAGCATAGATATCACGCGGATGATAAATTGGTCCTAAAAATTTGTTGTAACGTTGTCGCAACATTATACCGATTCGATATTCCGTCAGCTTTCCTTGCTGCAAGATTACAGAGTAAGTGTTTATTTTTTAAAATTTTTAGATAGTCCAATCTTCTATCAATAATATCTATAATTAATTAGAGCCTTAAAAGCATACAAAGGTAAAAGGGAGCATTATTTATATTGAATATATCTATAAAATGATATATTAATAATAAAAATACAAAAATATTATTTCATAAAATAATTGTAAATAAGACAAATTTTAATTTTTTAACAATTTATAATCATATTTTTGATATTGTCTGCGGATTAAAATTTTATTCGTGTTTATATAACATTATGTGAATATAAAACTTTCTAATTTTTTTCACATTAGCACTTGTGACTGATAACAAAGAAGATAAATATTTAGTTATGTAATATTTAATGTAAAGCAACATTAAAAACATAAATTGAGTGATTGTAGAGTAATACATATATATGCGCAAACACAGACTTCTTGCTTTGACGTACGAAATAAATGAGATAAAAGAAAAAAGTTTTAATTTATCGATACAATGACATAAGTTAATAAAAATAATAAATTAAAACACGTGACATCTTTGCAAAATATGTGCTCCCTTCTAAGATTAATATTATAAAATTGAATGTTAATAAATATATTTTATCCTATTATTAACCTTATAAATATGATATTTTATCGTATTATTAACGTATACGTTACTTACGTTGGTTAATTGGCCAATACCCCATGGTTCATAAGTTGATACATTATATGGATCTTTGGGATACGTTTCTTTAAACAACGGTGTCCGTTCTCCATGTCTCATCAACTGATATATGCGATATTCGATATTATATTACATGATTACTACTTACATATATCATATAGATACTTAAATAAAAACTGAGCAAAGCTTATATCATTATAATGTCTTTTTATTATATTTACTTCTTTTACTCTCGATTCTAATTTAATTTTCTTAATTCTTTGTGTCAAAATTTTATACACATACTGTGTCTTTTTATAAATATAAATTGCACTATTGTCACAAAATTTCATAAAGATATTAATATCACAATGTCATATATATATACAATATATTATATTGTTATATTTACTTACCACTTGAATCAGTTCCAAATGAAATTCGGATTGCCCTAAGGATACAAATAAACTTAGCAAGAGCACAAATGTTTGCACAAGCACATAATACATGTTTTGTAATAAAATGAATCTCCGAATACGTTGTCCGGATTAAGGAAAATAAGAGAGCGTTTATCTGCTCGAAGAAAACCGAGTGAGGTTCGATACTCAAGACGTGTAAGATAAACGCAGACTAATAATATTGCGGTACTGGAGAATGTATTTAAATCATCATGAGACGTCCTTTCGTTATCTATCTACCATTATATTTTCGACTCGTCATTCTCAAACATTCTTAATTGAGAGCTCGATGAAATATTTCGCGGAAATTCTGCGAAAAAACACTGCGATAATATTCGTTTCGAAATGTTAAGAGATATGTACACAAAGACATATTTTTCTGCAATAACAGTAAATAATGAGATTGTTGTCCAATAAGAAATGGTAATATAAATATATGTATATATGCGTATTTGTCTTTGTAAGACTGTAACAAGATCAACTGCTAGAAACGATAGAAGGATGATACAAAGTGGAAGCAAAACGCTTGTATAAGATTATAGATAAAAGACAGATTGTGACAAATCAATTAAACTTACAATGGCTTTAGAAAACTCTGCAAAGCCAATTATTTTGATAATTTCAAGTTTAATTTATTGTGTTATATTTTATTTACTATATTTCATGTTCGATTTTTTCATTGAGGTGTTGGAATTTGAAGTTAATTTATATTTATATTAAAAATATCATATCAATAATCGATAATAATATTTTTAAACTTATTGTTTTAATATCGCAGATAACAGTGACGCAAAAGTTTTATATTTATAGGTAGAACAATGTTCGATTTTCAAAGATCACGCGTGGGATGTTGTGTATATATATATATATATATATATATATATACGCGTATATATATATATATATATATATATATATATATATATATATATATATATATATATATATATATATATATATATATATATATATATAATAAACGTTAAACTAATATATAAATTATTAATATATTAATCAAATCCTTTTTTGTGTTTTGTTGCAATTAAAATCATCAAAGAAGATTAGTTTACATTCGTGTTAAATCAGCGACATTAAGTCAACGATTTCACATAATAACAATACTCCTAAATTCCACTATTTTACTTATCGTTATCTTCAATTCAAAGGTTGACTTCAATTATTTTTATATAATAATTCAACATTGTTTCATTTAAATTTTTCGTTTCTTTTACTCAAGAAATTATTCACGCATGACGATATTTCTATTATTGAATTATATAATAGTGAAGTATAGTTATACTCTAGTAATCTTTAGTATTGTTCTGCAACTTGTGCAATGTATATTTTGAGACTTGGCAAATCTCAGTGAATGAACAATATTAAATAGTGCTCCTACTAAGATTGAAAAAAAATAATGATTATGATTTAAAAATTCTTAAAGATATAGAAAAAAATAATATATTATATAGATTATATAGAAAAAAATAATTATCGTATATAAATTATCGAGACTGCTCTCGAGGCTCCTTCACATAATTCGATGCGATCTATAAAATCATGCATCTGTACACTCTGACATTTACGTACTCTCGTCGCAAATCGGATCGAGGTCTTTTTCCATGCAATATTGTGCAATCACGATGGACGATGCAACGTAGTAAAGAAATAATAATAACGTCGAACGATGACGAGACAGAACATAATCCTGCGTCATTATCGTGTTTGTAAAAAATGTGAATTCTTAATCAACCACTTTTACATATACATGTTAACGCATCCACATCAGGAAGCGCACTGATCGAATGCATCTAATCGCAGTCAGGTCTAGCTCGAGTTTAAGTGCTGCAGTTGCGCGGGACGTAGATCTCGTAGGGGAGTTACGTAACTTGCATAAACGAAAATGTCAATCTCATACTGACAATGAATCTATTTTTGTGTCATTATTTTTTTTCTTTTTGCTCACAATGATTACAAATAAATATTTGTCTCCGTATTAATTAGCCATAGCCTTTTCTTTAAAAAAAAAAAATAATAATAATAATAATGTGTCGTCATTGCACGGTGCATGGCATTGGTCACCTTATCTTAGGTACCGACCGTTGCATTGCTATTTGTTTTGACCTGACGAGAGCAGATGTTTTCATTGTTGGATGTCGACAAAGTTAGTAAGATAAAATTTATTTATAAAGAAATATATGTGTTTCTTTAAATAAAATTTTGCGCACAAAGATATACACAATATTGTAAAAATCGAGAGGATTTCTCAAATAAATGATTACCCAAAATTTAAGTAAAAATTGATGAGACTCACCGATATGATGTGCAGCATCGGAGTTGTAAACTGTAAAATAAAAAAAAACATGGAAATTATATACTAAAATTTTTAAAAAATTATTTACATTGAATTTAATGATAAAAATAATAATTAAAAAATAATAAATAAATTATTTATTTATTATTTTATAATTTTATAAATATCCTTTTACATATAAATTACAGTTTTTATATTATCGGGGCATTCCATCTATCATCGACGAAATTCAGATTCCAAATTGTGAAATACTCTGTCCATTCGTAGATCTAATTCAGAATCTGATTCTGTCCGATGACAAAATGATTTGCAATAAGAAAAAGATTACACGGAGACGGAATATTTTACCACATGTTGCAGAGCAGCATATACAATTTAATCAAGAAAATCAATTTAATGAAGAAACAGCAATAGCGCAAGGCTCTAATTAGAATGTTATATACATTAGAATGTTATGTACATAAAGTTATATTAAATATTCATAAATTTTTAAATTTAATAAAAAATGATAGATATCATATTTTGACAGTGTATATGTGAATAGTTTAGTGCAATAATGCAGTTATGCGATGAAGTACTCTGTATAAAAGGAACATATTGTAAATATAATTTTTCTAAAAAAAATTATTTATTTAATTGTTATATTGTGTATTCAAATTGAGAATGACTCATATTTTATTAACACTACAATGTTCGATTATAAACGATTCAAAAAGAACATAATAAAAATGTTTATTTTGTTAATTGTAATTATATAATACATTGCAGATTAAAAATGATTTCCTTCCACTCAAATAGAACATATTGTCAAGTTTTATGTAATTATCTTCATTTTTTGGTAAAGTCTTTCTATCAAAGAAGATATAATGTGTTATAAAAAGAATTAAAACAATAAATGTTTTATTGATATATCACATTTTATTTCTTTCTTCCGTTTTCCAAATTGTATTATTTACGAGTACAACAATACATATACATATAGTAATTTTTATTTAATCTATATAATACCTGTGCAACATTTCCTATCATGTTCTATATAATTTTTCAAAGCTTTCTTGGATTATATCATCCCACAAGCAAGTCACCTCGTGGTGTAAAGGTATCATTTCACGAACGAGCTCCAAATAAATTTTCAAAGGACATATTTCATCACAGTCTGGCAGCTTAATATTTATCAATTCTCCTGTGGAACCGGTCCACAGAATAATCTTCGAAGGAAGCAAACATTTAGGTAGTAATATAATTTTCAATTTAAAATAAAATTTATATAATTTCTAGTTGTATAATTTGTTTCAATTGCAATTTTAATTGATATTAAAATATAATTACCCTGATATAAAGATTTTGTTGTTCGTCTCGCAACTTTTCGAATATAAACGTTGATCCGTAATCTGGTATTCTCGGCTCACTGATATTATGTATTCTGACAAATGCAGCGAGATTCACTTCGTGACCGCTGTATACGTACATTTTGCGAGGATTTGTATGATAATTATTCACGTTCATATTGTCGATGAACTTTTTGATCAACGTACCACCGTTCAGTCGCTTTAATTCAGTCGTATACGAACGGATATCGTACTCTAGCACAATTAAATCCTGCATTTTCCGATATACTTTATCGGTGCACCATTCAGGTAAAGCTAAATTCATAATTTTCTAAAATACGGAAAATGAAAGTATATATCATCAAATATTTACAAACATTAAGAATTTTTAATATATTTATTATAAATATATAGAGTATTTACATTTGAACTATTAAATAATTTTTGATAATATTTTAAAGAGAAAGGCAGTGAGAGAAAGAAAACAAAATTTAAATTTTCACGAAAAAGTAAATTGATCCGATATATAAAATATTTTTATATAAATCAATATATTTATCTTTAAAAAGTTTGACTTACTTGTGATGTTAGTATATCGAAAATTTTGTAAACACTAAGTGGTTCATTGACGACTAATCCCGTTTTCTCGCTCAAAAATTTAAAAAAGTCTTTGTAAATTGCGATTTTACTGCGGACTTCTTTCATTTCTTTTACCTCGGTTAAAGCTGCTTTGTAACTAAAAAATATTAAAATTACAATAAATTTTTCTTAAAAAAGATCAGAGTTTTTATAAATGTAATGTTTGTTAAATTGAAATATCCAGTTATTAAAGAAAAACATTTAAAAATATTTCTAATAAAATATTTATTGCAATACATGCAATTAAGAAATTAATAACAGGAGAAGCTGCTAACCAATTTGAAAGAATGCTATTATTTTCAATACACAAAATTTATAATAAAAGTTTAATACTAACATGGAACAATGTTCAGGCTTTAATAACATGTCCATTCTTTCAGGCACATAATGCGTAGGAATAGCGAGCCACGGTAAATCCGGATTCCACATTTGTAACGCATCTGGAGGATATAATCCTGCTAACATTAATTGGAGAGACGATTTTGTGCGATCAGTATCTGAGCTGACAGCATAGATATCACGTGGATGATAAATTGGTCCCAAAAACTCGTTGTAACGTTGTCGCAACATTGTACCAATTCGATATTCCGTCAGCTTTCCTTGCTGCAAGATTACAGAGTAAGTGTTTATTTTTTAAAGTTTTTAGATAGTCCAATCTTGTATCAATAATATCTATAATTAATTAGAGCCTTAAAAGCATACAAAGGTAAAAGAGAGCATTATTTATATTGAATATATCTATAAAATAATATGTATATTAATAATAAAAATAAAAAAATATTATTTCATAAAATAATTGTAAATAAGATAAATTTTAATTTTTTTAACAATTTATAATCATTTTTTTGATATTGTCTGCGGATTAAAATTTTATTCGTGTTTATATAACATTATGTAGATATAAAACTTTCTAATTTTTTCACATTAGCACGTGTGACTGATAACAAAGAAGATAAATATTTAGTTATGTAATATTTAATGTAAAGCAACATTAAAAACATATGCGCAAACACAGACTTCTTGCTTTGACGTACGAAGTAAATGAGATAAAAGAAAAAAGTTTTAATTTATCGATACAATGACATAAGTTAATAAAAATAATAAATTAAAACACGTGACATCTTTGCAAAAAATATGTGCTCTAAGAGTAATATTATATAATTGAGTGTTCATAAATATATGATATTATTATTAACGTATACGTTACTTACATTGGTTAATTGGCCAAAACCCCATGGTTCATAAATTAATCCATTATATGGATCTTTGGGATACGTTTCTTTAAGCAACAGCGTCCGTTCTCCATGTCTCATCAACTGATATATGCGATATTCGATGTTATATTACATGATTATCACTTACACATATAATATATATAAAATAGTATACTTTATATAAATATATAGATACTTAAATAAAAAACAGAACAAAGTTTGTCATTATTAATTGTTTTTTTCATTATTACTTCTTTTATTCTCGATTCTAATTTAATTTTCTTAATTCCTTGTGTCAGAATTTTATACATACTGTGCGTGCATTTTATATATATATAAATTTATAAAGTGCACAATTTAGACACAGAATTTTATAAAAATATTAATATCACAATGGCATATGTATAAAACGTTACATTTACTTACCACTTGAACCAGTTCCAAATGAAGTTCGGATCGCAATAAGGATACAAATAAACTTAACAAGAGCACAAGCACAGAGTACATGCTTTATAATAAAGTGAATTTCCGAATGTGACGTCCGGTTTTATAAAAAGTGAATCTCCAAATGTGAAATGACGAAAAATAAGAGCTTTTTATTATCTACTAAAAAACGAACGAGGTTTGATACGTTAGGCGTAAGATAAATACGATAAATACAGATTAATTAAGATGTGGTATTGGAGAACATATATACATATTTAAATCATGTAATGTTCTTTCGTTATCTGTCGACCACTACTTTGGACTCGTCTTTCTCAAACATTCTTAATTGAGAGCTGAAATAAAATAATTGAGTGGAAATTCCACAAAAATATTCATTCCAAAATGTGTAAAAAATATATGAACACACAGATAGCACAAGCTATTCGAAAAGAATTCATTTGTATGTCACCAGTATGTCACCAATTTTGAGTATCCCTTTTCAAATACATATAGAATTCATTTTATAAAAATTAATTCTATTTTATAAAATAAATTCTATATGTATTTGAAAAGGGACTCAAAATTGGTGACATACAAATAAATTCTTTTCAAATAGCTTGTGCTATCTGGGCAATCAAAGCCATTTTCTGTAAAAACAGTAAATAATAAGATTGTATATTGATGAAATAAAAATTAAAAATTTTATATCAATGGTTGATAATATTAATATTTTTGAACTTATTGTTTATTAATATCGCAGATACCAGTGACGCGAAAATTTTATATTTTAGGTAGAAAAAGATATTCGATTTTCAAAAGATCACGCGTGGGATGTTGTTATATATATATATATATGTTAAATCTTAAAACGTTAAAATATATATATATATATATAAATATATAAATATATATATAAAATATATATATATGTTAAATCTTAAAATGTTAAAATATATATATACGTATATATATATATATAAATATATATATATATATATGTTAAATCTTAAAACGTTAAAATAATATTTGAATTATAAACATATTAATCAAATTCTTTTCTGTGTTTTGTTGGAATTAAAATCATACAAAGGAGATTATGCGTGTTAAATCAGCGACATATTATAAGTCAATGATTTAATATAATAATAATATTCCTAAATTAATACTATTTTATTTGTCGTTATTCACAAAGGCTGACTTCTATTATATATTTTTATATAATTATTTTTCTATTATTTTTATATAATAATTCATTGTTTCATTTAAATTTTTCGTTGCAATTACTCTTATATATATAATAGACATCGGATCCCGACATCGATAATGGAGATGATTTCTGTAAAATTATTTAATATTTTTTTTTGTTTTTGTTATTTTTTTAATTTGCCAGGGGGAAGATTTAACCCCCTCCCCCAGAATCCTCTAGTGCAAATATATAAAAGATTCAGGTTATGGCAATCGCAATTGTGAATAAGCATAAACAGATATATAATAAGATTCATATGATTATCAATACTTGAGTATATTTTGGGCATTTTTCTATAATTAATAAAAGAATCGACTTACACATTTTCGCCGGCGCCATTTTTCGTGTAGGACCCTCTTCGTCAGGAACTATCTTCATCGTGACAGCTTCGAAACACTTTGCACTCGCGTAACTTTTTTCATTCGCGACGAGCGGCGACGCCCGGATCTTACAATTAGTTGTCACATTTTCGACTCGTTTTGGTAAAACGCGAGAAACGCGCGAATTTATTCGCGCGCGAAACGAACCGATGCTTCTATCTTCACGTCGCCGCTTTAATAATTTGCAAAGGAGTGGGGGTTCAATCTCAAGTCCACTCTTCAAAGTGCAGAATTGGACCGACCAATCAGAGACCGAGGAGCTCTTCGTTCTGATTGGTCGAGGTTCATGTAAATGTTTCATGCCAATGTAAACGCGCCTTTTTTTTGACGTAGCGGCATCCAATATGGCGCGACACGCGTTTGCATTCCATCTGCGATCGGAGTATAATAATGTGGTTAAAGTTTTATTATCGGTTTTAATATTTCAACGAGTGCACAGGTTATTTTGTATTCTCGGATGAACGGTAATATTTTTTTAGTTAGGAAAAAGTCGTCTTTTGATATCGATATCGTTTTTTAATAGTTAATACGAGTGACACTACGTCAACTTTAACCTCTCTTTACACGAGTTCCAGTTGACACTTTAGTACACGTTTATAAAAGCGATATAAGTTATATATTTAATAATTATGCGAATACTCGGCTATTGCGTGACAGAAAAGAGGTATATTTAATCTAATTTTATAATCGAGGAAGTATTGTTTGATATCGGTCTTATTTTTAAATATTCGCATTAACTCTAATTTAATTAAACGTAATCTCACGTTTTGAAATGACTTTTGTCTCATTCATAAAAGCAAGTAAACGCGATAAATGAGTGCTCCTGAAGAATCATTGAACGATCAGGATCCTGATTATGTTTCCACAATTTCCAACGATCAAGTTCAACAGAAAATTTACGAGGAAAATGGTAAACATATTGATTCTGCATCATTTTATAATAAGTAAAAATTAATAAATTGAAGAGAAAAATTAAACTTTTAAGAAATTTATAAATAAATTTATGGAATGGTTTTTTATATTATAGTATACGCATCATAGTATTTGTATCTAATTGTAATATATTTTTTTGTTTCTTAGCAAGAAACACCACTGCAAGAAAAATAACTGCGATAGTGGAGAAGGAATTTGGAAAGGAAATCGAGTTGAAGGAAAAGGAAATTCTACAGATACAAGAAAGATTGCATAAAGCCTTGAAGACTTTTCACCTCTTGCGCTATCTCATAATTACTAAGTTTTACGATCGCAAACAGTGTCAAATTCCTCAAGTCGCAGAGACATCGAAACAAACGAGAATTCATCCTGCGATTAAATCATTACTCGGAAAATATCCTAAATCCGTTCATTGTGCAAATCTTGCAGTGGCATCAACATCTACAGATCCTGGATTGTCATGCAATGACGAATCTCTTGCACCAACTGCAGCCAGTAGCACACTTAAAACTGAAGAAAACACGGACAAACATGTGTTGCAAGGTGAAAAGAGAAAACTGCCAGACGAAGAATGTCGACCTCGTAAAGTGCCTCGCTACATACCACCAAAGAGTAATGTGTCAACCAAGGCAGGTCCCTCACGCGGCAATAGCCGCAAAGTCTGTAAGCGTTTTGTTATTGGTAACATATCCAAGTGGATCGCACCGGATTGGCGAGAAGACGCGTCTAGTCATAAGTGGACGATATACGTGCGCACTGACGAAGGCGAAATTAATAACATTAGTACTTTCGTCAGTAAGGTGAGGTTCTTCCTGCATCCTAGTTACCGTCCAAATGACGTCATCGAGGTCACGTCGTATCCGTTTCATCTGTCCAGACGTGGATGGGGCGAGTTTCCTGTTAGAGTACAGTTACATTTTAAAAATGTTCTTGATAAACCTGTAGACATTATTCACCATTTGAAATTGGATCACACTTACACAGGATTGCAAACACTAGGCTCAGAAACTCTGGTCAACATATGGATTCATACAGAGTCATCTAATTTTGAACAGAATGATAGTAATGAATCTATTCAATCTTCCTTTAATAACGCATCCATAAAAATAGAACCGAGCAATGATAATAGTTTCGAGTTTACTCGTAAACAATCTACAGTAAAATCTATGGAAACTACGGATGAACAGATGAACACTTTCGAAGAAATTCGAGTGAAAGAAGAAACAATTAATTCGGAAACACACGAACAATCTAATCTATCATCGGATTTAATATCACCCGAGAAATTGAGAAACGTCGGAGTAAAAGTTGAATTCAATAATACAACCATGAACACATGCAACAACAGGAATAAATCTGATCTAGATGAAACAAATTACATTAAGCATGATCATAATTATGTGAGTAGACAGTATTTCGATTCTGATTGTTATATCGAAAGAAAAGGAAACACAACTATAGAACATTTTCTGGAAAGTGACTGCGCTTTCGCGACCAATTCATCAGCAGTTGGCGATAAAGAAGAGGAACTTGACAATGTACAAATTACATCTAGATTTAATAGTGACATTCAGTCTTCCAGTAGTTCTCAGTCTTTGGTGATCTCAACCGTACCTGAAAATAATTTGCAAGTCAACGCAGCATTTCAAGAAAGAAATAGTCAAAAGAATTTATCGTCGCTCGATTCGAATACGTCTAAAATTGAGGAAAATATCACAACTAAAGACACATCATTGACTAACGACTTTCGCAAACCGTCTGATGTCTCGCTCGAGCGATTTAACAACTTGCAGAAATCTGCGAATTTGTCGAATACTGCAAATTCGCATTTAAAGCCTCTGGAAATCTCCATACCACCACCGAATATATTTACAGCGCCAACCAAAAAACGTATGCTTCTTTTGGATGCAAAATCGATTGCGATGGGCATGACAAATATTCTCTCGTCGAAATCAAACGAGAACTCGAGGAAGCTCGTCGATGGCAACGTGAAACTTTCCATCGCAAGAGACGGTAACATTGCGAAATTGAACGTCCGCATTCCTCAGACTGTAAGCATTCTGAAGAAGCCATCCGACATGAAGACGAACCCACGACAAAATGGCAGCGACAAGAAGCCTGCAGTACTTGTGCTGAAAAACACTAACAATTTCCTGCTGAATGTGAACGAAAATGTGCCAATCTTGAAGATAGCAGATTCACGCAATCCATATAATTACAATCTTGCTGAGGCAACGAAAGGAAACGTTTCTTCAACCATCAAGCAGGAATTGATGCCAAAAGCAGAGGACAAGCGAGTAAAGATCACGTTGGGCAAGGACAAATACAAGATACAAAGCAAGCAGAAACTGTACGAGGCAACTCTGTACTCGATCGACGATGTGAATATCGTCGACCCAGAAGCGTTGATACGATTTATCATACGACGATTGCCGATAATCACTCAGGACGCTCGTGATCCCGAGTACAAGTCAATACATCCTTACGCATGTTACAGCGAGGAGGAATATTTCGCTCACAACATCGGCAAACAACGTGCGCTGGAGTGGTATCGCGCCAAGACGATCAGAAGATGTTTTCTACGAAAAGCAGAGAAGCTGATACCGTCCGATCAACTATGGAGCGTCAAGGAGATCATGCTATGGGCGAGATTGCACGGCTACACACCTAGTCGAAAAGCCTCCGGCATATTGGAAACGATCACGAAGAAGCTACCCGATACTACGACATCCACTGCAATCCCGATCACGTGTACGGAATCAGTCGCGTTGCAAAAGTGGTTGCAAACCTGCCAGGAAGAGTCTAGTTATCGGCTAGATGCTTGCGTCGAGGACGAAGAGATCGACGTCGAAAGGATCGAGCAGAGTTCGTGTGAGACGATCACGATTGACCGGAGAAAAAACGACGATAATCGAACTAGCGATTCTTCAGCCGATTCTAAATTGATACCGCTTGAACTTGATCAAAACTTGTTGCCATTCCACAATTTTGTATGCGAGACCGCGCGAGATATCGGCATCAAGATTCAATCGGAAGAGATTGTTCCTGGTGTTTTGTACAGTGCAGCTAGTCGCGTAATGATGCGGGTAAAGATGATTTCTTATGCAAATTTTGCATTTACTCTTTTTAAGATTATAAAATAAATGTTACGTTGTCATTGTCAAAATGGTGTTTTTCCAGGTTGTCGAATGTTTCGTGGAGGATCTAACTCGAATGTCATTGGCGAAAGCTTGGGAAAGAAATAGCGAAAATGAGTAATTATCTGTTTTTCATATATCTTGTTGTATGACATTATTACATGATATTATTATCTGTTCTATATTACATTTTTTTTATATTTCGCAGATGCCCCAAAGTAATTACAGTGAACGACGTTCGTAATGCTCTCACGAGTCGAGAGGAATTCGACATTTTCACGAACGAAGGTCTGGGTTCAATACAACAATCGTCGAGTACAAGGAAATCGTCTAGTTTGTGACGACACATGTGTGAATGAGCAAGCAATCTCCTAATTACAGATCGGACTATGGAATATAATTTGGTGCAGTGCTATTTAACTACATCTACAAGAAGGGTGCGTTAAAAGAAATTAAGTGCGCACAAACTTACATGAAGAAACAGTTCGAGATATTTCACTCGTCTCAGTCCCAACCAACTGGAATCTTATGACGCTCGACTTCGCGTTGTAACCATTCACGAACTGGCTCATAATAAGCTAAGAGTGGCTCCACACGATATTCGGAATATCCCGTTATCACACGTAGTGCGTGTCTCCAGTCTGCGCTGCTTCCAAGTTTCATCGTCGACCTGGAAGCGAAGTAAGCTAAAAACTGTTTTCATACGTTCATTTTTAACTATTTTTGTTTTTCTGAAAAAAAGCGAAATTAAATTTATCATTTTATGTAAGAGTTGATGCTATTTACCGACCTCAAGAACTTTCCCGCATCCCTCGATCTATAAATGTCACATTTGTGAAGAGGTAATTCGAATGCCGTGGAACCAACTGACAGACCCAAGGATGCTTCGCACATTCCTTGGAATAATTGAATTTGCAGGAAGTTTCCCAGAAAATATCTATTAATATTAAATTATTTATTAGGGTATTATTGCGCACGCTTGTTATCGAAATTACTCGAACTTACCCAGCATAAGGTACACTGTGAGCGACATGAAATTTTGCCATAGGATCGAAGAATTTCTCGGATCTCGGTGACGGCGGCACGACGCCCATATATCGACGATGCAAAGTCCACCAGAATGTGTTGTATCTCGAAGGTTTCGTCTTGCCAGAGAAGACAGACCATCTCCATTTTTCTATTATCAATCCGCTGGACAGTTGTGGTATTTTGAGCAGAGCTTGTGTCAGAAGAATAGCCATTTCTAATGAATTCTGCGAACGTGAATTAGTCTCGGACGAACTGACGAACGATGTGGACGTATTACGTATTAATCCCAGACGTTGCATGTGTCGAAAGGAAGTTGCACTGTACGAAATAGCATCGCCTATCGACTCGTGGAAAGCACTATTGATTCCATTCTAAACAAATAATTCGTTATATTATATATATGTTTGAGACTTACAGACTTTTTTAATACCTTAAAAAAAGATGATTGATTCTGATATGCCATATAATACTGTATATGACCAATCTCATGATAAATAACGTTAAAATCTTCTGGCCTCGTCTCTAAACATGCGATCATTCTAAAATAAAGCGCAATTAATTAATTGCGTTAATTTTATAACATTTATTGTCGTGGAAATACCTGAAGTCATTCTTATTGTACATATTGACAGCAGTTGCGTGACAGTTGGATCTCCTACCCATTTTTTGTTCAAAGATAGAATTTTTCCAAAATTCTGGCGTCAAGGAGGGAAATCCAAGAGACATGTAAAAATCATTTGCCTTTTTTATCATTTTAATAACATTATAATTTTTTTGTATCATTGCGTTTGTTAGGTTCGGCATAATCGTGGTGTAATTTGGAAATATCACGTCGATCAACGCTTCCCAACTTTGCGACCACAAGTTACCTGTAAGAAGTATCAGTTAAGAAAATGATGCGTCTGTCGTCTTGATTGACGACTTGATTTACCTAACAAATGAGCGGGAATTGGCAGAGACACATCAACAACGTCGGGATACAATCTCGCGAGATGGAATCTCACAACAGCGTGAAGAAGACGATATAATGGCTTGATACGTTGATACATTTCTTCGAACATGTCCTCCAAATCTGGAATCTCAAACTCCTCCCTCCAGTATTCTCCGATATCAGCGTAGCCTTGCATACACAGTAAGATTTAATTATTATTAAAAATATCTCTGTTTATTTTTTATTGTTTTAAATTTATAAATATTGTTGTAAAAATGTATATTATACCATTCTTTTGCGCAGCAATATTTTGGAGATTAACTAATAGTCTAAAAAGTTCTTTTGTATGACTCATACGATTTCTCCAAGCAGTCCAAATCCAACGTAATTCTCTTTCGTTTCTAATTAAATATAAATGTTTAGAAGGAACTACATGATAAACATCGTGACAATAATATATCTGTTTAATCTTTAGAGGATAGGCAGGTTTTTTCATGAGTTTATGATTTTTATTTATGTAATTTTTATATGCATTGAAGTGGTAAACCACAAAAATAAGCTATCTTTATGTAATTAATCAATAATGTATTGAATATACATACCTCGAAGTCGCCATTAATTTTGTCGCGTCTGATTCATCGTTATAACATTTCCATTTATAATCTTCAATTTTACAAATCTGTGCAGAACCATATACGGATGACAACAATTCTTTGATAACAGTAATCTCTCTGTAATAAATAAAAGATTGATTTTGTGGGCAAGAAAAAAATGAGCGCAAAATAAAAATACATTGAAAAATTTAGAAATAAATTTAATGGAATACTTATTAATTTATATTATAAAGAAATTTTAATTGTTAAAAGAACTTTATCATACGTTGCCATTTCATTGGTGTATTTTGGCCCTTTGCACAAAAAGCGCAGCAATTTTGGATTCACGGATACTCCATTATCTTGAAGGTCCATAAATTGTGCGCACCATTCATTTCTTCGATTTAGTTTTAATTGGACAAATTGCATATACACTTCTAATGGTACGCTGGAATAATTTTTGAAGGTTTGCCATTCTAAATTAGCGATCGCTCGATTCAGTAATTCAAATTCATTATTCATCCGGTCAAACATTCCATAATTAATCTCTTGTACTATTATGTAAGCAGAAAAATATATATGAATTATATTATCAATTTTATAAAAATTAACACATAAGTTGACTGAATCAAAGAATTGTGAGTTATTTTAATATTTGATGCCCTATATTTTTAAAAATCTGAATTTTTATAGAACGATATAATTTGAGGATGTAACTGATCGAAATATTATATAATAATTTTTTTATTTACACAAACATTTTTCTAATATAATCACTGTACTTTTTGAAACAGCATCACTGATACGAAGAACGACACATGCGACGAGGAAAAGGAAGAATGTATTTTGTAAACGCAGCCTTGGATTAATTGTCATATTTTACGATACGATAAAGTCGCACTCTCAGAAAGAATTAATCCTTTCGCAAGAAAAGCGGAAACATTTATCTCCGCGTATTCGAGAATCAATTCGAACATTTTCTCCTCGCATTTGCGCCGTTCTTCGTATTTTCTCTAGGTGACAGGGATATATATATATATATATCTTTAATCGAGAAACCTACGTTGTTTATTCTACGGTAAATTGCTTTTCATTACAGTCTCCCGTTTCTGGTTTCAATCATCCCATCCTATCAAAAGAAAAACACTCATCAGCTTTTCATTTACTTTCCTATTCTGAGAAAATGAGATTTAAAGTACACATCTATGAAAATGCTGACATATATATACAACAAAGTTTTATGCGCAGAATTAAAAAAAAATATAAAACAGAAAAAAATTTTATAACGAAACATATATATGTGTCTATAAAATGTAAATAATCATAAAATTTTTATAATCAAATAATATGATTCTTTATTAATATTGTTATGCAATTGTATACGAAAACATTTCTTTCGCGGTTTTGTGAAACGTCACATGTATATTTCCGGTATCGAACGGAAGCGGGTTCGCCTAGTTCAACCTTGCGTCACGTGATAAAGTCACGTGACCAGCTGTCATGGCTGGCGTCATGGTTGTATGACAGAGAAACGTCAAGTTTCTAAACGGATAACAAACAAACTGGACCGGTGTGCACCGAACATCGTTGCTGCGATTCTGATCGTGTAGGATCGTTGTTATATTCTTTATGTACACTCAAGCGATCAAGATGCCGGTCCAGAAAGATTCGAATATCGTGAAAATCGCCGTTCAAATGACCGACCAAGTGCCGCAGCTCATAGAGTTCAATCAGAAGCAACCTTTGGCCGGAATTATTCAAGTACAGTTATTTTTATTATATTTTAATATTAATTTTATGATTATACGACGACACTACAATATATATTGCATGTACATGTAGTAATTAATATTTTATTTCAATTACAGGAGTTGTGCAACGGATGGGATTTATCTGACGCGGAGTCGTACTCCTTACAATTTTCGGAAAATAACAATCAGAATTATATTACGGAGAAAAATAGGAATGAGGTGAAAAATGGCAGTATTCTCAGATTAGAGTTTTCGCCATCGAAAACAGCGAGCGATATTTTGGCTAAGCTCAATAATGGGACAGCAGAGGAGAAAGTAACTGCTCTGCAGAAGCTGAGTACGCTTAGCATAGACATGACTTTTGCACTAGAATTTATAAACAAGAAAGGATTGGCATTAATCATTTCGCAAGTATGAAACTTTTCATACATATAAATATCATAAATAATTAGTTCCTTGTATAATGTTACAATTGCAAATTGTTAAATCTGTAGGTGGAAGGTGGAAAATACAAGGCAAGTGCACTTGCATTTTGTCTTCAGTCCTTCGTGGAATTGATGGATCACAATATTGTTTCGTGGGACATATTGGAAACACCATTTATTAATAAAGTAGCGAGCTATGTGAATAATCAATCAGTAGCTCAGGATACTAGTGTAGTGGAAGCTTCTCTAAGTATTCTAGAGAATATAGTTTTGAATTCGACAGGGAAATACGGACAAGTGGAAAAGGAAGTTACTTTTCCCAATCTTGTAATGCATTTGCAATGCATGAATGCACAAATTCAACAAAATGCGATAGCTTTAATAAACGCACTGTTTTTAAAAGCTGATTTACACAAGAGACGAGCAGTTTCTGCCACATTACAATCCAAACAAGTCAGAAATGTATTCTTGACAAATGTGATACAATCTACTGGACAGGTATTTAATTATTATTATTATCATCTGTTAGTGCTTGATATTTCAAAACAAACTTTGTTTTTGCTCAAAACTTTGTTGACATTGATAAATGTGTGTGTATTTCAAATAGTTAAATCAAAACAGAAACGTCTGCTTAGTATTGCAATCTTCAATTTTTATTTCAGTTTCTCTACAGTTACATGTTATTTCTTCAATTTGTAAGTTTTTATTTCTTCTTTTTAGGTGGGAGCAGAAATGGCGCATCAACTTTATGTGTTACAGACACTAATGCTGAGTCTTTTGGAACAACGAATGATGACGAAGATGGATCCACAAGATCAAGATGCACATGATAAGATTAAGGAACTTCGAAAGATCGCCTTTGACACAGAAGGTGCAACCAGCGGAGATGTAACCGCCCGCAAGCAGGGGCTTTTTGCCAAAGATTACAAGAAATTAGGTTTTAAATATGACATCAATCCAGCTCTTGATTTTACTGAAACTCCACCGGGTATGCTCGCCCTCGACTGTATGGTATACTTTGCACGTAATCATACCGAAGCATACACGAAGGTCGTCCTCGAGAATTCATGCAGAGCAGACGAACATGAATGTCCTTTCGGTCGAACGAGTGTAGAACTCGTTAAATTACTTTGTGAGGTAAGACATGTATTTAAAAGAATATATAAACTTAAATATATTTGATATTATTTAGATTTTTAAATAAACGAATAAATATTGTTTTAATTAGGTGTTACGCATTGGTGAAGCACCTAGTGAACAGGGTCAATCTTATCATCCTATGTTCTTTACGCACGATCATCCTTTTGAAGAATTCTACTGCGTCTGTATAGTTTTGTTAAATAAAACATGGAAGGAAATGAGAGCGACCACGGAGGATTTCGTCAAAGTCTTTTCCGTCGTACGCGAGCAAATTACCAGGGCGCTTCAGTGTAAACCCACGGGACTGGATAAGTTCAAAAATAAATTACAACAACTCACTTATTCCACCATTACAAACCTTTGGCAACAGGAACGAACAAGCCGCGAAGAATGGGAAAGCCACGCCAGGCCAATCGTTGAACTTAGAGAACAGATTACGCCTGAAATCTTAGATTTAATCCAACAACAGCGATTAGGATTTTTAGTACAAGGCACTAGATTTATGAAATACAGTGCTAGAGGACAAGTGAGTAATAAACTTTTATTGGATAATTTCAATGTTAGATACTGCTATCCTGATGTACGTATTATAAAATTTCTGATGAAATTTTCGATATTTTTCAGCGGGTTAAAGATAAATTTTGGTACGTTCGCTTGTCGCCAAATCATAAAGTCTTCCATTACGGGGATTGCGACGAAAAGTCGGTGCCAACAATAGACGAGCTTCCTACGAAACTAGCGGTAGTCGAGATTCGAGGGTTGCTAATCGGCAGAGATTGTCCACACATGAAAGATTTGCAGAGACGAAAAACTACGCATCAGTTGGCGTTTTCCTTGGCTTTGGATTCCGTCGAAGTATCTAGTCTTGATTTCGTTGCTCCTGATGAGCAAGTCTTCGATTATTGGACTGATGGCATTAATGCTTTACTTGGTAAGTTGCAAATTTAATTTACATTTATTGGTATTATATGTAGATAAATTAAATGTGCACACAATTTTTTATCTTAATTTTTTTTTTACTTTTTTCAGGAAACAGAATGACCAGTAAAGAGGCTGAAAATGACTTGGAGACTTTATTATCTATGGACATTAAGTTACGACTGTTAGACGCTGAAGGAATTGATATTCCACAAGATCCACCTCTGGTCCCTGAACCGCCGCCAAATTATGACTTCTGTTACGAATTAAAGTAAAAGTAAGATATTTTCTTCTATATAGAACATTCTATATTGCATTATTATATATTGACTTGATAGACATATTGGTCATTTTGATCTTTATATATACATGTATTACTTTATACATAGTTTTTTTTTATATTTTTTCATAATTTTATCACATTTTCATGATAACTGGTATAATATCCACATATTTTTAAGCTATTTTAAGTAATTTTTTTATCGCATATTTTAATCGTACAGGGAACAGCAATACGTCTTACCAAAGAAACGTTTTAAATTTTATATACATAGATATTATAGACATGTATTTTTCGCTTTTTAAAAATTATTTATACATTGAGAATGGAAATCGCGTATAGAATTACACTATACAATCATATATTAACGATTTTTTTACGGTAATTTAATTAAATCTTAAATAATTTTCATGACGTATAATCATGATATAATATTTTATGTAGTGAGATTTTTTATCTATTCAAATGTACCATTAGTGTTTTATACCAACCTGTATAGGATATATTATAAGGATTATATACAGTATTAACAGTAATTAAAATAAACTTTGAAATTCAATTTTACATATATTTATTTAAATTTTAACTTTTTATAAAACTTTTTACTACATTACTGCAAGTTTGTGCCCTGGCAGCAGAATATAACGCGATATAAACTATGAGAGATGTGTGAATCTTTCATAAGTGGCAATAATATATTTAATGTGCAAATGTACATGTAATTTGAAAAAATAATGTATTATATATGTAGTGGTCGCGTTTGACGCTTCTCTGTGCGAGAGAGTGCGTGAAATAAAATAGGTGAAGATTCGTACGATTACGTTACATGACGTCCTCCGAAAGAATATGGTAATTTTGCGGATCGTTTATTTGATGATTCGGCGGGCAGAGGAAAAACTCGATGAAATTAAGCACAGGTCCCCGACTAAAGGGATTTAAATACTTGCCCCTTTTGTCCCTCAAGTACGAGTATCTCTTATAATTGAACATTTCATTGGTAGTCAAATTCATACAAGCATGTAAAACCTGTTAAAAGAAAAGAAACATAGAAAATTGATGTAGCAATAATATGAAAGTATTGCAAGCATATCGCATTTACCGAAGTGCATGTTAGAATCCAGCCGAGTCCGCAAAAGACGAGAGCTTCTAATACGCCAAGAACATATAGCAATTGAATTCCCTCGATCGCAATGCAGTAACATGCGAAATATAAGGTGAAAGAGCAGTTTATCGCCACGCACATAACGAACAGGAAGAACCACATCCTGAAAGCAAGCAAAATGTGTTGAAGAAAATTGTATAATTGTAATTCTGACATATATAAACGAGTGTAATTTGTATTAATTATGTACCTGTTTCTCAGGCCGACGCAATTGTATATAAATGGACAGTGATGATCGAAATAAGTGACACATCTGTTGCAGATTCTACAGTGTTTAGCTCGGAGAGGTCTAAAACATCTACAGCTGTGACATAATCGCGATAATAAAACGTTGCGCTTCTTCCACTTGTCGAAGTATGGGATCTGAAACGATGCGAAATATAAATCGGTTGACAATATTATTAACAATTATACGACAGCTTTATCACGCATTTCACCTGTTTTATCGCTCTGTAATAGGTGTCGCTGTTCTGCGGTACGTAACCAGGATCTCTTCTGTTAGCTACAATCCACGAAATCCACATGAGGATGTTCCAGTAAATGAAGCAATAATGACTGCCACGCAGAAGGTTCCACGTTAACGGAATGCATTTTAACAGATACATCGGATATCCCCACAACAAGACAGATATCATGAACAGTAGCAATGGTCCCTTGCTGTTGCCCGCTCCTCCAAACAGCAACGCCCTGGAGTAAGTATACAAATTATTCAAGGTTCGTAAGCGATTTAATTTTTTGATTTTAGAATAACACGTAATATCATGCAGACCATAGTTCGTTGATAGGCGGTATCCATCTAGCTCGGCGCTTCTGTTCCGCCTGCAGGATGCGTACGATCTCCGAGTGGCGATGACTCTTGGCTAATTGCAACGGTGTCTTGCCGTTTTTATCGCGCGGCTCGAGCTCGATCTTGCTTTTCTCGCAGAGAATCCGGACGCAGCTGACATTGCCGGATAGGCAGGCCAGATGAAGCGGCGTCGAGCCGAAGTAATCGGGCTTCTGCAGATCCACGCCGCTGTATATCAACAACTTGATCAATTCGGCATGGCCCTTGTATGCGGCCCAGTGCAACGCAGTGTCGCCGTTTATGTCCGTCAAGTGTCCTTGAGCACCGGATCCCAGTAAGAAGGCTGCAGTCGCGAATTTACCAAACATACAAGCAGTCATCAGAGGCGTCAGGCCCTTAAAGTCAGCCGTGTTGACCGCAACTCCCGCCTGAAAAAAATCCTCGTGACTCTCTTCATATGAAACTCGTGGTTAAAATTTTTCCATCTTCGTACCTTCAATAGTAATTGCACTATCGCACTGTGACCTTTTCGACAGGCCCAATGTATCGGTCTGGGTCCTTGCGTACCCAGGCATGGTAGATCAACGGGACCGCTTCGTTCTATCAAATATCTCATGACCTGTTAGAAAGAGAGAAAATTTGTATTCATTAATGCTGTTTGATAATTTTGAGAAATAATCGCAATGTTTGTTCTTAGTAACTAACTTCAATATTGCCATCCAAGGCGGCCCAATGAGCAGGTGTATATCCCCATTCATCTCTTGCGCTGAGCACGGTCAACCCGTTCCTTTCCACCAATTCCTCGACCGCCTCGATTTCACTATAACAACAACAATGAATTATCTCTTTGCATTTCTTCCTCCACTATTTTTTCCCGATTTGTCTAAATTATTTATTTAACTATTTCTTTCAGCTTTATATACATGCACGAGTTTATTCTTTCCTTTAAAATCGAAGTATATGGTCTAACCCGGCTCTGAGCAGTTCAAAGATTTGCTTGGTCTCGTTGGTAGGACTCTGGCCAGTCGCGGCCTCGTCGGCGTAGATGTTGTCATCGGGACGGTTCCTCTCTCCCGTGTTCTTGCTCGAGTCGTGATTCTGGTGGCTGGATATCAGATTGTTCGGTAGATGCCCGACCATGTCGGGATCGGGACTTAATTCCCATACGGATCGCGCCGCACCGGGCCCTGCTACAGGGCTCACAGGATACACCTGTAAGATACATATTAATCATATATAATTTTTATTTATTTTTTGCCTGTATCTCTTCTCGCGTGATTTTTAATATTTAGCTTCACGACGTACTACGCCGAAATTCTCGCTACATCTCCAGCGAATAATTACGAATAGAGACAGTTGTTTGTAATTTAAAAAAGAAAGAAAGAAAAAAAAAGCATTTTCTTGCCTGCAAATTTTACCTTGCACAGCGTCGCGAGTTCTGGATTTAAACGCTCGTGTTCGGAAGGCGTTCTGAAGGATGCGCTCTGCGTGGTGGCGATCGCTCCTCCGGCACCCTCCGGGACGGTTAGTCACAAAGAGACATTGGGTCCAACCATGTCCTCCGGATCTCGCTTCCGGGCGGCGCGGCTTTCCCTCCAGGCTTGAAAACCCTGCGTCGAGGATTCCTGCGAACGAGAACGCTCAGACGGAGAATTCAAACGAGGAACTATGTCTGCATTTCCGAGAACACTGTCGCCGCACACAGCGTTTTGCGCATTCGAATCGATAACGCGACGATGGAAACGCCTGCGTGCAAGAAATTGGGACGTCGTCGGCGCGCGCGTTCGTAATCGTCCTAATAATTTACTGATATAAAAGATTACGAGAATCTCTCGAGGAAAAATATAGAGGATATTGTTAAAATGATTTTGTGATGGAAAATCAAAATCGCGATAATAATTTTGTTATCGCGAATTTTCAATAACGTGGACTCGATCTTTGATAGTATATATGTATATATATATATATATATATATATATAATATATATTACAACTATAATACTTATTAAATATCATAGTTGACTTGATTTTGATTTCGATCATAGATTTATATTTTTTATTAATTTATTTCATTTTTATATTTAAATTTGTATGTGCCAGAAGACATCTCGAATCTATAAATATTTCAATCTGATTTTGTACATTTTTCTTGATAGACAAGTTAAATATCTTTAAAATTAGTGTATTGTAAATATTATTTAATTTAGAGAAGAGATATTTTTGCGAAACATTTCAAATAATTCAGCGTGTCAGCTGACGAGCGATCAGCTGATTGTGACAGCTGAAACATGACAGCTAAGGTCTCTGTATTATCTCTCGAACTGCTCGAAGATAAAACAGAAAATCACAGTCGGTGCTTCAGCTAATCAACTAGAGATGTCGTTGATTACAACTAAAATGGCGCCGCACGTCGACGTGCAGAAAACCCGGTTTACCCTGAAAACACTACATGTGAATTAGAATCATCAGTAATTAGAATCCAAACACAGTGCGATGTGATTATGCGTATGTAACACAATCAGTTTACGATTTGATTTATGTTGATTTACGTCACGTTAATCTCGCTTTTAGATTCTTGTTGATAGTTGACGATTGAACTCCGATTCTCGGCAAATTCAATTAATGTGTGATATGACGATATAAAATGGCACCCACTATTCAAACCAACAGCAATCAAACCGACAGAGATAAACGTGCGACTAGACCAGCGGAAAAGAGGTAAATAAATACAGGATACGATATAATTTTAATGCGAAACGTTGCTATATTCTTAAAATTCGATTTTTTAAATTCGGCTCTTGTTTTCTTTCAGATCTGAACTCATATGTCGAGTGAAATATTGTAACACGCTACCGGATATTCCGTTTGATCCGAAATTTATAACATATCCCTTCGAACCGACTAGGTGAGTGGAAAAAAAATGTCAAAGTGCGTCATACTTTCGTTTTTAATAATTTGTGATTTTAACAGGTTTATTCAGTATAATCCGACCTCTTTAGAGCGTAATTATAAATATGAAGTATTGACGGAACACGATTTAGGTGTTGAAATTGATTTGATAAACAAGGACACGTATGCAGGGGATATAAATGCGCAGTTAGATCCAGCCGATGAGAAACTATTGGAAGAAGATGTTCTCACGCCGCAAGATTCTAAACGATCCAGACATCATGCTAGAAGTGTTTCGTGGCTTAGGCGTACAGAATACATTTCCACAGAAAGCACTAGATTCCAGCCTCAAACGGCAGACAAAGTCGAAGCCAAAGTTGGTTATAGCATCAAGAAGAACTTTAAAGTATGACATATTTTCTGCATTGTACAATACTTGCAATATTAGTATATTTCTTGATATAAAATTTTTCAATTATTTTTAATCAGGAGGAAACACTGTACATGGACCGCGATAGTCAAATAAAAGCTATAGAGAAGACATTTGAAGATAACAAGAAGCCAATTGAAAGACATTACAGCAAACCAAATGTAGTACCTGTAGAAGTATTACCAGTATACCCAGACTTTAAGGTATTTAAAGTTGTCATTATTTTAATTCATTGTTAATATGTCATTATTATATCAATAATGGTTGATTGTGTATCTTATCTTTCAGTTATGGAAATATCCATGTGCGCAAGTTATATTTGATTCTGACCCTGCACCAACGGGTCGATCTGTACCTGCACAGATTGAGGAAATGTCGCAAGCCATGATACGGTAAGCTTATGATATAGTAATTTTATATAATATAACAGAAAGAATTATGTGCTGCAAAATATGGTAAAAGTAATTTAAAGATAATTGCATTAAAACAATGTTTTTTACAGAGGTGTGATGGACGAGAGCGGCGAGCAGTTCGTAGCTTACTTTTTACCGTTGGAAGAAACGTTGGAGAAACGTCGACGGGATTTCACTGCCGGTATCGATTACGCTGACGAGGAAGAGTACGAATACAAAATGGCGAGAGAGTATAATTGGAATGTCAAGAGTAAAGCCTCCAAGGGATACGAAGAAAATTATTTCCTCGTGATAAGACAAGACGGGGTATATATACATCACACATAGCACATCGTTACATCACACAGACATTATTAATTCTGCGACACGTCACATTAATCCTCTCGTGTACCGTAGGTTTATTACAACGAATTGGAGACGCGCGTGCGACTGAGTAAACGGCGCCAGAAGGTCGGACAGCAACCGAATAACACGCGCTTGATAGTACGTCATCGACCACTGAACGCCAATGAATTCAGAATGCAGAGATACCGAGAGAAACAATTGGAGCCACCAGGAGAAGAGGACGAGGACGAAGAGGAAGAGGAGGAAGAGGAGGAGCAGGAAACTCAACAAGAAGCAGAAAAGAACGACGGCAAAGGTTTGCCAGTTATTAAAGGTTTGCTTTGCTGTATTTGCTATCGCTTCATCATAAAAAATATATGTAATTTTTTTCGACAAACGAAACAAATTTGTCCCTAGGTTCCGAGGCGGAGAATGAGGAAGAATCGCGCGCCTCGTCGAGGGCATCCTCGCGTGCGTCTAGCAGGAAATCGCGATCGCGATCCGGTTCGAGATCAAGATCGCGTTCACTATCCAAGTCCAGATCACGATCTCGATCGCGTTCACCTTCTCGATCACGCTCGCGTTCTCGCTCGCGTTCGCCGTCCAAGTCGCGCAGCAAATCGCGCTCCAGATCCGGTAGTCCTCAATCCAGGAACTCGTCGAGATCCAGATCAAAGTCGAGATCGCGCTCGGGAACGCCTACGAAGTCACCGTCGAGATCTCGCTCGAGTTCGCGATCTAGATCCAAGTCGAGATCGCGCTCGAGATCGAAATCCGCGACCGGTAGCGGTAGCGGATCCGCAAGCGCGAGCGGCGAAAGCGGCTCTGAAAGCGAGTAAATCGAGAAGCGCGATCGATCATTTCGTTCTTGTTATAGTTTCTGGTTCAATTTCGAATCATTACTTGGACGAATACTCGTCTATTATCGTCTTTCTTTAATAAAGTATTCCGCTTATCCTGGAGAGCCATACCGCCGAATGAGTATCAAGATAACGAATATCAGATGCTGTTTTGAGTGGGTACACATTCTCTGAAGGTAATACACATCATTTTTACATTATGTACGAATGTTCGGCGGCACAATTGAAAAAAATAATAAATTTGTAAGAAAAACATCTTTATTTTCAATTAAAAATATTTTTAGGAATATTTATAGCATAGAAATATATATATATATATATATATATATATATATATTTATTTATTTAATAATAATTATATATTATTTTATTTTTTTATTTATTTTTATTATATATATATATATATATATATATATATATATATATATATATTCCTATTTCTAATGAGAATATTTCTCATAATTATGTTTTTGAAAGAGTATTGCGATATCTTTATTTTCACATGAGAAATATAACGTATATCGAAATAAGTCGTGCAAAATCTAGATGATACAAGTGAAGAGATAAATTAAGTTATCGTAAACGAAAAGTTTTGGATAACAATGGAAGATAAGCTTTTCGATTATTTAAATTATTATATTATACTATCTCTTATCTGCTTTTTCCTCCCAGCAATACCCTAAATACATATATCGTTCCAAGTGCAATATATGATACGGATGAAGAAAATACAGATATCGTTTGGTTAGAGATTAGATAAAAACATTATTTAATACAAATATATATATAAATTATTATATTGTATAAATCTTCGGTTCGAATAAAAATTGACACATCCCTGTCGATCTTGCAGCGCGGTTTTTCGAGCGAGTTCCCGAAAGTGCCGCTAGAGGGCGACACTTGTACCGCTGGCAGGCGATGACGACGAGGGACTCGCGCATTGCGTCATACTCCGATCGAATTGTTTCGCCGAAGTGCACATGGCTGTTCCAATCTACGATTGGCACGATCGCCCGGGTCGTCAGTACGGAAATCGAGCACCAGTGAATGGGCGTGAGCGGAGTCAGCGGGTCGTCGAGTTACCGCATCAATCGTAAGTGAATATTAGACGTAGCGCTAAGACGTAGTAGATATATATGCGCGGCGTGACGGAGGGAGATCCGGGGCCACGTGGATGAATTTTCCGCGTTCCGACAATACGTCGGATAACAACTTGTGCGTCGCGGCCGCTTCGATCGGGCTTGGGAATTTACTCAAGGACTGTTTCAATTGCATTCTCCCTCTTTCTCTCTCCCTCGATTGCGATATATGTCACTTATCGCTTCCGAAGTGCAGAAAGTGCAACGGAACGAGCCGAGTTTGTGGACGAAAATATTAACGCGTAGATTCTCTTTCGTCTCGGTCCTTTCTTTTTTAAACATCTCCATTTATTATCGTGCGCCGAAGAGGGGATTACAATATGAAGAAAGAGAGAATCAAAATGTATACACACATATATAGTATATTTTATAGTATTATATATTTATATTATATATAGTTTTTTTGATTCGTCATCGAATCTGAATATATGGCGTATACTGAAAACATTGACCCTGAGAGACGCGCATTAATTGCGCTGTCTCTCTTCCTTTCTCTCTCGCTCTGCTTATTTATCTTACAGATGAAAACGAGTCACGAGTCCGGATGACTTTGCATTCGTATTATCACGCGCCGTGTAAATAGATTAATAACGCGGAAAGTCATCACGGCGAGACGCGTCTCTCGTATCAATATAACATAATGCTCCGATTTTATTGTCGCGCGGAGGAGACGATGCCTCCGTTTAAAATTCCCCGACGATTGTATCACGTGCACGAGTCGAAACCGGTAGGATTCCGGCTCGCGATGGAGTTTTCCATGCCGCAGGCGAAAGCGAATGAGAGGAGAGAAATGCAGGATCCATTTAACGCGAAAGAATCATTGAGAAATACACTTGTATATATTTGATCATATATGTATATATTTTGTAACGGGAATATTGGCTCGATGTTTTTCCTTTACATTGCACTTGCGCGATTGAATGTATAGAGAGGTCTCTCTCTCTCTCTCTGACTGATGATGTCAGATTTATATAAGAGTTTAATGTTATCAATTCGCGGAAACGATTGTAACGCGAGAATGCGAGTGAAATTGCTGCGAGACAAATATTTGTATTTTTGAGAAAAAGCATATAGATGTAATTATTTTTCTCCCATTAATTGCGATATTATTGCAACGTTATAAATATTTACAGCTACTCTTGTTCGCATTAAAATTACAATTATATAATAATTTGTATATCGGTAACAATTGGCGTAAATCATTAACTAAACTGTCTTATCTCGTATATTTTTTTTTTTTTTTTTGTATCTCACGGATGAGATCATAATTCCGAGAAATAATCTAAGAATATCGTCGATGTATAGTATAGGATCAACTGTTGGGAGTTAAACTGTTACCGCATAGTCGACCTTGAAGATTATACGTTTAATGAGACCGCAATCGCGATGATGACCGTCGATTTTTTTACGAGCGGCCGTCCTCGCTAAATTCGGACCCTCTGTTTTTCTTCTCTCTTTTCCGCGAGAGATGCGCGTCGCGTCAATTAAATCCCCGGTTTCGCGGTTTTCGAGTCGAGGTTGCGCGCCGAAGGTGTCAGGGTCGGTTTCTTAACAACGGCCTCCAAGGCCGCATTGGGCAAATGCACACGTTTATACGCGCCGCCCCGGTCCAGAGTTAACGTAATGTAACGACCGATTCTATTGCCGGGGTGTGACGGATATTGAAACAGCGATATAAATATTTGTCACGCGTATACTTCGATGGAATCGAAGCGCATCGCTCTGTTGAGCAATCGCGCGATTCGCCGTAAATTTAAGTCACATGCGAAAACGATGTAGCCAAAATTTCGCGTATCACCGAGCCGATAATTCTAAGGGAAAATGCATTTTTCTTTATTTTTGCATCACATTGGAATTGACAATTTTTTAGTAATTTAAATATCTGTATTGGAATAAATATCTTCATTTTCTTTCAACAATTAGATAATTAGATAATATATACTCTCTCTCTCTATAAATTTATTCTTTATATATATATATACGCATATGGATTCTTAAATCTATTAATATTATTTCCACACTTAAATTAATATTAATAGAAATTTTGTATTAAAATCTATTTTAAATAGTTAGAAAAAGTTTTTTCACGAGATTAATAAATATATTCGTCTTTCATTTAGATGGCGCCAAAAAATAAAGAAAATAACTCCAAACGAAAAAAGCAGGTAGATGATGAAGGAGACGAGGACTACCGGAAACGACGAGATCGGAATAACCAGGTTGCGTATCGATTTCGTATGTAAATTGTGCGTACATTATCATTCGCGTGTACTGTCATAGTTATTTTCGTATTTCACAGGCCGTGAAACGATCCAGAGTGAAGAGTAAATTACGCACGCAACAAACATTAGAACGAGTAAATCAGCTGAAAACGGAGAATGAACTGCTGGAGGAGAAGATTAAAATGCTTACCAAGGAGCTAGGGTTTCTCAAGGATCTTTTTCTCGCACACGCAGGTACGATTAAATCATACACAATCAGACACAATTAAACGTACATATCAAATTGTTATTAATTTTTTTTGTATGTTTTTGTTAGAATACTCCCACATTATTTTTTATTTCTATCGACAAGATTCTTTAATTGAATAACTGATTTTTATTTTAGGTTCGAGTCAACATTCTATAAATTTTCAAGATCTAGATCTAAATTCTCTACTGGCAGAAGATAAATCTATGGATAATATCCTGAAGACTACGTCTGAGCTGTAAATCAATAGAACTGCCACGTGAAGAAATTAGCGTGGTATTGAATTTGAAACGCGAGAAAGTATTCTGGATCGCTTTAATAAATTAAAAAACAAGCCAACATCTTGGAAAGATGCGAGCTTTAAACTTGTTAAAAAATATTCAAAACGCGAAAAGCGTTTTCTGAATGCGAGCATTCTTACGAGTTGCAACGTTGTTAAGGATTATTATCAATTAAATTTTTTATAGTTTGTTGATAGTTGAGAGCAGGAAAAGATATTGACAGTCATCTCTGAATAGGAAAGTATTTATCCTAATTGTCAGCCAATAGAGATGTTACAATATTTGATCTAAATAGTACAAAATGGGACATTAAGTACTATGAATATGTACATATTGTACACTTATTGGAACATAATATTTATTTATTTTGTGCAATATATCTTAGAACATGTGCTTTCATTATGTATAAGTAGATAAATGTACATAATAAAAGTACATAAAAAGAAAATATTTTAACATTTACATTTATTAAATATTATTATAAGATTGTAATTTTTTCTATTATATAATATAATTATATAAATTATATACTATTATATAAAACAATTTAGAAAACAATGCATTTTTATAGTATATAACATTTACATAATAATTTAAGCAGTTTCGATTCGTTTAAAATGAATTACGTTTGCATAATTTAGATATAGTATATATCTACAATTCTAAAACTACACATTTTTAATGTTTAAGTACGATAATAGATAATTAAATTTTCACTTTTCATGCGTAGGCATTTGTGCAATGTATTAAACAGCTGTTAAAAAATTAGATGTTTTGATAAGTTCCAATGAAGTTTCAAATCAATAATCAAGGACAATTTGAAATAAAATTGTCCTTGATAATTGATATTAGCTATTAAAATTGTGTGTTAGAGAAATATATAAAGTATTATACAATCAATTTTATAATTATATTTTTCTAATGATAAACGTAAATTAAAAAAAAAAAGGCAACAAAATATGTATGTTAATTCTAGGCCTCAATTTTATTGTTATCATCTTTAGTTTATGCAAAGCAGTATGCAATAGACGATAATACAACAATAGTTTGTTTAATGCACTTGCAACAAAAGAGGCTTACAGCTAACGTATGTGATGTAATGCCTAATCTGAATAATAATAAAGAAATAAATTTGTATATGCATGCAAAAATCATTAAGAAATGTCAAAGCGAATAATATATAATACTTTAAGCGACATAACAAATCGGATATAGTGATTAGTAGTTTATATATAAATTAAATAATAAAGGTAAAAATGTAGTGTCAACATTCGAATAATGTGGAGAAATAAGGAGAGAGATAAAGAGAGATGTTTGTACGTGTGTCAATAGATGGAAGAAGATAGTTGATATTTCACAATGAAATATAAGAGAGAATATATATTTTAAAATATAAAAAGAGACTCGAGCTGAGATTGGGAAACATGGAGGAATAGAATCGGAATAAAGTTTTAAAGATGTGAACAATAAATATCAGCATATATACATACAACATTGTAGACTGAAAGAAAAGCAAAGTATAAAGAGAATTTTAAAAGGCTAGACTAAAGAAATATGACAAAAATAAAAGGATAAATTCTAAATCGTTAATATAACAAAAGTAAGCAGTATCTCTCTCATTTTTTCGACGCAATAACATAGAAACAAGAATAGGACCACAAGTACATAAATCGACCTATTCGCATTTTTAATTAATGTTGCACACAAAAATAGGGAAATCTTTTCTTTGATTTGTTATCATGTTATCCTTGCTAGAAACAAATGTTTTAATTTGATACATGTTCGCCAAGCGCGAAGATACAGAGAAGTCTAGAAGAAATTTGGAAGGAAACGCGCAAGAATAGCTTGCAGAATTGCTGGCGAACGCATCCGGATCGGCGGCACCTGTATGCTTCAATACTCGCGGATGCGAAAAGACCCGATCGATCCTCCGCCAGCGTTCGTAAAGCGCATGAACGTCGCACCGAGCTGACGAGCCCCGCGTTTCGCAGAGGAAAAGCTACGCGACATACATGTAAATCTTACATCCTCTTTTCCGTTCCGAGAATGCCCCTGGCGCAAAAAAAAAAAAAAAAAAAAACCCAAAAATGCAATACCACATTTCTCGGTGGGACTCCGCTTTGACGGATCATCTGTCAAAATTCTCGCGAAGCGCACGTGCCACGCATTATAAGACCCGAGAAAAATCCGCGAAAGCGTAAAATTATAAAAAAAGTGTGCGATTGAAATTCGCAAGTCGCAGGGGGAGCGCGAAGAAAGCTTCCCAAAAATTCAATACCACATTTCTCGGTGACTCCACTTTGACAGCTCATCTGTCAAAATTCTCGCGAGGCGCACGTGTCTCGTTACAAGACTCAAAAAAAAAAAAAAAAAAAAAATCCGAAAGAGCGTAAATATCTTTGCGAGCGTAAAATTATAAAAAAAAAAAAAAGTGAAATAAAAATTCGCGAGGCGTCTCCAGGTCCGAGTACGAACCTGGAAATCCGTCTTGATCGCGGCGAGTCGCTGCGCTGGTGGTCGTCTAGCAGACGACATGTTGGCTGCAGGGAGCGCCTCGTCTCGAACGTTTCGGTCGCGAGTTTCCTCGGGGATACTTGAGTGAGGAGAGACGTACTAACTCACTCTCTCTCTCTCTCTCTCTCTCTCTCTCTCTCGGATTCGGGGCAGCGCGAGTGAAGCGAGAAGAGGAGAAGCCGGGACCGCGAGAGCTCTCTCCCTCGTGGCAGGAGGGCGGGTGTGTATGTGTGTGTGTGTGTGTAAAAGCGGCGCGCGAGTTCTCCCCGAGTGCTGCCGCTCGTCGTCGACGAGGACCCTGAAGAGGGCGGGAACGTCATCGACGTCTTCCGCGAGGAGACGACGGTCCACCGAGTCTATCCTCGGATTCGCGCGTACATAAATATCCGTCACTCTCCTTCTGTCTCTCGCGCCGGCCGCGGATCGCCGGAGACGTCGCGGCGAAAGAGAGAGAGATATAGTATTGTTTCTCCCTCGACTATTCCGTGTGACATATATATCTTCGGAAAATCGTGCGTGTATGTGTGAGTGGATGTGCGTGTATCAGTGAGCCGGGGCGCGACCGTCACATCGTCGTCAGCGGATCAGTCGCCATCCCCGGGTCCGGTCGCCATCGACGTCATCGTATATCGTCACCGTCGCCGACGTTCACGGCAAACTCCGTCCGCGCGCGCTCTCTCTCTCTCCTTCATCGACGCGAGCGAGAAAGGTGGCGTGAGAAGGAGGGGGAGAGAGAGAGAGAGAGAGAAGCGCAACACGGGGCTCTCTCAGTCGCCCGGCGAGCGGAGCGCCGAGAGCTCATGGTGTGCGATGGTTATGACGGGTAGCGGAGGTTGCCGCCGAGTGTTCTCGCGAGTGTCGCTCCGAGTGAAGAAAGGGAGCGAAATAGCAAATTAGACGTCCGCGCGAAGTGTGACAGATACGCGCGAGAGACGAGATCGAACGGTGCACCGTCGTCGACGAGGGATTAAGAAGAAGAAGAAGAGGAGGAGGTTGACGTAGAGAGAAATAGAGCGAGACGAGAGATGATGAGCTCCCTTTGAAGAGCCGAGGAAGAGACTATACGAGAATACAAAGCCAGACACACATCACCGGGCCAGAGCGAACGAAGAAGAAGAAGAAGAATAGAAGGAGAGACGTCAATCGGCAGTTGCCCGTGAGAAGGCAGAGGCTCGCGAGACGAGCGGAACGGCGGAACCGGACGACGGCGGACGGCGGGACTCGCGGAACCGGAGCGAGCTTACCGCGGCGGGAAACGAGGCGCTTTTCGAATCGCGAGGACGGCGGACGACCACCAACGTTGTTCCTCCTCGTCCTCGCGAGGACGGCGGCCTCGTGAGCAACGACAACAACGAGAGGAGGAAGGTCGGCGAGGTCGACGCCGACGACGACGTCGGCGCCGATCGGTCCACGGTCGTCGCCCTCCCTAATCCGACGAGCAACTCGATCCTCTGCGTTCCTCCGTCCGGAGCGTCCTCCCTCGCGAGGATCAACGCCGCCGACGCCACGACCGTTCCCGCCGCCGACGCCGTCGTCGCCGACGCGACCCGGGACGATCACCGGGGCACGTTGTTAGACGTGGAAGGGAAGAACGGTGGAGAGGGCGAGCCACGCGTCTCCTTCCCGTGGTGTGTCATGGGGTGCTTCGGCAGCCAGAGCAAGCCCAATCAGGATGACAGCAAAAATCAGAAGAGGCGATCCGACGCCATCACCAGACAGCTGCAGAAGGACAAGCAGGTCTATCGGGCCACTCATAGGTTACTCTTGCTCGGTGAGTGATATTTATTTATAAGGTAGATCATCTTCGAGATGGTAATTCTTCGATTCATATATTCTTAATTATGTGATATCTTGAATGATAATTAGAAAATTGTTAAATGATAATGTCAAATTATTAAATGTGATAATTAAAAAATTATTAAATAATTTGATATTTATTATTTAATAATTTTTTAATTATCATTTAGGATATTATATAATTGAGAATATGAATGAAATAATTTTTATTAGAATTATTTAACGTTTTATTATAAATTATTTTAATACTGACGGCATCTTTTTTTTTTTATACAATAACACCTAATGTTGGTCCTGCGTTCGATATAATTATTTGCATTGCAAAAACGCGAGTCGTTGTATTATTTTTATTATCGAAATCGTTGGATGAAAAATTGAATGTAAAAAAAAAAATGAAATGGAATCGCTCTCGAAGATAATTCCCCGGGTGTTCGCCGCGTTGGCGAACCGTGACGCGAGAGGGCCCGGTGTCAGTCCGTCGTGTCAGTTTCGGACAAAGAGAGGCCTCCGCGAGGCCGAGGGCAAAACCGGCCGCACTATCGTGATGTTCAGCGGCGCGTGATTCAATTTTATCGATTATCGTACGAGCAGCCAGGCAATATCCAACCAGCCTCGTGTGTTTGTACCCTTTTCGTTCGCTCCCGATCTCTCTCTTTCACTCTGTTGTATACATATATATATATATATATATATATATATATCTTTCGTCTCGTACATGTGGCTTTTTAACTCCAACATTTTCTCTCGTTACGTCGAGTTGTCAATTACTTTGTCGTGTATAATTTTGGAGAGAAGCTGTCCTCTCTTAAAGAATTGGTACGGGGCGAAAGAAATGTCTCCCTTCTTCTTCTTCATCTTTTTCTTGTCTGTCGATTCGTTTTTGTAAACGTGTCAAGTATGAATATTCTTGTAGTCTATTTCATTGACAGGCTTATCCATTAACTATAGACATATATATTAATGCGAATGCCGAAAACTTTTGAGCGATATTTATATCTCTATTATTTTTTGGAGTATCTTTTTTATCTATTTTTATCATTTTTCTACCCATATTTCATTCATATTGCACAACTTTTTTCCTTTTTGTCCCTTTATTGATTTACAATCGTCGATTATATATAGTCTCTTTTATATGTTTACATATATGTTTTATTTAATATATATATATACAATATATATACAGAGAGAATGTTCTCTTAGAATTTATCCTAAAAATCATAATAAAAAATATTAATATGTAAGTACATGGTAAATTATAGTACGTACATAGTAAAATTAATTAAACATATTTTATATCTTATTGCGGTAAATATTAATCAGAGAAACTTTTATAAAATTTTTCCAAAATCATATTGTCCCACGATTATCATGTGATTTTCAGGGTAAATTCTAAGAGAAAACTCTGCGTGTATAATATAATATTATATGTATATATGGAGTATAATTTATTGTATTAATTTGCCATAATTGTTTCAAATTGTTTTTAACTTTCGTGTGTTTTGAAAATTATATTCTCACAATCAGATAACTTTCCATTTTCTCTCCTTTATTGTTCTCTTCATTTCATCTATTAGAGTATAATTTATTTTATTACTTTGCCTCATTCCAGATTGTTCTTGATTTTCGTGAGTTTTGAAAATTATATTCTCAGACGACTCTCTTTTTCTTCTCTTCATTCTTCTCCCCGTTTCATCTATTACATACAGAGAATATAATTAATTTTATTAATTCGTCACATTCCAGATTGTTTTTTAATTTTCGTGTCTTTCGAAAATTATGCAGATAACTTTTTCTATTTTCTCCTCGTTTCGCATCTATAGTATACATATAGAATACAAATTATTTAATTAATTAACAGTTTTGAAACACTGACATTCTCAGATGATTTCAGTCTGAATTTTCTCCCGGTTTCATCTACACATTGCACATCTATTTCTCGATACACGCGTGCGCGACACAGCGTGGCTGCTTAGCGCGATGCTTAACCCCGTCATATCGCCTTCCTATTATCCGACGTTTATGTAGGTCGTCGTTCTAATTCGATGCGAACGCGTCGTCATCGTCGTCGCCGTCGTGTCCTCGCGAGCGATGGACGAAGCAACAGCTGTCGCCGTATTGTTTTCTCTCCCTCTCGCGTGTCATTACAGTCGTGCTAAACACGCGGCCGATTGGTCCCCGCTTATAGGTGTTGTTGCACACGCGATTCGGCCATTTCGGAAATTTTACTACAAGCTCCAAATTAGAATTAGATAGACATAGAATAGCGCTGGAAATTATTTCAGAGCCGCAAGATTCACTTTTTTTTATTCGAAAGTGCACAGAAAAATGAATTGAATTGTTCGACTAAATTATACTCTATTTTATGCGTTAATTGAACGTATATTATAGTATTTCAGTCAAATACACGTTTTGTTATATGTATATCAATTTAATATTTTATATTTCATTGAAATATTTTTATACGTTCAATTATAACGGTTCGGTCAATTTTCTTTCAGTGTATATAAAAACGTATCTGAAATGCGTAAAGACATAAAGGGATACACAATGTAAATTAATGTAAACATTAATATATAATTGGTGTTGCGTATGAAAATTAAACGTCTAATTGTACGGACACACGACTTTGATAGCACGACGTTTTTCTTTGCTCCTCTTGTAATATTTATTACAATTTCCCCTCGTGATTTTTCCCTTTAATCGAGTTTGTAATCAGTCGGGTAATTAATGTTGAAAACTAGAAGAGTTCTGAGATTAAACTTGCGAACTTTTCTTTCGCTTGATTTGCGGTGGCTGTGTTCTTAATGAGAATTTGACGGGATTAAGCGTCGAGGATATTTAACGTTGAAAAGTAACGCGCGAGTGTGTCGTAAAAAATGGAGTAGAACGCAATAACAAGGACTAGGAATGTAGAATAATTGTCGATAATATCTAACACTTTTACAAATTACGGTAAATTGCAGAAATTTCGAAATTTGCCTCGCAAATTTCGTTCGCGCCATTAATCTTCCGGAACGAAGGACTTGGATAAACCGCGATTCGAGTGACGATTTTGTGCGTCATTCATTCGAAAAAGTTTCTCGATTCGTTTCGGCCGGAATTTAATTTTTTTCTCTTTTTTTTTTTTTTTTTGAGCGAAATGGCGCGTTTCTCGTCGATCTACGAATTTATGTTATCACGCAGACGATCGATAATAATTGTCACGGTTGGCGAAATCTCGATTTCGCGGTCGACGTTTCGCGGACAGTGAAATATATATACAGCATATATTTTTTACACGCATGTCATGCAAATCTCGCGAAAAATGCTATGTACAACAATCTGACGATTTTTGCATAACACCTGTTTCAGGAGCGGGAGAGTCCGGCAAAAGCACGATCGTCAAACAGATGAGGATACTGCACGTCAATGGTTTCAGCGAAGCGTAAGTTTTTATTTTGCTAAAAGAACAAACAAACACACACGTGCGATCGGTCGCGTCCGGTCGGTCCTCAATCATCGTCCGTTTCCAATCCCGACGATATGTCGTTAACCCATTAAAAGCCGGTAATCGCTCCTTTGTTTCTTCCCCGTGCGCGGGAGGGCTTTTCATCGCGAGGCTCGCATTACAATTAAAGCGTCGGCGGAATGCAATCGTACTCACGCAGACCCGTACATTCGCACGAAACCGGCGCACGCGCTCGGCATTCATTGAATTTTCGCGTCCGGGCGCGGTTCCTTTCGCCGCCGAATTTTACTCGTCGAGTCTCTCGAGATGGCCCGCGAAACTATATATTCGCGAAATATGTCTTCGCAGATCGGCCTTCGCATTATCGTGCGTTTGATAACCACGTGGTCGTTTTTATCTCTCGCTTCTCTCTTTCTCTGAGATTCTGCTTTTTTCCGCGATTCAAAATCGAGCGACGAAGATGATGAGTCGCGATATGTAATTAGCGCGATTAGTTTTTCAGCCTGAATGATTCATCTCGTAACCAACCGGTGCAGTTAATGATATCAGTGTATCTCCCTCTCTCTCTCTCTCTCTCTCTCCCCAAATACACACGCGTGATTTTCTGATACGATTACAGCCAGTACTGCTTCCCTTTCGTATGTTTTAATCAGACGTACGCATTGCGTTAATTATTCGCGGGTACCATCTTCACTTTTCGTCACAATTAAGTAAGGCTCGAACCTCTAGAATATTATCTGATAGAATATTAAATACTTCCTTATTGAATTATTTTAATTGTCGACACGTTTCTGCCGCATTAAAAAAAAAAACGCTTGAATTTTATTTATCTGGTGCACAGTTTTCTGCGTGATTTTTCGACACTTTTTTTTCTCCAGTATGATTATCTTTTTTTACGTTTTTTTTAGATTGCTAATTTATAACATTTGACGATGATCGTTGAACATTTTGTTTCGCTTAATTTCCTCGATTTTGTTAATTTCAAACAAATTGTTCAAGGAATTTCATTTATTACAAATTCATGTATTTCTGTACGGATTCTGGTAAAGATTTATTCTCTCTAATGTCGGAATAAAATACATGTATCAACGCGAAATTCTGTTGAAAAATAATCCATTGCTCGATAGACAAGTTTCTTTCTCCGCATTAAAATTTCAAGAAAGACCATAATAATAATATATATTTTTTATTCTCGAAGTAAGATGCTATTGTTGCAGTTTCTACTATAAATGCATGAGTATCATCAACCACTATTATACTGGATAAACGATGAAAACGATATGTAAACAAACGGTACGGTTCGTATGTATCGTAAATTTTGTCCGACTTAAACTCTGATAACGCAGCGAAAAGTATCTCTTATTTCCACATTTCGCCAAGATTTCTTTCTCGCGATCAATACTCTTCCTCGGGAATTTTTTATTTTTTATTTTACGACACGAAGCCCGATGAGTTTTTGATTTTTCTCGGATGCCAGATTCCTTTTAATTTCCATATATATTCTGAACCAAAAGAAAGAATAAGAATCTCTTCGGCGAAATCTTTTCTGAAAGAAGAGTTTATCGATCGCGAGTTCAAGTTATTTCTCCAAACACGTGGTAGAAGCCGATCGATCGTATGCTAAAATTATCGAATTATTCTGAAAATATATACGGCTAAAGAAACACTCATACACACAAACGCGACTTCTATGCTATAATTTTCCATTCAGCACGTGACTCGATCGTTATCGCCGATCATTATCGACTACTCGAGCTATATACGTCTGTGCAATTCATTGTTAACCGTAACCTTATTAGTCACATTTAATTACGCTATCGACAATGAATTTTGACGCCGAGTTTCTAACGATACCAATATCTCACATGTATATTCTTATGTTTGCAGAGAGAAGCGGCAAAAGATCGAAGACATTAAGAAAAATATTAGGGACGCCATCCTGGTAAGTATATAAATATATTTTATTCTTTTCCTGAAAAATTTTCATTATTTATTTAAAGATAAAATTAAAAAAAAAATTATATTGAAAAGATAAAATAATTTTGAAAACAATAATAAAAAATTTCCCGAGTTTTTGTATAGCGATTATTGAACGCAATCGAATTTTTGTCAATGTTACATAAGAAAAATTGCACTGCGTTAGACGCATTTTATAAATCGTCGCTCTCGAAATAACTCGACGTAACCGTTACGTGACACGTAAATTCGCGATATCAATTCGGTGGAGTATTGTCACCGATTTGTCATTCGAGTACGCATTTAGCTGCGCGCGCGATTATGTGTAACCTCTATGCAAAATGCAGTCACTTCCGTTAGTACGACTGTGTACCGCATTAACGCAAATTACGCTACACATCCAATTATTCCTTGCATACGGAATTCCTACGAAGTGATTAACAACGTGATGGCAATTACGAACGAACCGGCGATTATGAGGTAAAAATAAAGGCGATCTCTCCGCGCGCGCAGAGATGTATGAAAAGATATATATATATATTACATACATACATATATTTTTGCATTATATTTTCGTTCAAATACATCGCGTTTTTATGAATAAAAAAACACCGTAAAGTCGCAATAAGTCGCATTAATCCTTCGTTTCATCTAATTGTGATGTTAATTCTTGTTACACAATTCGTACTCGTTCAATAACGAGTGAATACAATTATAACTACGGAAATTGCAAGCTTAAATTCACACGAGGGAAAACAATTTACGATTGACAATGAGATTACATAAAAATAAATTTTATTTTCACAATAAATTTTTTATAGCAACTTACGCAATTTTCTCTTTAATAAAAAGTTTGTTTAAATTATATTTCAGGGTGTCTAGTCGTTCTTGAAATCCTTCAAGTCCTTGAAATATTCTGGAATTTTGTTTGTTCTTTGAAAATCCTGGAAATGTACGTGAAATTTTAATAGATCCTTGATTTTCTTTTTCGTTGCTTCTAAACATTCAGCTAAACGAGCGGTTGAGACTATTCGAGTAAAAAATATTTTATCTTACTTTGTAAATGACACAATATATTTTTATTTGGGAGTCCAAAAATATGTGTTACGCGGATAAGTTATTTATTGGTAATGCACATATTAATTTTCATTAATATGCAATTATGGACTTGATAAAGAAAATCAAGTTTTCAGTTTCTTGTATATACATCTTTATTACACTATTGGAAAATCGTGCAAATTTCCTTGAAATGTCCTGGAAATGTCCTTAAATTTTATTTTCGAATTAGGCACCCTGTATTTAAATCGCTGGCGGGAAAAATGTTTGAAGAGGAAAAGATTGACATATTCCGGTGTGTCATCACTGTGAGATAAACGAGGTACGTCGTTTCTTTTTCAGACGATAACCAGCGCGATGAGCACGTTAACGCCGCCCGTTACGCTGGAGGACCCGGCGAACCAGAGCAGAATGGATTATGTCCTGGAAGTCTCGTCTTCCCCAGACTTCGATTATCCTCCGGTGAGTCATCGGGACCTCTCTTTGTCTTATATATATATATATTTGCGTTTTGCACGCCGCAACGAAACGCGAAACGCGGGCCTCACCTTCGCGCTCGCAATAACTCATCGCGACCTTCCCGCGCGAAAGAGACATAGAAAGAGTCCTCGGGATAATCGCCTCCGGCGACACGGTTGCATCACGAATTGGTTTCTGAATAGAGAGGCGTCTACTGAATTTCGCGCGCGCAATTGCGTCGAGAACGCAAAAGAGAACGTGACGAATCACCGGCTTTTTCCTCCTCGCGACTTCGCGACGTTTTCACCGATTTAAATATATTATTTTTCTTAATATTTCGCTCTTTCTCTTTCTCACTCCCTTCGTGTTATCTCGATCATCTCGCGATTTCGAAAATCTTTGTTTAAATTTTCAAAAAAAAATTGCAATTTATTTTATCTCAGAAATTTATCGCAAAGCTTAGATTATCGTGTCGCGTATTAAAAAAATATCGTAATCACGTTGACGATCCGATAATAATTTAATCTTACGAAAGATCAATAATTTTTATAATCGCACGCAGAGAATTTTCCCTTATAGAATTTATCCTGAAAATCATGGGACAATATGGTATTGGAAGAATTTTGAAAGTTTCTCTTATTAATATATACGTAGTAATTAAAATTAGTCGAACATATTTTATATCTTATCGTAGTAGATATTAATATTTTTTTATTGCGCATCATATAAATATTAATCAGAGTAACTCTTATAATATTGTTCCCACGATTACCATGATTTCCAGAGTAACAGAAATTCTCTCTGTGCATATATTAAAATATATCAAAATAAAATAGTAAGGTAGTATTTTGATGATCCTTCCGTGTGATTCTATAGTAAATCACGTTGTTACGCATATATTAACATCGCGTCCCAGAATACTTCTCGCCGACCCCTCGCGATTACTCGACATCGTTTAACGCAAAACGTCGACGACGACGAGGACGAAATTTACTTAACGATCATCTCGCGACATTTCTTCGCGTCTTGTTAAACCGACGAACCGGCGCGGCGGCATTTGCGGATTAACGTAATGCACGGCACGCAAACACGTATATACGCACAGATATGCATATACATATACATACATACATATATATATAAGTATGTAGCAGTCAGGGAAATCTGGAAAACCGGGCATTGTCAGGGAATTTTATAAATCTGGAATTGTCAGGGAAAAAGTCAGGAAATTTTACTATTTATCTGGATTTTTTCACATTATTCTACATTTGTCTCAATAATATGACATTTTTTATTAAATAAATATAAACTTTTCCTTGACTTCCAGCACGCTAATTTTTTGTGTTGTTAGAAATCGATTAATCTACAGCGTGTTCCTTAATTTATATTTTCATCGTCGTGTTATTTTATTTCCATGTGTTTGATAGAGACAAAACTAAATAATTTCATATAATATGAATGAAAAAGGTGATTATTGAAATAGTTTATAATATGACATGTTTGTTTCGATTATCGTACATAACGCAGATTGTGTAATTGATTTTGGTTTTTTAACTTCCGAACCTTTTCATTGTTGACAAAAATATCTCACAAGGATTTCATGATTTAACATATATAATTGATTTATCATACAGATATATATTTGGAAAAAATAATACAAAAAAGTGGGAATTTTTTTCATCGAGTCTGCTGGACACCCTGTATATATATGTACGTATAGCGTGATCTCAGCGATGTCAGCGGTGAGAACCACTGCGCGTGGCACGATCAGTGTTTACAATGTTTACACAGCCACCGCACATGTTAGTGCGCTATATAGCGTCCTGTACTCCGCGATGTGCTGCGCCATTTCTCACGCATGTATGTACGTACACACGCTTCGCCCGATTGTGTCTCCCGCAAATTCATGCGAGCATTATATTCGTACATACATATGTAACGGGACGTTACATCGATTAATCCTTCCTCCTCGTCCACAGAATTTCTCCGTTTCGAATATATCTCGACAATCCTCTGTGTTGCCACTAATGAAAAATCAATGAAAAAAATTAGATATTGTTATATAATAATCATTAAATGATACTTGAAAAATGATTTAATCAAAAGTACATTTAATCAGTGCAACTGAATTAATCAAATCGTGATTAGTCAAGTTGATACTTGAATGAAATGTCATTAATATTTGTCAGAATTTGCGGCGCTCGTGCTTTAAGGTTCTCGGTTTTAAAGGGCTGTTTCGAGAGAGATGGCCCTTTAATATTCGCGAAGAGATCGGAGGCAGGAAATGTTAAACGCGGACTCTCAAAATATGACGCGTCGACTCTCGAAATAAAGTTGTCGCGCGACGAAATAATCCGCGCGTTTTGCGTCATTCAACGCGACGTATACGCACACACACACAGGTATACACACATGTACGCCTGTAGTACACCTTTATATCGGCCATTATTTGTCGCACGTGGCACGTTTGTCGTCCGATTCGATGATGTATCCGGATTAATTGAACTAAATCGCTCTGAAACATCGAACGTCAATCTCGCATCGCGTTTCCTCTCACGATTCGCGCAATATTTACGATCATCCGCCAAGATATCACGCTCGTAAAAACGAGATAGAAAGTTTCCGACAGTTGTCGAAACGTCAGTTTAAAAATCGCAAAAGTATACCGATGGACGAGATCTCGCGCAACAATCTTCATTCATTTTTCTCCAGAATTCGGGGTATATAAAATTAATATTTAATTTCAGTCGAACTAATCGTCTTTCCCGAGTTCTCTCTTTTATAGACAAGAGCTGTGTTGCATATCCGCAAGCTATTTAATTATCTCGGGAATTTATTACCTAGAGAAAATAGAACGAGCGCATATCGTGTACAATATATGGAGAGGTTTCTGCTGTTTACCGTATCGATTATAAATAAATAAATAGGCGCGCGCACTCACTTGTTGCGAATGTTGTGAATGTAGTGCTTGGCAAATCATCGGCGCTATTTTCGCGATTGGGAAAGGACAAAGCAATACTTAGAGAGCACTTCCCGCGAATTTCTGCCTTCTACGATTCGCGTTTAATTTGTCACTGTCATCCGGTTCTCTACATATGTAGAGACGTGAGAGACCGAGGATGAGGAAAGACGAAAGTGCTCGTTTTGGACGCGGAAGTTTATTTTAGGAAAATCCTGGGCCGAAATTTCGGTACACCGACGCGCGGGATTTCACTCGAGCGAGAAATATATATATAGTATACAGATTATATATAAATTCGCAGCACATGTTAATTCGCGAATAATTGAATTGATATACGCGGCAGCCAGGTAATTGAGACAATTTACTCGGATACTCTTAACATTAAACAATCCTTAAATGTATTTTTATGAGAGAGTAGAGAAAAAATCGATGCAGCTATTAATATATTATTATATCACATTTTCGCGGAATCGATTATATAAAATAAAGAATTGCCGCTACTCTTGAGAATAAAAATGTTGAAATTAATACAAATGTCGATGCGTTGATTAAAATAAAAATAATTGATAGCGGAAGGAATTTTCTCTTAAAATTTATCCTGAAAATTATGGTAATCGATATGGTATTGGAAGAATTTTATAAGAGTTTCTCTGATTAATATTTACCGCAATAAAAAATATTAATATGTAAGGACATAGGAAATTTTATTATTTACATATTTTATATCTTAATTCTTGCGATAGGTTTAATATTTTTATTGTGGTAAATATTAAAAAATGAGGAGAAACTTTTACCATGATTTTTCAGGGTAAATTCCAAGAGAAAATTCTCCCTGTGTATTGAAAGAATTTTATAAGTTTCTCTGATTAATATTTACTACAATAAAAAATATTAATATGTAAGTGCATAGTAAATTTTACTATGTACGTATTTTATATCTTATTGCGATAGATTTAATATTTTTATTACTAAATATTAAAATCAGGAGAAACTCTTCCCATGTGTTATAGTTTCAGGATAATATTTACCAAGTACGTATTCTATCTCTGCGATAGATTTAATATTTTTATTACGATAAATATTAAAATCAGGAAAAACTCTTCCCATGAGTTATAGTTTCAGGATAAATTCCAAGAGAAAATTCTCTCTGCGTGTAATCATAATCGATGAAAAAAAAAAAAAAAAAGAGAATTGAATTGATCTCAATTTCCAGGTGTCTCTCACTCGTCATTTATCCTCCTCGCGGATTCGCAAAGATATACGTCTCTTGTATTTTTAGCCGAGAGCCACACGTACAAGTACTTTGTACAGCGGTGTGTTTGGGGTGTTAGGCGTCGAGCAAGAGAGATGACGCGTTTGGACGAAATTATTAGTACGTGCATAATCGCGGTAATAAGGCGGGGCCGGCAGCAGCAGAGAGAGAGAGTATCGCAGCAACCCGGCGATCCTTCGCGCCGGAGAGACGGATCGGCACACACGATGCGTCCGTCCATCGATCGTTGGAAGCGTGGAAATAGCATCGACAGGAGAATTTATTAATATAACCGTCGTCGTTTATTGCCAAGCGGTACGGACGCGGCAATGGTCGTCCGGCGATTTGTATAGCCGCATCAAACGCGATCTCGTCGGAATGGACTTTCGCTGTCGCGACGATATCAGCGTGTCCTACCAAACTTCGTTCCCGATAAATTTAGGGCGAATTTAGGACGAATTTAGGCCAGAGAGAGAGAGGGCTATACAGCGCTTGCACATTTACGCGGGATCCGTTGCGGCTTTCGGGACAAGTCCCTCGGGAAAATCGTTCTCCGCCCTCGCTCTGCGAACAGATGCGATGCAGTGCAGCACTAATGTCGTTAATTCGTAAATAAACGTACATTAGCGAAGAGATACATTTTTATCTAATTAATTATCATTATACCGTATTCGCGCATATCAACGTGCGCGCGTTATTCGATATTTTGTGTAAATTAATTTTGGCAGAGATATATTTATTATACCTTCGAAACGACACAATTTTCGATAATTATTCGAATTAATAATTCCTCGTCTCCCCCAGAGAATTGCAAAAAAAAAAAATATATATATATATATATATGCGCGGTTATAATAATATATAAACTGAAAGTTCTCTCTTCGCGATCCGCGCATATATTATATATACGTACATTTGTACTTCGCCAGAAATATCATAGCCGCGATGCAGCTGCGCGAGCCTCAAATAATTAATAATACTTTACGTTGTTTCGACGTTGATTTATGCATGCGGACGGGCGTGCTTGCTCCGCGATTACTCGACAAGTTTTTAATTCGCGCCGCTTTACAAGAACGCGTCGCCGATCACGATGAAAATTCTTAACTCTAAAATAGCGCCGCTATTAATACCGCGTTTACGGGTAATTTACTGCACTGATTAGAAAAATTCCGAGATAATATATTTATTAATATTATACTCGAGGTAATATTAATATTAATTTCACACATTGTGCACGTTTGTACGTTATACATTTTTATTGCATATTCATATACGCGGAGAGAATTTTCTCTTAGAATTTATCCTAAAAATCGTGCTGATCGATTGGAAGAATTTTATGAGTTTCTCTGATTCATATATTAATATCTAGATCACAATAAGATGTAAAATATGTTCGATTAATTTTACTATATTATTAATATTTTTTCATTATGGTAAATATTATTGTCCCACGATTACCATGATTTTCAGGATAAATTTAAGAGAAAATTCTCTCTTTGTATTAGACTAAAATTTTTTCACAAGAGTTCAATTATAGCTTAATTAAATCATTTTAATAACGCGATGTTCCTTAACAGAGTATAAAAAGATTTATGGGAATATAACTGTTTTTCTTTCGCGAATACATATACAGTGGTTTGAATCGTCGCGTCTCTCTCTCTCTCTCAGTTTTAAATTTAATAAATTTAATTATTATTCGAAATATGCGACCGCAACGCGTCAATCTTTCGCGAAACCGCCCACGTGTTGTGTGAAGGAAACCAAGTTTTCCGACACAATACATCGAAATTATTAATGCGCCCGACATCCTTCGCCATTAATGCGAGGCCTTGTGCGGTTGCCGTTATTTATGTAACCTTCAAATCGCGATTTTAATTCACTTTTAGATGCCTCTCTAAGTGTCCAGCAGTCGGGGAAATCTGGAAAACCGGGCATTGTCAGGGAATTTTAGAAATCTGGAAATTGTCAGGGGAAAGTCAGGAAATTTTACTATTTATCTAGATTTGTCTCAATAATTTGAAATTTTTTATTACATAAATCTAAACTTTTCCTTGACTCCCAGCACGCTAATTTTCTGTGCTGTTCAGAATCGGTTCATCTACAACGTGTTCGTTAATTTATATTTTCATATCGTCGTGTTATTTTATTTCAATGTGTTTAAGAGATAAAACTAAAAAATTTGATATAACATAAATAAAAAAGGTGATTATTGAAGTGACATGTTTCTTTCGATTATCGTACATAATGCAGATTGTATAATTGATTTAAATTTTTGTTTTCACTCCGAACCTTTTCATCGTTGACAAAAAAATCTCAAGGATTTCATGATTTAACATATATAATTGATTTATCATATAGATATATATTTAGAAAAAATCATACTAAAAAATCGGGGAAAAAATTAATTACTGGTCTTGGAAAATCTAAAAAAGTCAGCGAATTTTTTTTGAGTCTGCTGGACATTCTGTATGAAATGCATCTAAGTATGCAGAATTCTCGAATTCTAAAGCTTCGGCTAATTACATCTTTTTTCATATATTTCCTACTTTTTTGCCAATAAATCATCCGGCGAGAATTGCGCGCGGCGTCGCACTTATCAGCTTCGTTCTTCAGTGTCGCGTTTTTTTTTCCGCGAGCTAAACGACGAATTAAACGTGAAACGTTACAACAGACCAGCGATCGGGCGTGCAATAAAGACGGTGATAAATGTACTATAAATATACGCGAATAGATCGTGCATTGCGGCTTCGATTTCCTTCCTTTCCCTCCGTCAGTCAGGATCTTCAGCATCGTATACGGGAATCGCGTGTTTGCTCGCTCGTTGCATACCTGGACGGAAATTCCGAAAGTTTTAGATTTACGAGATGTATTCCCGACGATCCGCCGCGCAGCCACCGGAAACATTCATAATAGTTTATTATATACTCTGCGTTCCTTTCGCACGAAACGTGATCGCGTATTTTCGAATGAGCAACGTGCGTAGAATGCCGAAGGGATTTTACACGCGCGACTTGCGCGACATTTTAACGACAAACTTGTTACAATATCATACTTAATAATATTAAGAAACTTGTGTTAACGCAGCAAACTTGTGCGATATAGGAAGAAGCGAATATATCTTTAAAGATATTCAAAACTGTGAGAAAAGTAGTCATTAGGGAAAATTATTTTAGAGCCCACACCTTTTTCATCTTTTTTTCTACGTCAAGCATGGACGTTCGCAGATGCTCTCCTTTCGAATAAATATTAAAATTTATTTGCATATTTAATATAAAATAATGAAAATAAAACAAAAAATAAATTTTTAAAATTAAGAAAGGACAAAAATTAAAAAGCAAAAAAATTAATTATGCATTTTTCTGAAAAAAAATTCTGCGGACGCCCGTGGTGTCAAGCTGTCAAATGAAATTATTTTAGAGCCTGCACCTTTTGCATCATTTTTTTCCGCGTCAAAAGCATGGACGTTCGCAGATGCTCTCCTTTCGAATAAATACTAAAATTTATTTGCATATTTAATATAAAATAATGAAAATAAAACAAACAAAAAATTTTAAAAATTAAGAAAGGACAAAATAAAAAAGCAAAAAAAAATTAATTATGCCTTCTTCTGAAAAAAATCCTGCGGACGTCCGCGGCGTCAAGCTGTCAAATGAATCGCGAACACAAACAAGGTCGCGGATAAACAAAAAGCAATAGTATCGTTGATATTGGAATCTCCCCCTCTCTTGGCAGCTTTGCAGATAGAGAGAGAGAGAGAGGGAGAAAACATGCCCGATAAACGTAAGCTCCAAAACATGACAACTTTAGTTGTCCTTACGACACTTTCCTCGGCGCATCTCTCTCTCTCTCTCTCTCTCTCTCTCTCTTCTCTCATTAAATCTCGATATATGTATAAATTGCGATTCGACGAATTAGGCCTTCCGAGAGATTAATGGAATAATCTTGTTTTGTTCTGCTTTCAGGAATTCTACGAAATCGTCGAAACCCTTTGGAAAGATCGGGGCGTCCAGCAGAGCTTCGAGAGGAGTAACGAGTATCAACTCATTGACTGCGCCAAATAGTAAGTCATTTTTATTCCGCAAACTTTTACCGCGAGTGCTTGACTCTGACGTCACGTACGAAATTAACGTCGCGAGGAATTGAAAATAGCACAACCGGCTCACGTTCAATGGGCCGTGTTGATGCCGTGCCATATTCTGTCCATGTAAACACGCCGCGATCTCTCGCGAAATAAACATGGGTCTATTTGACAAATAAATATTCTTAATACGATATTTCATTCATCGCTTTTCGCGGTGTCAATTATTTCGCTCGCCGAATCGATGTGCAGCTTTTTGTGCACGAAAAATGCAATTATTGCAATCTGCTCGGCAATTTTAGAAATCTGTAACATAATTTTTAACAATATTTTTCTTAATATTTTATTAATAATTCAATATTTTTTTTACAAACGTGTAACTTATCCTTTTCTTCGCTATCATTGAATGATATTCAACCGCGTAAATTTTTCAAGTTTAAATTTAAATAAATATTTATTACATACAGTATATAATTATATATTTTATTGTGAGTCACTGAGTTTTTTTATAACATGATATCTCTCATTAAAGTCAGACATGAATAAAAAAAAGCACGCGAGAGTTTATGAAAAAATTAAAAATTGCATAAACTTTTATAGTACGCGCAGAGGCCGCGATGATAATATTGTGTCCCTGTTTTATATAGTTTCCGCGGAACTCTCTTTCGTCGGGCTTTTGTAGCTTTTTGGAGTTTTATTCCTAGATAACGAGAACAAAAGTTTCGAAAAGCCGTACGCATACACATCACACGTGTACATATTCATAGGCTTGTGACACCGATTTAATGCCAATGGAGACAATGTCTTAACGAGGTAATCGCTTTAATAGGGGCCACTCGTTTATCCCCTGGATTCTCTTCGGGACGAATTGACCCAACCTCGCTACTTTTTTTTTTTTAATGCTAATTCGATGATTTACGAGCGTTGATTTAGTTTACGTAAAGCGAACTCGTCGCGTAATTCGATGGGATTGCGAGGGTTTGTCTGATGACTCGAGGAATGAATGGGACAGCATCGAAATAGTATTTTAAATGAGGCGAGAATTATATGCACAATGTACCGTGTCACGTTTTTACGCATACGCGTACAAGGCAAAAAGATGTAAATCTCCGACGTAAATGGGCGACTTTAACCAACAATCGACATGTGACTGCATTTCACACCAGGTTATCAAACACGTCAATTTGACAGTTTTATCGTATACATTTGGGAATAAGCTTTTGTACACAGAGAGAATTTATCCTGAAATTCATGGTGATTGCATTAATGAAAATATTAATATCTATTACAGTAAGATGATATAAAAAAATATGTACGATTAATTTTACTATACGTAGAAATTAATATTTTTATTGTGATCAATATTAATCGGAGAAACTCTTATAAAAATTAAATTACCATAATTTTCAGGGTAAATTTTAAGAGAATTCTCCATGTAGAATCATGTAGGACCCACTATAAGAACATTCAATATTCTGATTGATCGGTATAATTTTAATCGATCAAAAAAATTAAAATCTTATATTTATTACTATATTAAAGCAAAATTAATTCATCGCAAGCTGTAATCAAGCAGTTGCTCCGAAAATCGAACGGTGAAATTCCGACACGACTTTTATATTTTTTAATAATACGCTACAAGAATACGTAAACAGTTGCGAAAAGAGGAGGGATGTATATGCATATGTATATATATATATATTGTACATATGTATTTTTCAGCAAAATTCTCCACTTGAACTTTGGTATATGACTAAATTCGTCTGGTTCACAACGAGATTCTCTCTCTTTCCCTCTCTCGTTAATGTTTCGCGCTTGTAATCGTATTATCGCGGATTTCTCTCTTTTTTTCTTTCCACCGCACCGGTGCGGTTTCCGTCCACTCTCGTGTGCAGCGGGAATCGCGTTGCCGTTAAAAATAGCGCCAAGTATTTTTAGGCAGCGCTCCGGCGCTGGTGAGATATAGCGCCTCCCGGCATATTCGTGGACGAGGGAGATGCAAGATGATTATAATCCTGCGGACGCATTTCTGCGACTGCGCTCGCTCGTCTCTCCTTCTCTCTCTCTTCCGCAAAGATACACATCCGCGACATCCGCGAATGTAATTTATGGAAAGGGGACGAACGCACGAATTTCATTATATCCCCAAATCCGCGCAGCTTTGCTTCGAAGCCGCGAATTATTCAGAGCTATAGCTGTAACATCGCGCGAATTCTTTCTGGACATTTTTTCTTCGCGAAAAAAATTGCAGGAAAATACTGTCGCTCTTTTTTTTCTTTTTTTTTTTTTTTTAATTCTATTTCAGTTTCATCGGCAATCTCTTTGAAGAAGCGCGCAATGATGCAGAAAAAAAAGAAAAAATCTGACCTCCTTGCGTGGATTTAATTCGGCAGAAGGAAAGAGAGAGAGAGAGAATTTATATCTTGAAAATATTTTCAATCTGTGAGTCAGTGCGTGTGGAGAATAAATATTTGTCCGACACGCACTATATGCATCGTGCATATAAAACAACATGTGTAATAATTATCGATTGTTGATTCGGTAAAGAGTCATTTCCGGGTTGGATGGTTTTTTAATGTTCCTCGCGAATTGTGCATACATATATTGCGAATTGACATTGCGTTTGGATTAGGACAAAAAATCTCTCGGCAAAGAGACGTGCTTGTTACCGTATTTAACCGTCCAAGTCCCTCGTTTAGCAATAAGAGCGACGTTTCAATTACAGCGATAACACCACCCCGTCTTAAAAAAGGAAACACGCGCCGCTATATTTAGATACACGGGTCTATATAGCGCGGATTATACATTGACGCTGTTATATACACGGTTTGCTAAATGTTTGGATAGACAGCCGTTCTCATGCATGTCTCTATCTCTTTCTGCCTTGATTCGTTGTTTTGTGCCGACAGAATGAGATTTTTTCTCCTTTTTATCTTATCTCAAATAAACATCATCAAAATGATGGAATTGCCTAACGGAACGTATCTTTCTTTTACAAATTCAGATATGAAAAGGGCCAACAAGAGCCAAACTCAGATATGTATATTGGATGCAACAAAATTATCTTCAAATTTATATATATGTATATATAATTATATATTGTTTTCTAATCGGTCAAACTATACTTGAAAAACTTGGACTGCATATCTAGTATTTTCTTGAAAAAAGAAGGATAAAGGATGCAATTTTTTACAGTAATCACTGATGCATACATGTCGCAATTCTACCAAAATATTTTTTTTCTTTGCATCTGGTTTAATTGACTCGTTACCTATCGTAATAATTTATCAGGCAATTGTAGAACGAAACTTTTTTTCGAAAATATAAAGGAATGCTTGGTAATGACTGAAAATTTGCGTTCTTTCGCGAATTTCTTTGTGGGCGATGCAAAACAAAAACCAGAGAAGTGAAGAAAATGTGGAAAGTTAGCATTTTTAATCGAGCGACGAAGGTCAACGTGATTAGATTCGAGAGATATCGAGAGAAGAAGAGAGAGGTTCGTTTACTCGCATATCGGCCAAAGTACGGAAAACAAAGAGAGAACGTTTAATGTTTGCGATTGAGAGCCGCGTCGGCGACGTTAGGCGGCTGAAACTGCCAGGTTCGTCAAATATTTGCAATTCGAGCGAATGGTCGCGCATGGTGAGCCGATGCTCCAATTTGTTACGCGGCGGAGGAAATCGCGCGATCCGCAAACCGGGACGAGCAATGAAAATCATCTACGAATCTTTCTCTTTCGAAAACGCAAGGATCTCGAAACTCGTCCCATCTCATTTTTTTCTGTCAAATTCATCTTAATCTGATTTTTTCCTCCAATTCATCTCCTGGAGATGATCCAAAGGAGGAAGCAGGAAATCGAAAGGTTTACATTAAATAAAGAAAATTGCAAGTCAAGTTTTTGGCACGCCAGGCTTTTATTAGCCAATTTCTTGTCTGAATCTTTGTATTTGTGCACGGAGAGAATTTTCTCTTAGAATTGTATTGGATGAATTTTGTAAGAGTTTCTCTGATTAATATTTACCATAATAAAAAATATTAAATATTATATACATAGTAAAATTAATCAAACATATTAATAGTTTTATGATTACCATGATTTTCAAGATAAATTCTGGGAGAATTCTCTCTGCGTATATCAAATTTCTTTTTGTTTTTTATGAGTTTTTTTTTATTGAAGAGTGTGTGTATTTTACCTCTTCACGAGTTATGTACCACAACTTTGAGAAATGTTTTGATCGATTAAAATTATACCCATAAATCAGAACATTGAATGTTCTTATAGTGGATGCTACATGATTCTACACGGAGAGAATTTTCTCTTAGAATTTACTTTGAAAATCATGATAATCACATGGTATTGAAAAAATGTTATAAGAGTTGTTTTGATTAATATTTAGCATAATAAAAAATATTAAATATTATGTGCATAGTAAAATTAATCGAACATATTTTATATCTTATTGTCGTAGATATTAATACTTTTATGATTACCATGATTTTCAGGATAGATTCTAAGAGAAAATTCTCTCTCTAGATATCAGATTCCTTTATGTTTTTTTTACGAGTTTTTATTCCTTTGCGAGACATGTATCGCAATTTTGAGAAGTTTCCAGCTCGAAGCCGATTATATATATGTTCTGGAGATTTTTTGCCAGTGACTCGGAAATTTCGTTGCAACATTATCGATTGAAGCTGGCAACTATACACCCCTTGCATCGAATAGTGCGATGGATTCGTGCGCGGTTTGATGCATAAGCTGCATACTGATTATACACGCCGGTCCTACACATCTACATGTTTGATGTAGATCTAGTAATTAAACCATTACCCGCTTTCCGACCATTGGTCCTGCATACGCGGTGTCTCGGGTTGCATACACATGCATATACGTATATAGCAAGAGGGGTTGGACGATCATTCGATCAGCTGATTGCTCGCACAATCGGTAAATCTTGCTTGGAAACTTCATTATTATTCAATTC